TACATACATACATATCTACATATCTACATGGATATAATAAGTACCTAGTGGAAGTACATATATAGACTGATACTGGTTGGTACACAGAGAATATACATAGCATACGCCATGCTACATGTACATGTACTCTAGGGTAGTAGTGTGGATGCCAGAACCCCTCCATTTCAACCGCTGCTACTACTTGATATGGATGGCTACGTGCGCGCGTTGCGTGGATGCGTGGCGAGCATTTTGTATGACACCTCCAGATACATGGGACAGATCATACAAGAAATGAGAGTCTAATGCAATCACTCATGATTGCTAATTACCTCTACCTGGAGGTGAAAGATAGCAGATGCCAACATGATCCCTATTCGACTGTCCTGATGTTCTGCTGTTCTGCTGTTGGCCCAAGCGGGTACATGCGTTCCCTGCCATCGGTAAGTACATACATACATACATACATATCTAAGTAGGTCGTTACGCAACAAGGTGACGCATGCAACTTTTGCAGAGACAATTAGGTCCTGGCACTGGTTCAATGCCCCCCTCGAAAGCGGGACAGATGACACGAGCGTTTTCGAACTCACCACACCCGCCAGACAATGTCAATGTGAATGTGAATAGTCACCAAGGTGATTCACACAGATATACCCAGATCAAGCCTGCTGCCTACCATCAGTGCGGGCATATATATACATAGTACTTCCATGTATTGCATTCAGCATTCAGGAAGACTTACCGCAAAGATGGTGCGGCGTCTCAGGTCCTAGCTGAGCCAGCCTTACCAGCCTAGGTAAGCAGAGAAGCCGAATTCGAACCAGTCTCGCCAATTTGTCTCCAAGACGCCAAAAAAAGGTTTAGTCGTAGGGAATCGCCAATGACACCGCCTTCTCGCCTTCTGGTCTCTCGCGCTAGAAGGGTGGCTGGTATGGCTCCAGCTGGTCTACATACCGGTATCTACTAGGTATGTAAGTACAACTATGTAAGTACACAGAGGAGGTACATGCAGACCTGGGCAGACGAGGGTCGTTACAACAGTCAAGTGAGAGTTGTTCTTCGTTGCATCGGCAGCGACAGCACTTGTAACGTAATAGGTAAAAATACCTAGCACACACACACACACAGCACGGCAGACTTCGTACACTCCAGCGGCAGTACGAAAGCTCCACCCCGCCATGTCCGCGAAAGAAGACACAGATCCAAGGACGGATACCGGGCCAAAATGAATCCCACTCGGCACAGTCTGTTGCCATGTCGTCGTCGGTGAGGAGCATATCTTCCCCAGTTTCGTTACGAGTCGGGGCTGTTTGATCGTCGGCGGCTCGCCCGGTGACAGCTTCTTCGCGAACAATGGAACAACAACATTCGCCACGCCTTGGGGTCCGTCCCTCAAACTAAGTAGATGCTGCAACGGGACACTAAGTCTTCCTAGTGCAAGATACCGCTACACTAGCGCAAGTAGGTAAAAGCCTCCCTCCGACGCCTTCGACGACCAGGACGACAGGACGACCATCAGGTCACACACCACTACACATACATGCAGTAGGTACATTGGGTAGATACTACTAGTACCAGGTATGTATGTATGTAGGTATCTGTATACATGTATCTGTGGTGATGGGATTCTGATACTGACAGATCCTATCTCGCGATTCGCAATACCTCTACCCATGCACCGATCTATCTCTCTATGAAGAAGAGCCCACAGCACGCCCACCCGGTCACTACAGACCATACGTCTCTGCCCTCGGAGCTCTGGTGTAAGTAGGTAGTGGTGGTTTCTTGGTTAGCATGGAACAGATCGTTAGCGCACAGCGACACCAGCAAGACACGTATGTTGTGTAAGTTGGAAACCTGGGCACAATGGACGCCCCTTGCCTCATGATGATGGGACCCCTGATTATCTACGAGGGTGCGCCTGCGTCGACGGGCTCGATTGGCTGCCTTCTCGGCAGAATCAGAGATGACCTGCAACATGGGGGTCCACGCCAAGTACCTAGCAAGTATCGCGCCGTCTCACATTAAAGTGTGGCACACTGTGCCTCTGTCTCTCTGTCTCCCTCTCTCTCTCTACAGTAGAGAGAGTTGTCACGATCTGAGAATGTCATGCTGAACACAACAAACGTGCCCGCCTCATTGCGTGTGTAATCGGCTTGCGTCGTCCGAACCAGGACGGCTCAACCTACCCGACCCTATGATTGTCCATACCAAAAAAAACAAGCTTAAATAGATACGTTAGTTTATATATTAACTTCATTCACTCTTTATGCTCGAAGACATTCATTCTAGCGGACCCCTCAAATCAACGATGTCTGTATCGTAATCCAATCGACTGATAAGGATATGAGTGCATAGCCGAGGTGATTCTGGGTTTCCTTCTGGGTTTCCTTCCCTCTCTTCCCTTTCTCCCTAGCCATTGTCCCAGTGCTCTATCTACATGACACCCAAACGCAAAAAGAGGCGCTTCGTATCCCTTGCCAAGAGCTTCACACCCCACACACGGTTCAACCATATACTAACTGAGTGCCCAAGTAAGCAGTCGAGGGCAGATGAGAAACCCTGGGGAGTCGGCATGCCGACCTCCGTTCTCGACAGTAGCAAACAAAACCGGCTACGAGGTTTGACCAGATCCCTGGAGATCCCCATAGCACCTGGTCGACTTTGAGTTACCGGATTTTGGGACCCAGCCAGCCGATCAGGTGCGGATTCCCAGCTCCTTGAGGGGGGCCCCCCAGTTTCAAAGCCTCATTATGTACATACAAGGGACTTCGGTTGGCCACATGCGTAGCGCATATAGTGTTCGATTAGCAAAGGTTTTGTGTGCGTGCCCGAGTCCAACCAGCAACAAGTGCACCGCATACCTAGTGTAAGTATGTATATATTGCCAACACAGTCAGTCTGCTTAGCAGGCGTATTTGATTCATTGCGTTGTGATAACAACCTCTCGCGGTGGCCGCGAGGCGTGGAGATAGCTGGGCATATCAATTGCCATTGTGCTCAAACAGTCCTCACTCCCTCGCTCACTCACTCACTCATTCAGTAAGGTAGGTAGTGTAGTGTAGGTATAGGTATTGTGTGTCTGCTGTTTGTTTGATACCCTTGGCGGTGAATCCCTCCGCCACCTCACCTCACCCTGCAGCGAGCGAGACATTGACGAAAGCGGCCATTTCGCTCGACGATTGTACCCAATGAGGCACCCTGCATGGTCGTCGAGGCCGTCTCTCTTGCCGTGTTGGCTGGCCTCGCACCAGGAACATGAGGTTCAAAATCTTTACAAATAAAAGAGAGATACAACAATTGATCTGCATGGGTGGGCATGCACGCGCACGCGCAAAACAAGCTGGTTTCTCCACCACCCCGACAAGAGGTGATGGATGATGTTATCAATGAGCAGGTCGTCCCCGTAAATGGGCTAATAGCCAAGATACCGTAGATTTTTTCTATACCTTCAGACCCCAACACCAGACATGTTCGCGCTTAATTATGCTTCATTTCTTTAGTCCCTTTGCCTTGCTTTTCTACTGAACCCTTGGTCAACTCATAGTGTTTGACTATTGGTTCACCAACATACAGCGACCTCTTACCAACACCATCCACCTAGTAGTAAGTGAGCAGTACCTAGAGCCGTTGAGCGTAGATAAAGAGCCGGTCAAGTGACAGATGTTTTACTTAGCACGATTTGACAAACAGCAGCGGATGGCGCGCATGCGACAAGTTGGCACAGGCGGCCATTTGCTCGTTCACCGAGATTTGGTAAGCTAACTGGGCAACACTACTTAGCTATACTCATCCATCCCCTTTTTTAAAATCATCTGGTTGGTGGACCGACGCACCCACGATCGATCAGGGACAGTGGCCTGATGAAGACGACCGGGCGAAATGAGAGAGCAAGGCAGTGCATCGCCCTACGTACTTAGTAAAAGTCTGACGAGCGTCGAAACCAGCCAGCCATCAGTGTGTGTACAGGCGCAACAGGGCCAAACAGGCCACACAGACAGACGGTTATTTTGATTGCTCGTATGGGCGGTGTATGCAGTAATGTTGCGCTCGCTTCAGTGGGTGTTTATTATTATACCGACTGGACAGAAAATATTGTTCGGCCCTGCGTGGGACCAGCAGAAGACGGACCAGCAAGCATGAACGACACATACACACACACACACACACAAGTCGACAGGACAGGACAGGCTTGACAGGACAGGTGAGGGCGATGGCCAGGTGGAGAGATGGTCATTCTGTAAACGCCCGAGCCAAGGCAATCCAGGCCGCAATAGGCTAAGGCGACGGGAGATGGTCAAGTGGAGATGAGTTAATCGAGTTAATCTGGCTCGTCTGGCTCTGCTCTGGGGGGGCGCCAGCAAGCCTAGCACGGATCTAGAAGCTGCTGTCTGGCGATCTACAGATGGAGCATAGCATTCCATCCATCATCTACCGGTCGGTACAGACTACAGTCAGATACAGTAGGTAGGTAGTGCACATTTGCCCAACGACTTTTCTGACTCGTCCATCACACTATGCTGTTTGAAGCATAGATGAGCGACGAGCATCCCATTCTGTGCTTACCTAATTCTAAGCATCCTGGAGAAGCCCCGAGCGACGACGTCAATCCTCCATCTCAGACCTACAGTATGCCCTCACCCCCCAGGTAGAGTCGAATCGCTTAGATAGAACGCCCTCACGTGCAAGATTGAACATTGTGTCTCATCATCGTGTGTTGTCTTGTCTTTGTCTTTGTCTTGTCTTGCCTTCGCCGTGCTGCACTGCGCTGTGACATCCGTGATCCACCTCGGTCGGCACAACGCCACGCTCTGCCTCGGTTGCATTCGTCGCTTGCATAAATGAGCTTCGGAGCTCGACGTACCATCCGCGCCTGCTCCGCCGTTCGCACAATTCGTTTCTCCGTTGTCACGACCCCTCGTCTCGGGGCCACCTCACCGCTCGCCAAACTCGCATCTCCGACCCCGTTCCATCCCGCACTACCAAAAAGCTATTCCTTCAGCACCTCAACCTCCAACATGGCTCCCCCAAAGGCTGCGCTCGAATTCCTTGACTTTGTCAACGCGTCACCAACTCGTACGCATCCGCCCTACCAACCCTCCCGAATGTGAAACAAACAAGTACATAGAAGGACTAACGATTCTCGACTATCTCCAGCTTATCATGCCGTTCACGAGTCCATTGCCCGCCTGGAGAAGGTGGGGTTCACTGCCGTGAAGGAACGAGATAACTGGTCCTCGACTTTGAAACCAGGCGGCAAATATTACATGACCCGCAATGGATCAACCATCGTGGCTTTCGCCATCGGTGCACAATGGAAGCCAGGAAACCCGATCGCCATGCTCGGCGCCCACACCGATTCTCCCTGCCTGCGTGTCAAGCCTGTGAGCAAGAAGAGCGGCGTTGGGTTCATGCAGGTCGGCGTCGAGACCTACGGTGGTGGCATTTGGCACAGCTGGTTTGACAGAGACCTGTCGCTCGCTGGACGTGTTCTAATCAAGGATGGAAAGGGAAACTTCGTCCAAAGGCTAGTCAAGATCGACAGGCCTATCATCCGAATTCCAACCCTGGCGATCCACCTCGATCGCTCGCCTGAGTTCAACCCCAACAAAGAGACTGAATTATTCCCCATTACCGGCATGGTGGCTGCAGAGCTCAACAGGACGGGCAAGACTGAGGAAAGTAAAACCACAGAGGCTCAGAATAATCCTGAGGAGACATTCCAGCCCTTGAAGAACATGTCGGATCGCCACCACCCCTACATTCTGGAGCTCATCGCCGAAAATGTGGGTGCTAAAGTGGAAGATCTGGTCGATTTTGAAATCGTTCTGTACGATGTCCAAAAATCTTGCATTGGCGGGTTGAACGAAGAATTTATCTACTCCGCGAGACTCGACAACCTTGAAATGACCTACTGCAGCATCATGGGTCTCATAGAGTCGGTAAACAAGGCAGACCTCAGCCAGGAGACGTCCATCCGACTTGTCACGTGCTTCGATCACGAGGAGATCGGATCCACCTCAGCACAAGGCGCCGACTCGGACCTCTTACCGGCCGTAGTCCGTCGTCTCTCGATCCTCGCCGGCACGGGTGCGCGTCACGGCGACTCCGCATCCGACAAGTCGTGGGAACACATTAGCTCGGACCCAGACGTCGACCTGACCACGGCCTTCGAGCAGACCATGGCCGTGTCCTTCCTCGTCTCCGCCGACATGGCCCATTCGGTGAACCCTAACTACGTGGGAAAATACGAGTCTAACCATCAGCCCGAGATGAACAAGGGCACTGTCATCAAGATCAACGCGAACCAGCGCTACGCCACCAACTCGCCGGGCATCGTGCTCCTCCAGGAGGTGGCCAAGCGCGCCGGCGTGCCCCTGCAGCTCTTCGTCGTGAGGAACGATTCCCCGTGCGGCAGCACCATCGGACCCATGCTGTCGGCTAAGCTGGGCGTCCGCACGCTAGATCTAGGTAACCCACAGCTGAGCATGCACAGTATCCGTGAGACGGGCGGAACCTACGACATCGAGCATGCTATCAAGCTTTTCTCGGCATACTTCTCTTCTTACTCGGAACTCGAAACTAAGATTCTCATAGACTAGGTGTGGCCGTTAGATGTACATATTCATACAAACTCAGTGAATAAAGTCAATAACCCAGCTATCTTGCGTCGTCCTCTTTACCTAGACTCCTTTCTAACCATAATCGGTAACTTGTGGTAAGATTTCTAAGCCTGAGTTTCTTGTAAGTGAGCTTGTGAGTGTGGTTGTATCGGAGGCCAGTTCTACATGGAGGACTCAGGGCTGAGGTACCGAGTAAGTACCTAGTAATCCAGTATGCTCAACTCAACAACTTGTAGTAGAACGCTACGATTGCCTGCCTTGCGTCCTCTTCTTGTATTCCGAATAAAGTTATCTAGGCGGCTAGATACCACGTAATCCTTTATTTTCCTGTATCGTGTCCACCCTGTTTGATAGGTGCTCTGCCACTACTTTTGACTTCTCATCCAGATAATCTAGGTTCATGGGAAACTCGACGGATGTGATACATTCTCGTTTGCAACCGACTCAATCTCGCTGAGCGTTTAGGAGGCAGAGCTTATATACATGACCAGATACATCATTCAACATGCAAGAGATAAACTTCTTGCTCCGTAGCTTGATAATCTATGCTATATCAATGACTATCTATACATTCCTCTTCCCTTTCCTTCTGTTTCTCTTTTCTTTCCCTCCTCTCCATCGTTCTTCTCACCTTCTCTTACAGCCCCAACATACCACCACAGTCGCCACGTTCATCACACTTAATAGATTATTGTTACCCGATTCCCCCCGTCCATTGTACCATGCCTTGTCGATATGCTATATTTGAAGAGCTCTTCCCTGACTCTTCTAACACGACGTCGAAATCGAATGGAAAAACTACTCGCCCTACCCAAGGGCAGGACACTTCCAAGGCCACGAGCTCCTCCTCCTCCTCCTCCTCCTCCCCCTCCCCCTCTACCTCCACCTCCAACACCACCACCACCACTCCTCCACCCGAGCCCAAAACGATCTCAGTTACGGAGCTAGGCGGTGAGCCAGAGGCGGACACCACTGAAACCGAAAATAACAGAAAGCTTGCGAAAGCTGGGCGTTTTGGAGCACCAGGCGACTCCTGGCGAACGACGCTCGTAAAATTCTACAGGTCGTTACCTAAGGATGAATTTGTGGCTTATTATATATATCTGGCTCTAAAAAAGGGCGTTACTTTCTCGGCAAGATTAAGCGCCATCGTGAAAGATGCCCCTCCAAACCTACCGCGGGACAGAGTTCTACCACCAGTCTTACAAGCACATCTGGACGAGCTGGCTGAACGACAAATAATGGCTCAACGAGCAGAAAATTCAGCCTAAAAGGTACGTGATCTCGCGCGCACATAGCGAAATCCATTCTGTTTTCTCCTGAGACTGACATCATTTATGATTTTAGAATTCCTGGTTTAGAAAGGGGGATTAAGTTCGTGCATGAAGGTTCGCTTGACGCTATAAGGATAACTTGATTCGAACATCAATGGACGAACTCTACGGCCCTGTTTCGACTTGACAAAACCAGCCAGCTGGGATGTCTGTCAAGATTTACGGAATCGTCTAGTCAACGGCTAAAAAAAGGGAAAACACATACATTCACTATATTCATCCGTCGGCGTTATACACTACTGTCACCGTCGCAAGCACGATATAATATTTACGAATTCAAAAATCGATACCACGAGGGTATTTGGATATGTCTTACTAATAGTAAAAGATAAGAAAGATTAAACATAATAAGATTTACGAAAATTACACAACCTACGAGACGAATAAAGCCACGATAGACACTAAAAGGATCGTCCCAGAGATTATCAACAACATCAACATCAACATATCCAAGCCATCGGTGGCTATCCACACACTCACTAGGCAAACAAATATATGTGTTTTTAAGGATACTATCTTTAATTATATAATCAAGGAATCGTGGAGGAAAACCACAGATCTTAGCAGTTTAATTACAGGGTAGTTTTCGTCCCGTAGAAGGTTTCTACCCAGACACCGGTCCGGCCGTCAATCCGAGTAATATAATGTATAATATATATAATTCAGTCTTTCCATAATACAACGCTTCCAAGTGAACACCCGTCAGAAGTGACCCAATAATAAGGCAGGAAAACTAGAATTCGACAGAAAAGCGATAAAAGTGTCCTAAAACTCGGCTAGCCGACCAGTCCTCTGTAGAAGAAAACAAACATGCATCCAACTCGTATAATACCCGGGGGAAAAAAAACACTCCAGGTCTGCTCAGCCTTAAATTCCCTTCCTAAATCAGCCTTTCAATAAGAAGAGGCTCTTCTCACTGAAATGATAATAAGGAGAGTATCAAAAGATATAGTAAAAGCCGCCCTAACAGACCACGCCAGAACATCCCCAACCGTCCAAAACCAACTCTCAGAATCCCACCACTGAACTCGTCATCCCGTAAATTTCCCATACCTCATCCATCCAGGTACGGCGTCCCCAATCCCAAAAGACAAACGGAAAAAGCGGCCACATATGCGTTTTGCACGTACACAGTAATCCACATCGTACAACACAAACAAGTAATGCGTAAGATAAATCCGGGGTCGAGAGGTGCATATTTCGCACCATCCCATGGCCCTCTCTAACCCTAACCTACATCCAAAGCTTATAGCCGAAGCTTAAAGGAACTCACCGCAAGGATCAAATGTCAAAGGGAATAGGTCCACATTCAATCAGTACCTGGGTAGGTACCTAGTTTAGTAATTCTTAATAATTTTATATATTATACCACAATGTGATTCCCTACCCAGTAATATAACAACTATTTCATGTGTATATATATATTACCCAGAATCTACCTATTTAGCAAACAAGACACACAGTCCAATCCATCCTCCTAAGCCATGCGCAATCATCCACAATACACACATACACACCACTCTCAAAAAGCGCACCCAAACCCAATCTGCCTTTTTACCTTCCCCTCTACCTCACCATCAAAGCCAAACCGAACATTCTCCCCAAAGACAATCCTTTCCACTCGGCAAGATACCAAATATCCCTCCGACCCAACTCGTTCCAAGATCCTCATCACACGGAAATATACACGCACAGAATCAGCCGTGGCAAAGGTTCAGGTAGGTACCTACCACCTACTATCCATACAATCTTATATACCTACCCATTAAAGCAACCCATATTAGTAAACCCATCCGTAATAATCAGTTAATTAAAATATACACCTACCTACGTACATATATATATATATATATGTGTGTGTGTTGTATCTAAAAGTTGGACCCAGCATTCTCGTTGAATCCCACTATCATCGCCGGCGAATTATATTCACAAGATATAAAAACTCAGATATAGTAGCCGCATAAACACATGGATCTAACATGACGGGCGGAACATGATGTCAGCCAGCACAAGCATAGTACTACGCACGAATAATGTAACGGCATAATGGCACAGAACAGCTATGTAGAGTACATTGGACGATCATACTTTCATCATTACCGCCGCATAACAGGCTAACGCACAGGACATATCACGAAACAAAATCATTATGTGTAAACCTCAGAGGTCATATCACTTCTCATAATCTCGTCTATGAAGCCCAAGTACAAGGAACACACACCAGAATTTGATGCTGTTGGTATAATTCGCCCCTCAACTCCTATGGTATATGCAATGGTGGCGAGAACGGCGGCGTGGTTGTTCAGCATATCCTCTGCTAAACAGTAATTTTATCATTTTATTTTGAATTTCCCCAACCCCTTTATGACTTGAGCTTGCTGTCTTTAAGTCCCTGGAGATATCTTGCAAACAATTTTCTATCAGTAGAGGTGGTCATGGATCGTAGAAACTCGTCTCCGTTAATCCGGAATTGTGGAAAAAGTGTTGACTGCAGATGCTGTATGAAACTCTCGCCTGTTTTCAGGTATATAGCTTGTTCCAGGCCAGCAATTTCATTCAATACTTGCTTGGTTTGAGCATCTGCTGATGGTCGAAATTGTTCGTTGAGTAAGACTTGCCAGCAGGCAGAGTGGAATCTATCAATTAGAATTAACTGATCGAAGCCGGGAATGACTGGAGATGGTGATCCAAGTGTAGTTGGATTTTCTGAGATGCTTGCAACATCTGGCCCTCCCCAGACCATAGCCATCTTGGTTAGGAGACCAAAAGCAATCTTGCTCGCAGGGAGGTTTCCGGAAGCAGGTTCAATTTCAGTGGCTAGGGACAAAATGGATCCCATCATCTCCTCGAAAAACCCTTGGTTCGCTTCGGAGACAAGAACACCACCTAAGTCGTTGTTCAGAATAATGCCGAGGAATGTAAGATACTCGCGCCTTAGCTCGGCCAGTTGTATCTCATCGTCTGTACCGCTAATAGGTTCTCTTAGCCCTCCAAACACCCTCTGCAATAGTGGTGTCAACAGAATATTGAGTACATCGAAAATTTCGGACTTGAATCCAAACACAACTTGGTCCAAAAGACGAAGGAACATGGCCATTTCGTCCTTGGACGAGCTCTGGGATAACAATCCTTCAATCCACTGAGGGAGCTGTGGGAGCACGGCGGACCCTAGTACTCCTAGTAGCCGTGAGAACGCTGATCGGCAGGCAGCACGAATATCAGAAGATGTGTTGAGCCCGTTGAGGGCAATCAATATGGCCTCAGCAGCCCTGGCAAACTCGTCTGAAACAGCTTTAGGAGGTGGAGGCCGTTGGCTAGAGGTATTCGCACCAGGAGTCCAGTCGGAAAAGCCGTGTGCTAGCGTACCCAAAGCCATAATAATATGATGAATTTGAAGTATAGCTTGCGTGTCTCCTGATTTTGCACGGGGAAGATGTCGTTCCATATCCGCAAATAGGGGATCCATCACAGAGCGAGCATACAGAGCTTGCTTGTCTGTCGGAGTGGTAGCTGTCGATGATATACACCCAATTGCCTCAAATAAATTTAGCTGGGCATTGAACACAGCATCTGCTGAGTTGTCTGTCTCGTCTGAAGACATGTCGTCGTCCGCATCATCGCCAGGAATTTCAGCCTTGATCGGAAGCAGATCGCTAATGGATTGGATTATTGTTTCGGCAACATTACCGACCTGAGCCCTCAGATGCTTCACAAAACGAGAGAAGAGATACCAGGAACGAGTGCGAATCCGAACATGCTCATGGTGGACTAAAGTCACGAAACTCTCTAATACTTGGCCAATCAGTGAGGGCTGTGTCTCGAAATAGGCACAGTACCGGTGACATATTTCCATATATTGTAATAGAATAGCGGGATGAGGAAAATTGGCAACGCCTAATATCAGGTTAGTATAACTCGTCTGAAACCTGAAAATATGAGTATTCACCTGATTGCACCATCTTAGTCATCATAGCTGCTAGTCTCTCGGAAGCTTCAGGTGAGGGTTGATTTTTGGTGCTCAATCCTTGATTTGGCATGGCAAGCTCGCCAAAAAGGTACATCTCATGAAGAGCCAAGTCGAGATCCCTCCAATCCAGTCCAGAACCTTGCTCGTCCAGGGATTGAAAGATAGTGGCGACAAGATTAGACAAGACTTCGATGTAAAGAGTTTGGTTCACTGCGGCGACACTTTTCTGCAGCATTTGCAGTTTCTTACGCAACTCGTGAAATTCAGCTTCGTCTGTTTCTTCGTCTTCTTGGCCCCACGACGATGTTTCGTCAAAACGCATCTTCATAATGATGGCATTGAGGATAGGTGTAAGCATCTCGGAAAAGGAGGACGGAAGTTCCGACAATTTGCGGAAATACTGCAAAACGTCGGTCAAAGATGGAATGACAGTGGAGCATACTTCATCATATTCATCAGAGAAGAAGCGTAGCAGGGGAGCGACAAAGTCGTGGAGCAATTCTGTTGCTTTGATTCTAGTACTATCATCAGTGGAGCGGTCCTCCAATACCCTCACAAGGTCGGCTACAATGGTGTTGACAAGCTTTGCGACAGCTTCGGCCAGGTCTGTGTCGTAGAGAGATGTACCCTTTCGTTCATTTAGCGGAGGACTTGCAATAAGCTGGGAGATGACTTCGTTCAGATTAAGGAACGAGATCATCTGGGTTTTGTCGGCTGGGCGCATCTTTTTCCCAACTATTTCGTTGAAGGCATCGACAGCCGCATCGCGAACTTTGTCACCATGGCCCGAAGTGTTCGTCCTTCCTATTAGTGGAAAGATATGACCAAGCATTGCATCATTGATGACTAGGGAGATATCGATCCAGCTAACCCATTTCCCAATTACTTTCAAGGTCATCTCCACAATGCTGTCATTTTGATCACGGTACAAGCCTAGCAGATCCTGCCAGGACTGTGCTATCTTCCCAACGTCTCTATCTCTTAGAAGATCCTTTAGTTCGGTATGCACTCGGACCTGGTTGTCCTGCCGCGCAACTAGGACATCTGCAATCTCGTCGTGGATAGAACCAAGGATACGTAGGTACAGGACGACGCCGGCAATATTGTCACGCTGTGAGCTACCGGGAGTAACCGTGAGAGCTAAGAATTCATCGACGAAACCATGCCATCCTTCTTTGTACAGACTAACAAAAAGGGAGGTGAGGATCTGGGTGAGCTTGTTTTGAAGACTACTCGGATCGGGCTGGGATTGCTGGCCCGAGGCATAGTTGGCTCGTATGTATTCGAGGAGGGCATCACGGAGGCTGATTAGGCTCTGAAAGTCAAGGGATTGGTTGTGGATGGCGTTGTTGACTATCTCCAGGGCGACTAGGCGGACGACTTCGGAGGGCCGTTGTGGTCTGGCAAAGAGGGAAGCACATACCCGCCATCCTTGAGGATCATGATGTAGCTGCTGGACATATTCGATCGCCTGGCTCTTGAGGGTATGGTCAGAGGTAGTGTCCCATGCAATCTCGATAGCTTTCTCGACCTAGTTCAGGGAGGGACTTGGTTAGCAAGATATACCGGGATTATATGTTCTCCTATGTAGAGGTGAGGGTGGCGAAGCTGAAGATGATATGTGAGGGATGAATTCGGTCGGCCATGTGACAGGTGATAGACGGTAGACGGGACACGGCAGGATGGAAGTCGGGCGGGTGGTGGGGCAGAGCTACTAGGTAGGTAGGTATGTATATAGGTATGGAGGTAGATGAAGAGGAGGGGAGGGGAGGGGAGATGATACCTGAGACTCCATGTTGATTGTTCGTATGGAGATGCTATGACCAAGAGGACACCGAGCTCACGGCGGGGACCAGCAAGAGATGCAGCGTGCTGTGGGTAGCAAGCAGCTTCTTCCGGTCTTGTGCAGTGACTCGGTGATGGTGATAGCAACGGCGAGGGCGGCGGCAGTGGCAGCGGCAGCGGCAATGTGAGGATCGTCTTGCAGCAGCAGCAGATAGCAGACAGGGCTTCTTAAATGACGATAGGAATGCAGAGCACACACAAACGAACGCAGGAGAGGGACGTGAGAGGTGGCATAGACTCGCACCCCCCACCTTGACTGACTGGCCTTGTCGATAAAATGTTTGGCTGGACTCTCCTAAGTGCTGTCTGTGTAGTGTAGAGCGGTGAACTTTTGAAGGGGGAGGGGCCTTAATCCAGAATTCCAGAGCTGCCCCGCCATAAGCCATCCATACAAGGAGGCAGGAGGCAGGCAGAGAGGGGCGGGCGGGCACACACGAGAGCAGGTACCCAAGACAGCTAGGTTAGGTACCTAGGTTACTTAACCTTTTACCTACTGACGACAGGAGGAAGTACCTAACCTGATAGTCACAGCAGGCCAGGTACCTGTCGGCAAAAGTCCGGTTTTAGGGGGCAGGTGCTATCGCGCTGTAATCTACCTACCTACCCACCTTCAATGTAGGTATTTGCCTCACAGCTCCCTCGACAGCCTTCATCCCCATAAGAACACGCACAATTCTACCTATGGCATCATGGCCTGTCGAGGGAATGTTGGAGGTGAAAACCCATCTCTTTCCATTGGATAGACGTGACTATGTAAGTAGGTAAGCACCTACCAAACAAAGGAGGTAGCACACACACATATATATAGATAGGTGAACCTCCAACTTGTTCAAGTCGCTGGCCCATGGGTACTAACAACCATCGAATCTGCCATGAATATTAGCCGATGGTTTGATATGTCCTTGAATCCCGACTGTCCAAGTTCTTAGGTAAGTAGATAGACAATGAAGTCACTACACTGCAGACCTGTGTAATTTTTGTTCTTTTCATTGTATACATTATGACTCTCGACCCCTACCTGTGTAGGTAGGAATTGTTTCATCAAAGTATCGCTGTAAAAGCCTAACATGGCCTCGCAAGGACGACGAGCCCCGGCGACGGCAAAGACGGCTCTCTGGAGGAGAATAACACATCATCGATGATACCCTATCAAGTTTCTGATATATCGCACACATCAATGTTATCCGACGAGCATGCGGGAGTGGCGTTGTAGGGAGTTCTCCTTCTCCCTATTAGGAGAACAATAAGGGGAAAGCGACGGTAACCAATGGTACCAAGAACAGTCGGCGTGAGAGTGAAGGGAAAGCGGTAAGCGGTCGATACGGTCGGTATTTCGCTTCTCGCAAGGGATAAAACAGAATATTGACGAAGGGAAAATTACTCTACACAGCCTGATACGAGAGCAGGGAGATGGTGTAACCAGAACGGCCATTTCTTCATCATTGTGTTTGATTGCGTTCTATGCCCCCTTTCTGCTACAGAGCCTGTACTCCGTACTATTTCGTAGAGCCGGTCAGTTCAGCTCAGCCTGTGTTTGTCAACGGCTGCACCGCCCCTGACTTTAACATTACTGTTAATAGCTATATGAACGTCGATCCCAAGGCTACGAGAAGACAACTGGAATCATGATTTGCTGCCCCGAAGGCTACACTGGACATGTACTCTTGCACACGCTTTTCACGCGCTGCATTCGAGTGAACGTACTTAGTATCCGGGATGCGAAAAATGGCCGGGCGATCTGTATTCACATATATTGTATACGGTAATAGCTGGAGAATGGGTTTTACTACAAATTTTTACATTACGTACAATGACACCATATAGTATATAAATAATAATTGTAGAACTGTGCTCTCTCGTATCTTGAGAGTGGGTAACATTGAAGCAACGACGAGTCAGGTTACTTGTACTCGTAGTACACGTAACGCCCCATTAGGTCCTTTTTCATCACTTTTTAAAACCAAGTAACTAACTACATGATTTTGCAGTTCAAGGAGAGCCTCATCGTTATTTCACGCAGGCGCCCATAAACCTGTCCGAAGGCGCTTCTCATCCCTATATTTCCAAGTGACACTTTAATGAAATGCATATACAAGATAAAAGTAGTGTATTGGAATCGCCACTATTCGGGATATCCCCCCAAGCTCTGGAGCCAACAACCCTCTTGCAGCAAATTCGAGATTACAGGACACACCCTTCGCCACACTAACCCGCATTATTTCCATCCGCCAGAACAGGAAGAGCAGGTCCACACACTGGCTAGTCGAGTAGTTTAGCTATCCACTACTTACTGAGTATATACCTTACTATAAGTATACGCTATACATAAAGTACCTTGCAGTGCTCTTAATTAAGCAGAATAAATACCTATAGTTAGGCTTATTCGATAGCTCATTTACACAATTAGACAATACGATACGGAAAGGACTTGGACCAAGGCGGTGTGTATTAATGAAATAAAATGGCTGTATTGATAAACGCTCACGCATTCGGGACTCGGGAGTATTGAGAAGAACATGCGGCGGAGGAACATGCAAGGACACAAGTCGTTCCTGCATTAGTGCGAGATCTCTATGCTAACTCGTGTTTCGTGAGCAAATGATTCAAGTTGGGTAATTAGGTGCGAGGATTGCCCAAGTGCATCTACCACAGTACCAGTACTTACTTACTTAGTAAGAACTACACTGTACACAATTCTCTCCTACTGCCGAGATGTACTATAGCAAGTGGTCAGATAGGTTCGATCGCGGCACTGCTGTGTACTCTGTCACGAGATTCATGATGCTCACAGTTGCCAGGTACAGGCTGAAGCACGAACCTGAGCAGCAGTTACATCGTACGGAGGCTCCTACAACAACTCACTCAATATTGCTCGACTCCCGACAACATGGACATCTAACGTGATAGAGCCTTTTAAAGAAAGAATAATCATCATGTACCACCTGATAATTGTCTCACAGTTTTGCGAGACGGTGGATAATAGACCTGACTCAGAAATAGGGCACACAAACAGCTATGGGCTGGTTGGCTAAATGTCTCGATTCCTTTTGTGTCTCACAAACCATGTGGCTACGCTACGGCACTGACCACAGCAGTTCATCAATTACTCTTCAGCAAGGGCGTTCGCTCATCTTCAGACACCAGCCAGACTAGGTATCTAAGCAGGATCAATCACTCTTCATGGAAGATGCCTCTTGAACCAAATATGAAGGATGGTCAGAGAGAGATGGTGGTATCGGTACATGCATCCTTCGCTGCCCGGTAAGTCGGTAAGTCAGTCAAGAGGCCATCAATTGGCCAGAATTGCTTCGGTCTGTTAAGGTGGTGTAGTGTTTGTGTGTGGAGACAGCTAGCTGCTGCATCCCTTACCATCGCCCCGAAATCGTCCTTGCCAATGAAAGCTTGGTATTGCATCAAGGTCGGCGTGAAGCCATTCCCCCACACCAAATGAACGCACGCCGTTGGACCACGGCCACCTCCCAGGCCCATATTCAACGGCACGGTCTACATGTGCGCGCGCTTGGCCATCAAGTGAGGGCCTGCCAATCGACAATGCAGCCCATCTACGAAGTAGGGACCAAGCCAGACAAGGCCATGTCTTTAGGCCATCTTTGTTGCCATGATCTGCCTTTGACGGCCTGCTGGGCTGTACACGCCATGAGATCATCTGAAAGGCTCTAGACACCAACGGGCATGGGCGATGAATGGAATTCGTAATGAAAAGGGCGATCCCTTTTCCCCTTTAGGCCCTTTATGCCTCTTTGATGTGGATCGACCGAGCAAGAAACCGATGCCAACACCAGACCAGCACTACACCGCGGCCCCAGTAAAAGCCTGCGCAATCAACCTCCACCGCTTACCGCTTACAGTACCTACTTAGTCGGGATGTCTGTGTAGTGGCATTGGCCCTTGTCACTTCTCCCCTGAATGAAGGAGATGGCCCAATCTATCTAATTTCCCAGCACCACAAGTCTGGCGGTGGGGTTACTAAGGATGGCAGTCCCTCCTCAGATCCCTCCTCTCCTTTGTGCAGAGAGAGCCTATTAATACCTGACCTCCTCTGGTCAGATATTACTCTTCTTTCTCTCTTTTCTCTTCAGCCCAAACAGCCAATTCGCATTCTAGCTCACAACCTTGACTTCGGTCGTCCACTCTTTTCCAACGCTCTTAAGCTTCAAGCTTCAACTACTTTCGTTATCTAACCAACGATTACTTGTCGTTTATTAAACGTACAAATTAAATCAACCAAACCAGTCAAAATGCGTTACTCTACCGTCGCCCTCTTCGCCGGTGCCGCCATGGCCACCAGCACCGTCTACTCCACGGATGTTGTCACCATCACCTCTTGCGGCCCTGAGGTCCCTGACTGCCCTGGCAACTCCTACCCTACTCAGGGTGGCTACCCCGTCGAGTCTTACCCTCCCGCCGGCGAGACCACCACCAGCGAGGCTCTCCCCACCACCTCTGCCTACCCTACCTCGGAGAGCACCCCCGCTGTTTACCCTACCAGCTCTTACCCCGTCGAGAGCCCCAGCTCTTCCGCTGAGACCTCTGCTGTCACTTCTGCTTCCTACCCTCCCAGCAGCTACCCCGTCGGAAGCAGCAGCAGCAGCGCCTCTCCTTCCAGCTACAGCTCTTACCCTGCTGGCCCTGGCTCTTCCTCGGTCCCTTACCCGACCACTCTGGAGACCTCTTCTGCTCCCTCCTACCCCAGCACCTCGGTGATCCCCATCACCTACACCACCTGTGTGCCCACCACCTCGGTCAGCTACTCTACCGTGACCTACGCTCCTAGCAGCAGCGTCAGCGTTTCTGTCCCTGCCAGCTACCCCGCTAGCTACCCTGTTCCCACCACCAGCGTCATCCCCACCGGTGGCTACACGTAAGTTATACTCATTTGCCAGCATTGAATATGAATGTTTGTCTAACCAGCCAATAGACCTGCCCCCTACCCTACTGGTAGCCCCATCCCCACTGCCGGTGCTTCGACCATGGCCGGCTCTGCGTTCTTCGCCGCTGCCGCCGGTGTTGCCGCTGTTCTCTTCGCCTAAGCGCCAAGCAAGCACAATTGCTTGAAAACAGAATTCCCTTGTTTAATGACTCAACCTCCTTTTTGTCGTTTGTGAGCAAGCCTCGGAATGAAAAAGGGAAGGAACTCTTTGCAACAATGATATCCGGGCCACGGCAACTCGAACCCAGCAGTGGTTTGAGGGGGACAGAAACCCAGTTTTGTGTATTTAATTTCTAATTGTATTTAGAAAGGCGTTGCTTTGGGAATGCCGATTGTCTTGTTTTATTGACATGAAAAGATTCTGATAAAACATGTTTAGATTTCCCAATTTGTCTTTGTTATTTACAGTATAGTAATTGCAGGTGCTTTTGAAAACCATTGTCTTGATATATGCTTCCTCGCACAACATAACTACCTATGAGAACTTTGGTGTTGACATACTCGTACTATCAACCTAATTGATACCCTTTGCCGAAAGTTAGCCCTGTTTCGGACCCCTGCTTAGCTCGGCGCCCCATTTTGCCCCCCCAGAAAATCAAGTGGGTACGCATGTTCTGTTTCTCTTCATGCCCCTGTCGATCATCCCATCTCTGACCAATCAGGTGCCGCACTAGAGCCTCGGCCATCGCAGGACTGGGTAATTTCCGAAAATCGAGAGAATCCTCCCTCCCTCATCCACCATGCTTCAATCGGCATTTGGGAGGTGGTTCTTTTAAGTACTTATCTATCTATCGCTGCCATGTCTTTCATGACTCGCCGGTAGCGATCGAATGTTCTGGGTTTCTGCTTTTGCGCGGGTATGAGTTTTCCTTTCATATTGCATGTTGTATTTGTACATTTAAAGTTTCTACTCGTCTTTAAACCTTGCTTGGACGCGGCTATGGCACTGGCCAGCAGACCAGGTAGCTGACTGGCAATTGTTACATTGCACCGCCCATTGTCACGCACGTCTCGGCGAGTAAGTAAGCAATTAATTTCGATAGCTAGCCAATATATTATCCGTCCATGAAAGCAACAACAGCAGTTTTTTCTATATTAAGAACCAACGGGATACCACGCCCTTCCTTGACGTAATGTCTTACCGTAACGATTCATCTGCTGTATTACAAGGATGCAACGGTTTGTTAGTGCTGTATTGTAAGATATTGTTATACCTACAGACTTGGTGCGTCTCCGTCTTTATGCAGAGGATGTTATCTGTAAGGACGATTACATTTTTTTGGCAACCATTCAGGGTCGTACGGATCTGGTTGCGATATCAAGCAAGGGATAAGGATAAATAACTACTGATAGATCAGGCCTGTACATCTTTGAGGGATGAGAGAAAGCAATTCCTTGATGACTTCATATGACGTACACATGTAGTTTCAACGGCAGCTATGTGCTGTGTGTGGTGGGATATTCCGGATCCTAGCCCATTTTTTTCAATTGCCGGGTGTTTAGATGAAACTTAACCTCGCTCTCGCATCTCAAACATGTCGTGGTCTTTTGAGTTAAGTTCAGGATATTTGGGTTTAAAAACGGTATCTCAAGACATAATGATTTACATATAGTTACACAACAGACTAGTCGATAAACAGAGAAAGTATCTTAACTGAGTGACCGGATTCTCTAACCCCTTGCTTCTTTCATGAGCTCTTTGTGATCTTCTAATGACATTTAAATCTATATGGTTAATCCTCACCGCAACCTTAATACAGTGAGAAGACTTCGCTTCCCTCCATATCACGATCTAGTAAGTCATCTAGTTCTTATTAGGATAACAGTCAGACTTTTTAAATTTAAGAGCTCGCGCCAATTCACGGAAATTCTCAAGTACTATGAAACGCTACATAAAATATTCTGATACCCATTCTCATCATAGGTGTAGTAACTGGGTGCAGGAGAAAGGTCGCCTGCTCATTTCATGTCGAACCATTCCTTCGCTCTCTGGTCTACGAATAGCCTTGGCCCCTTCCAGCAATTGGCAGTGATTATCGGGGTATATCTTTAGCGATTGTGACGCTTTTCGTTCTTTCTTCGTTATGTCTAAAGGCACACACTACTATATTTATCCATCTTAATTCAGGTTGAACAGGGATGAGATCCATTTCACTGCATTTTTAGCCCCAAAGAAGGCTGCTTCACCCTAAATGCTTAAGTAAGCAAACTTCGGGAGACCGCCAAATAGAGACAGTATACCTAATGCCATGCTTCGTTGACGTGATTTGCTTTCCATTCGAGATTGTTTTCTACAAGAAATGAAGTGTAAGATTGTGCGATGTGACAACCCGCAATCCTGGGAGGCACTGAGCTTCGTAATCAGTCTAATTAAAACTTCAGTAATCTATGGTCCGAGTTACCTATGCTTATAACAGCTCTATTGGGTTTGACTCTGTCTTTGAAAATGGTACTTTTATTATCTCTTGCTTGATTTCTACCCCCTGGCTGGAGCCAGAGATTAAAGGTATACCTGTACAAGGGTGGGCATATATCAGATGAGCTAAGTTACTAATACCAATCGTGTCGTCTGAACACAGTCAATCCCAGAGCGGTGAGCTATCAAGTAAGAAATGTACGCGCATTAAAGTGTGGTAGCCACTAAATCATGAGCGTTATGAGACCGAAAATGTAACACCGAAAACCCTCAATACGCTTGTACATATTCGAATATGATGCTTTAGAAGTTGCAGGCAAGGTGTTTAAGTATAACAAGGACAGAGATACTGGGCTTGGAACTTGAGGAATTCAGATGATAATGAACAACTAGGGCTGCATGAGTCCTTGACCAACCAACTCCTTCTTGGCTGTTGGTGGCTTGACTCGACTCTATATACAACTGGTCTGCCAGCCCAGACCGCCTAGGTGTCTGGGGTCTGTTTCAAGAAGCGAAGTCTGTATAACCTCACTTTCCAACATTGCCCAATATTGCCTGCATGTCTCTGTAAGGTCATGAACAGCCTGCAGTGGCCGTTCGTACGGTCGAAGTGCAAGGCGAACTGCATATTCAGCTGTCACGGCGTTTACATTAAGCGTGGGCTCAATTCCATGACGACGTTAAGAGGCTAAGCGAGGCGCTATCGAGCTGTCTATTTTTCCGTTGAGATTTCTTACACAACAACGTGGGAAAGAACTTGAACTTCACTAGCAGCTACTTGGTATATCTTATCAGTGAATTACTTCATTCGGGTGTGTAAGAAGGTGAAAAGTGAGCCAAGATGTAAGTACTCCATTTCATCAAGTCACTCAAGCATCAACCACTACGTAAACCACAAGACCATATATCCCGGACTAAACTTGGACGTGTAGCACTATATTGGTACCGACTTTTCGTAGAAAAATCTACGGTAGGTTTGAGTTTTAGACCGCATAAGGATGCGTTGTGTGGTCATGAAAACATATCTATCTTTTTTGATAGAGCTATGTTATGATCCATACAAAACGCCGACACTGACTCGACATTATTAAATATCATATGCGGCTCTTAATCGCAAAAGTGTCTTATCAACGCTACGTATACCTTAAAGGTGTATTGACGGCTCGCACACGTCAGTGTTCATTGTCTAATTATGACTTCACTTACCGATTCATCAACATCCGAAAACTACATCTCCGGCAGACTACGCCCAATTCATGATCAGCAGAGCAAGAGTTCCTTTTCCGGAAATAATAGTCAGAGGCATTTACGCCTGACACACCATCTTGAGATGAAAGAAATGGCATAACACTACGCAATCCTGACGTAGAGATTCCTAGTTTAATTGAGGTTGTAATCATAGCACACCTTATCTAACATCGCGTCATCCCGAAGATGAAGAGTGAAGCCCAGAAAATGAAATGAGGAAGACGGAATGAAGGCCAAGTCGGATGGGATGCACAGAGACACTCTTAGCTCACGAAAACTCAGCAAGATAGGTGTAGATCCATCTCCGTGTTGTCGGCGCACGTGCAGCTCCTTATCGCTTCATATCTAGATAGCATGAGAAGTTTACTCTGCCATGGCTCTCGTCACCAAGTCAACTTCTCATACTGCACCATGGAAGATAAGAGAATATGAATTTCGAACGAGTACTGCTCGCCCATCACTCAGGAGCTAGGCAAGGGGAGTTGAGCTTAAGTGCCTACCTAGTCCGAGTTTATTGAAGACAAACATAAAACGACCAACTCTGTGAGTACTCGCACTTATCCTACTAGAGCTCTCCGTATGCGATATGCGTAGACCCAGCTGCCCAACAGTAGAACTGAACTCGCCCATTCCCGCCCAGCCATTGATCACATGAGCAGAAGAACCTACCCACCTCCCTAACTTACATGCATAGCTAGCTCCTAGCCCTACTCTAGTTACTTAGATATCCAAAGTCACAACTTCACGACAAGCAACGCTCCATCCAAGAAGCAAGCGCTGAATCAAAGAGGACAGCGCTACACAAATTAGCGTACCTGCGCAAAAGGAACAAATAGCCCGCCCTCACCGCTTATTATATGGGATTTCTCACTAGGTAGGTAGGTAGGTAGTTAGCATATGCCAATTAATTAACTGACGAAAGCAGTCGATCATTCGATCTGCAATTACATATCCCAAAGCAGCCAAACTCACATCCAATAACCGCGCAAGTCAATCTAATATGTACTTACGTTAAACCCTTCCTTAGGCACTTAGGGTCCTCCTGCCCCATCAGGAAGTTCAAGACATGCAGGGACCCTGCGGTCATCACTTACTCATTTACTCTACTCGCTCACTCATTCAAGGGTCCTATTTACCTACTATCTACCTACAGTACCCACAATCCTACAGAGAAGAAAGTCAAGAAAAAAAAAAAAATAGAATCATGATTCCTTCACCACGAGTTTGGTAAAAACCATATACCTATACCATACCAGAAATGGAACGAAAGAAGCAAGTAATCCCTGAAACTGCTAAACTCTTCTGATGCTCATTACTATAGATCTTAAAAAGGATAAAGTAGAGTCGCTCTTCTCTTTTCTACATAGAAGGCCCCCTTTCCCCGCAAACAAGCTGAAACTGACCACCAGAGGTACGCGCTGTCACAACTCCACAAGAGACGATCTGCAGATGTGTAGTATAAAAAAAAGAGTCAAATGAAAAAAAAGCCATGAATTAGCTCCCTCCAATCATAACATAGGTGATCACTGTTTCCCCAATTGACGGTGTAAGTATATGGCTTAGTCACAAGAAACAAAGCGAAGAAAAAAAAACAGAAATGAACAATTTCTAGATGTAAGTAGTGTATATAAAATGCTGACTTCTATGAGGGTATCAAAACGCTATGAAATTACATAATGAATAGATCTCAAAAGGCTGGTCTGAGTAATGTGTAAGTAATGCAAAGGGTAAGTGCTGTGACACTTGATCTTAGAATAAATTACGATGGCCTGCTAGAATCTCTTTCGCACGAAAACAAAAGGTCCCGTCGTTTTGTTGTGTTTTCCCTCGAATGACTTCCGACCATAGATAGGGTTATACCCATAGGCTCAATACCCTCATCTGCGGGTGCCTCTGACGTGGACATATCCGCCAAGGCATCGCGTGTCCGTGCTCGCTAGCAAATCGTAAAAGCTGTGGTGGACTCAAAATTCATCCTTGCAGGGGCTATAGAGCCGAATTCAAGAAATCTGCTCATGCCACCGACGTAGGCGAGACCTTTTGTGGGCCTGAGTTGTTTTCGAAGAGCGTGCGGTCAAGGCAGATTTTATTTCAGGCTAGATTATGACTAGTAGGTCGAACAGAAGGAGCTTGATTGTGATCTCGGCATTTGGAAGCAGCTACTCCATCTTGATAGAAGCCCAACAGCACTAGTGTGTTCGAGCGCTGTTTTCTAGAATCTTTTTGTGGGCTGGAGCGAATTGCGAGATCGGGCACGATTGAGTAATGGATAGAGCGGGATTCGCCTCTTGGCTATGCCGGGTGGATCCGTTGACAAGGAAGCGCTGAGACAAATTAATCCTCTACCCATTTCGTGTTCGGACTTGTCGACAAGTGCAAGACGAAATTTACCTGAGTCTTGTTGCGAAGCTGAAAAAGATTATTGTAATCGACCCATCGAGGTAAGCGACGCGCGATTGTGGTCTGTGCCAATTGTATGTAGTATTGTTTACATTCCAATTGGCGTCTTCAGTACGTAAGTGTGACGAAATTGAGGCTGACGAGTGGCAAATCACTAGGAGACATGCACCTCGGTAAATTGACTAGTCGTCCTCCTGCAACGTCGCAATCCACCGTACCGGGACGCCACTGGCACCAATCTCGTAAGGCTTTGTGACTGCTTTCCTAGGGGGCAGCAACCAGCGCGCGTGACCTTCTCTCGAGTCGTCCAATTTGCCCCTCTTCCTCATGAGATGCTCCATAACCGCAATGCGAATGAAATCTGGATTTTCGCGCATCTCTCTTTGACGTGGGCCGGGTGGGAGCAGTGGCACCATTGACGATCTGTCCGTGTTGGAGTTGTGTGCTGTCTGTCGGGCCGGTCTTGGCACTCCTCTTGAGCGCTGTACTTTGTACGTTTGCATCTGGATTGATGCTGTGTAGCTGCGAACAGATGAGGCGCCTCGCGCCTCAGGCCGAACGTTGCTGGAGGGGTTCAAATACCGCCGCATGGCCTCACTGGGTTCCTCTTCCAGAACTGGCGGCCTCCTTTCATCTGTAAATGGGACCCTCGGGTCGATAGTGAGTATTGACCTCGTAAGAAAGTCATCGGGAGGAATAGAAGAGGCGGTAAATGTAGATAAAGTTCGGGCAGCCGATCGCAATGCACGAAGTGATGCCGTCAGATTCGATTTGAAAACGGATTTGAATGGCAAAATAGTCTGCGCTTGCTTGTCGACTGGTAGATTGGGCTTGGCGGTGAAGTCGAGCTGATCGTTCTCTATAGCCACTTTTGATAATGGATCGCTCGGCAACTCCCCAGGCGGTGTGGTTACCGGCTCTAGTGACCGCCTCGGCGAACGCATCCTCCCCCCTCGGGGAGTGATAGGTGAGTCGGCTGATGGGATCACACTTTGCGACAGAGAATCGCCTAGGGAGGGTAGACTGTCGAAGGACTGAGTTCGTGTAGAATAAGGAGATGCAAACCCGCTATCGGTCTGCAGCAAGGCATCTTCCACTTCAAGTGCATCAGGGGGAGTGAGCAGAAATTCCAAAGGGCTGCGCTCAAACGAGGACAGACTCAGATCATCACCCAAATCGAAGCGTAATTCCTGACTGAGATCCTTTTCTGAAACTTTGGAACGCGGTACGATAGAATCTACTGTCATCCGTGGATCCCTCTGCTCCTTTCTCTGTAGACTTTTCCTACGCTTTGGAGGTGGAATATTGGTGATGGCAAGAAGAGCAGCGACTGCGGGTGGTACGGCATCGGGTGAGTGAACATCTGCAGCTCCACGGGCGGACGAAGACCGTGCCCGATCGTTGGTCTTCCGGAGGCGATGCTTCTGCTTGGTGGGGATTTGTACGGCGCTTGAAGGCGTAATCGGTCGTGGTGCTATTGTAGTAGCCATGGCAATCGATGGTGTGTTAGTGACCTCGCGAGAGAATGTATCTGACGGTGATAATATTGCTCTACTAGTTGTTGTGTTGTCTATAAATACTTCCAGAGGTTGCTGTTCCGAGGCTCGCAGAGGGCGGGTTGAAAAGTCATACTTTCTGGGAAATGATTGACGTGATTGCGTGGTTGGTGATGCAGGTACAAGAGATGGCGGACCGGCTTGGGTGAAAGGTGATGGCGAAGGCCTGCGGGTGTGAAGAAAGGACCGTGGGGTGATCATGGTAATAACACTTAATACTTAATGCTCGGTATACCCAAGCCTAAACAAGATACGACAAGGGAACCCCGAATTACCCAACTAGGTGGGTTTGTCTGACATGGCCTGGTCAATTACAGATCGGGGATGCAACGAGACTGAACCGGGCGGCCCCAACGCCGAGAAGCCAACCTAGTTTAGCGTAGGTAGGGGGAGGTAGGGGAGTGAGTGCAAGTAGATGCGATGCGACGAGTAATGATGAATGAGTCGTTGGCTCCGTTCCGCTGGTGCAGGGCAAGGGTAAAACAGGTGGCCATCGGTGGATCGACCAAGGTCCGAGTCTGTCCAAGGTAGGTATGCTGTCAAGGTCGAGAAAAAAGATGAATCCCTAGGTACCCTCTCTCTATTACCAATACAATAATTAGTCGCGTGTGGTGTGCGATGAGGGACTAAGGTACGTAGTAGGAGGAGGTATTGCGAATGTCGTAGAGCGAATGCACTGATCCTCTCTCCCGTTTCCCTCTCTTTCTTAGGGAGACTGCTCTCTTACTATATGTCTTTTCAGGCCCTGAATTTCTTTCGTTCCTTCTCACCCTTTTATTATTATTATTAGTTTTATCTCGAATCCCGTTCGTCGTTATTGGTAGGGCTAAGGGAACTCGATGCAAGGCCACCGAAGATACGGTAGTGTAATGCGGCTTGGTGGTGCTTGGTGGTGCAATGGGGTTTCACCAGGGGCCTTTGTGATTTCTGGTACGTAAGAGACAGGCGTTGTGCCAACGTGGTCGCGCTGCAAGTCACGATCCCAGCAAATTGGGTGAGGCTTGGGGTGGTGACGTCGCGTGCCTACAAATCAACTGCTAATCGACTTCCGTCTCTTTTTTTTTGTCGTCGGTTAGATCGGCCTTCGAAGTAGATGAAGAGAAGATATGCGGAAAAGTCTCCCGGTCTACGATAATGGCGGCAGTGTTGCTTTTGTCCTTCAGTCTTCAGTGCATGCGACACAGGCGCCGGGGCTGATAAGAGACGGGGACGAGAATGCTAAGGTTCGCACCGGGGTGGCGACATGCGGCGACTCAGTCACTTTGAGCAAGCCAATAACTATAGCCGGCATACAAGAACGAGAACGCTGTTGAGCAGGACATAGAGTAGATAGCAAGAGAGAGAGAGATAGAGAGAGGTGTGTGTAGGTTGGCAAGTATTTCTTATTGCTTGGTAGAAGAACGATGCGTTGCAGGCAGTCATCGTCTTACACTCCTTCCTGTCTTATTCAGACCGAACGATTGAAACGTGGTTCGTCATGATATGTCAAGTACCTATTTAATCTGATCAGGTACCTCCTCATGTTGAATTCGTGGGCCGTGTACAAGCCGTGTACAGCTCACTACTTATCAATAATAGTATAGGTACATATTATCATCCATAACTGTCATGTTTCCATTCCATGTACATTCCATGTATTAGCGGTATCAGCGGAACTGATCAGTAAGCCAAGACCCCAGCCTACCTATCTATCTAGGTATCTCTATCTACCATATCAACCCATCAGCACCACAAGGGATGTGTGATACTTGGATGTGATACTTGTCATGTGCGCGCTGGGATTTGTCCTGCTTTTGTGAACGCCAGATAAGGCAGCCTACCTCTTTAGGCAAAGATGAGATGGCAGTTGAATTCAAATGTTGGAGTTGCCCGATAGGGCAGCAAGTTACCGCGGATGCTGCTTTTACTGCAATACAGGCACGCTACGCAGCACTATACAGCACTACACAGCATACTTACAGAGGTAGGGTATCAATGGATTGATTGGAATCCACTTACGGTGTCAAAGGATATCTAGCACCAAGCGCTCTGACAGGGAATTAAATTGGCTGTCTACTCCATACTTGAGGTATTAAATAGGGAATTACCAGCGATGTCGTGTGGATGCGACATGCGACACGCAACAGGACGCTGCAATGACACTCACTGCCAGTACTTACGGTACCTATGCCCCTAACCCAACCCCCAAATGTGTACCAGTAACATTGATCCGGTCTTCCGCTCGTTGCTCCGGTCCATCCTTCGAATCAGAAAGGCCCGTTTTCTGTTTCTCTGTTACTGTTCATATGGCCATTCACATACAAATACGTGGTTGAAAGCGTACTATAATACCTACCTAGATAGAGTACTGTAGATACACTGGATAGCATGGATAGCAGTGAGGTACCGGTAGTGATATTGTAAAAATAAAAGGTAATATCTTTAGTAGCCAAGACATCCTCCCACTACTTCGTTTATCTCTTACCTTTGCGCTACCAAGAAAGTAACTGCTCTGCGAAGCTAGTGGCAATTAGGTATATGGTATACTACTGTATGTATCTATGTATGCGGGTGTGATCACTCTTGCTCAACAAGTCTGTCTGCCTGCCTCACTCAATTACTACACTACCCACCTGCCTTAGACCTACTCTGACCTACTCTGCCCTAACTAAGGAATTAGCACATTGTGGGGGAATGCCCATCTCTCCAACGTCCAACACACCAACTTACGATAGTCAGCAGCTGGTGCCATCGCTATCATTGGCCTAGTAGAATCGTGACGTGGGTGATCCTGCGCATATGACACCAGATACCAACCGTGTGTAGGTACGAGGTAGTAGGTATCGCATGCCAATGGATCCCATACCACTACATCATCCAAAGACCCCTTCTCCCGGCCGAAAAGGCCTTGTCTGCTCCGCGGGGATGGTTTATTTCATCTCTCGCAGATTATTCCTTTCTCCACGTCTTTCAACACGGCCCTGATGATCGTGCCATTGTGGAGTACTCGAGAAGGAGAAGGGGAAGGAGAAGGAGGAGGAGATAGGAGATGAATATGAATATGAATATGAGTTGAAACAGTCCCCCCCCTCTCTATCTCTCTACATATATATTTAGGCTTCAAGCTGACAATCTACACTATCTCTCTGGCCCACGCGACCCGAGCTAGGATGACGTCCTAAATATTAGGCATACCACACTACACCACGCTACGACGTGCGATCTTCCTCCATCTTTTGCTGGCCAGCTGCTCGCGTGAGTTCAACCTATGGATACTTACTTCGCTGTGCTGCGTCAGCCAGCCACACCTGAGTCTCGGTAGATGGCCCATGCCAAGCATGCCTCGGTCTCAGCACCTGGCTGTCATCCAATGCGTGCGCTCGAGGCAAAGGTGTTTCCCAACATCATGAACTCAAGCCATGAAAGATCACAAGTTGAGAGGACCACTGCTTCAGTGTCCGAGGTGGCTCACTCACCATGCATTTCCAAGAAAGCTGTCGCCAACGGTGACAGAGCGCCGAAATCGCAAGAGGGTTGGCTAGTTCAGTCCCAAACCTCCCCGCCCTAGCCGCTCAACCAGAATCCTCCGTCGTCACGTTTTGCGGATAGCATTCACTAGTCGTCGCTAGTGCGTGAAACGACGATCTTCAAGTCCTCCTAGCAAGTGTCAAACAAAAACAAGGTGGTGAGAAACAAGTTGACGATGAACTTTATTTGCATCCCACTTCTGGTAGCATTGAGTGCTACATACGCCTCGGCTTGCCCTCGGCCGCGGGTAAACAGATCAGGAATGCGATTAAGTGGTAGGTAGGTGTTCTATTGCTGACCTCGATTATGACGAGGTGCGCATGAACGGGATACCCATCGTAGAAAACTCCCAAGACCCGACAAACATATCATACCTGTAGATCCACCAACCACAAAGGACATTCCCCATCTCAACAAAATCACATTTTGTAAGAACGTTGCAATACTGTGAACCTCGCCGAGAGAAAGGCGCATAGATATCACACCCAGTCCGCCAGTTAATTTGTCCCTTTTGACAATGGTCTAGAACTCATTCTCTGCGTGTACCCATGCCCATATATTCTTACCAACGAATGAGGAGTACCAGAGAGCCCAAGAAACCGATTTGTGTGTCGTTGCACAATATGCAAAGGGCGCTGAGCATGGGAACCACTCACAGAGTCAAGGCACCCTCACAAATGAATCTATCAGATCCGTGGGTGCCGTCGGTGCCGTTGCATTCTCAAGTGCTACTAGATAAGGACGGTACCAGTTGGGCTTCTCATCCCCTTCTCGAAGTTCGGAAATCTAGCGTTGCAAGCTACTTCATTCTCTCCAATTTATCTTTGGGCATCAAGAGCGGGACCACGGCTTTGCGGGAAACAGATTCTTATCTCGCAGCGAAGAGAAAAAAAATCTAGGAAAAAATCGGTTACATGCAAGGTCCCTTTCTCCCCTCCTCCCCCTCCCAACAGTGACTACGTATGTAGGTAGGTATATACCGTACCTATCTTAGGTTGATAGGAAATGCGGGGAAGATCATAACGAAACATATCGCGCCAAGTGCCCATCCGACCGTACCTTGCTCCTTGTCGAGCTTGTGTGCCTATCATCATATGGGTGAGTGTATGCGGTTTTCTGTATGGTAGCGGGTAGGTCAGAGCTGGTCAGAGCACCTAGGTGGTGGTTAGCGCAAGGCCCTTGAACTCATCGTGCATGTGATTTCCCCACTGTCCCGCGCTCACGACCGGATCGTTGCCCATTGTGAATCCGGGGTTGAGAGGTACACGTAGTTAGTCCAGCGTTAGCAATAGAGATCGTCCTTATTTTGAAACAAGAGCTGAGTTTCTCTCAAGTCATAGTTAGTCAACATCGTGATCATTGCGAAAACACTATCTGGGGATTGACACCGCTGAGACTCAAACTAGGAGGTGGTGCAATTATGATGACGTAGAGCGTCGCGTAGATCTAGATACCTGTTTTGATTTTAAGGTAATTTTAGACAGTAGCGGATGCATTACTGTTCACTCACTATTTACGAACGGAAAATACGAGAAATGCGTACATACAATATGTGACGAAATGACGGACACCCTTACGCCACCACACGCCGAACTAATGAGACCTTTTCAGAAAGAAATGCGCTCCGGAAAAATGAAGAATGGTTTCCCACACGGAACGCCGGAAACCCCAGATAGTCGAACTGCACACAGCCTTGCTAATCACAGCGGACTCACGTAAGAATATGATAGGGCCCTATATCCACTTCTCCGTCTGTTGCTGGCTCCCTAGGCCCTGAGGAGCCGTGGACGGTCGCGAGTTATCCACCCCTTTGTCACGCAGGACGACGATATCGGTCTTCTTGATAATGCCATTAAACGGCATGGCCGCCTCCTCGCTCTGCCGCTGCGTCGGGCTCTGGAGCTGCGTCTGCGACTTGAGCCGCGTCATGCGCGTCGCTATCGTGCCGAGCACCCTGCGCTCCGTGTTCCCGGTAATCCCGTCGCGCTCAACGCGGAACATCTTGGGGAACCAGGTCCGGAGTAACGGCCTCAATGCTGGCGCCGAGGCCGTGATGAGCGCGAGATTGGTCTCGATGGCGGATATCACGAAGCCGATGTTGGCGTCCGGATTCAGGCTTGTTTTTAACATGAATAGGCCTTGCACGAGAAGAGCAAGTCGGATCATGCTTGTGATAGTCGTTCTAGATAATACGGCTTGTTAGTCTCGTGATATTTCCTCTTGGCAGGAAATAGTAGATAGGAAACCTACAGGAATCCCAACAGAAAGACAAACATGAGAGCGATCTTTGTTCGTTTCGGTATCTTCAAGCTGATGAATATCCTCATCGGTAGCGCTAGCATCAGTATATCGGTGAAGATATTGAACGACGACATGACAGTGAACAGAACTCTTCTGTCAATGCATGTCCCCTCCAGAGTAGGCTCCCAGGTCTTGCTGATGGGGATGCACTGAAGAATAACGCCGAAGAAGACCCCAATCATCATTCCGATATTGGCTATGTTCAGCCATACGATGAACCGCCTCACACCGGGTCGATGCCCAAATAAGCGCTGCAGGAAGAGCAATATCGAAGTTTTCACTAGCGCCAGGATCGGATTGTATAGAATCTCAATCGCATAATTCCATACCAGACCCGGTACAGGATCATGAGGCGGAATATCCTGCCATCTGATCCCTATGAAATTCGTTCTGATGTCTTCGAATAGGTTAGCATTTCTGAGATAGAATGGTCAGTTGATACCGCTCAGGACTGACACATATAACTTGCCGCCGTTTCTAGTATCGATAGTACCTATAGATCATAATTAGGCAATCCATTTCCTTGATCGATGTTGTGGGTGGTCAGCAGCTTACCATAGCTATGCATACTAAAGCATCATCTATTCCACACGTTAGCCTCCAATATGAAACATGCGGCCCATTCACTCACCTAAGGCGAATTGATGAGATGACACCCTGCCCGCTACTCTAATACACAGTATAACGAACGCCAGAGCCGTGAAACCTATAACAATCCCTATCGCCAGGCCCTGCTGAGTACTGGTGTAGTCGAAGGGGTCCATAGATGGAATCACCACCTTCGCAGCGTTTTCAGCCCCCATGAGTTTCTCGCACGTTATCATGGACATGTTGAGATTGTTGTACCACATAAACAAATGGTGTTATGGTAGTTGGGCTAAAACGCGCAGACAAGAAGGTCAAGAGAAAGCGAAATTAAAATCTCACTTCTAAGTCATAACGAGAGGGCTAAGCCCTCAGATATAGTAGTATAGCATTCCGAAGGCGAAAAGACGAGATAGAGGTTGTCGAATGCTTGAAGGTGATCTACGTCCCGGCGTTCGACTAGGTGAGCCTGACGAGTAGCATCAGGAAGACAGCCGGATAAATCAGCCTTGTGTATCAGATGGATCGGCTCGGATCGCCACATGGCCGGGCTCGAACGACAGACACGAGAATACTCCAATACCAATGCTATATGAGTTGAGGACCATCTTGCTCGGATATTTCATCTTGTCTGAGCTGACGTTCGCTGGGCAAGTAAGGATTACCGAGTCGTCTAGTACATCCCATGGCAGGTTTGCAACTGGTATAGATGTAATACGATTGATCACAATGTGCGCCGACATGAGAATCTCTCGAATGCAGACAGTCCCTCCGCTATGCTTTGCTTGAAATGATGTTCGATCACAATCGGAGGACCCCGTTGGAGATCTTCACCTTTCGACATCAGATGGTCAAACCTGAAATCACTGCGATTCGGCTCGCGATCAGGGTAAGGATGCACCCGAAGGGTGGTCTAATGATGGGATGAAAAGATGATAGAAAAGCCTAATAGTGAAGATCAGACGACAGAGAGCCGCTAGCTCGAGGCATACTTCATGCATGAACAGTTTGCTTGGCAGCGATAACTTGCTTTCGAAAAGCTTTGGCTAGTATGGCTCGATTGGAATTCGAGTCATCTGGCTATACTTTTGGGCATGGTGATAGAAACGGCTCGAGGTGTGCGAGGAATGGGCCGGTTGAATTGTCTGGATTGTCGCATGTACGCGGGCGAGGGTACATAGGCGAAGGTCAAGAAGCTCTACCTACCCCATCCGTGCGCAGGCAGGGTGGTCGAATCGGGGCAAAGCATGAACAGAGCTGCAGTATCATGAGAATCATTCCTGCTCGCTGTTGCCAATCATTTCACTGGAGAGTAATACCTTTCGTAGCATCGAGCAAGTGTATTCTGTCGATGAAATCCGATTGCCACTATTTAGTCTAAGGGGCTTCCCCATGATTTACGTGCCAATCTGGGGGATAGACTGGAAGCACCCGGACCATGCATGAGCCGATACAATACGATGCAAAATTCATCATGAGTTATTTGACGGAGATTGCGAATGCGATCTGTCGTCGAAGAGCAAAACGTCGGGGTAAGGTCTGTCTGGAAGAAGCATGCTAGCAAAGGACATCGATTGGTCTGCTAGTGATGTCAATGACTTCGAGTAGGGTCGTTGAACGATGTGTCCCATGTAGTGAAAGCCTGTTACCTTGAGGTGCGCATTGGAGCAAGAAGCGAGTATTCTCTCGAGAAGCTTCGAACGTGGTGGGTAGCTCGTATTTGCACAATTCTCCATACTCGCGAGAACTGCAATGGTCTACTTTCTAAACTGCCCACTTTATTAGATCACCACACTCGAGAGCTCTGTAGAAGGGCACACCTGAAACAGGCACGGCACGCATCACATTGCTGCCCCGCACAATCACAGATAGGAAAACTAATCCAGTCTTGACTCGACTCTAACATAACATGGTCAGATAGTCTATATCTATTTCTAATGGATATTCCAGATTAGCCGTTCGGAAGAGGGTGAGGTGAAAGAATCTGAAAGAATGACCCTGATGCTTAAATCGCCACTGGCACATGAGTACGTTTAAGCCTCAGTCATCGGGGGGGTTCATTTGGAAATGATAGCACTTGTCCTTGCGTTAACGACGATTCTAAGGATCTTGTTGTGCTTCTTCAATCGAAAATTTTCAGGCGAGCACAGATCATAGCACACGATTCACGCACTCAATGCTGAAATCTAGCTGAGGACAGGAATATTCGAGGGGAGTTCGAACAAGCATAGTTGAATGAATTGCCGTCTATTTGGTGTCATTCTTAGCCACCACTGTGGGTAATTATCAATTTAGTCAACCTTCTCAACCCCATTCGTGAAATTCGTGAATTCTTGTACGCACATAGAAGAATCCATGATATTTCCGCGGTAATAGAATGAATACCTCTATCTTTAGAGGCGCGGTGTGTTAACCAACGAAGTTGAGATGAGTGGTGAGATTTAGCAAATGCGTAGAACTTAATTAACAGTTTGAGCCAAAACGTTCATCAAACACACAACGGCACACACAAGTGGTGAGATGGCCGAGTGGTTATGGCGCTGCGTTCAGGACTTACCTGAATTCACTCCTCGAGTTAACTCTCGAGATTCAGAAGTTTCGCAGTGGAGCAATCCGCGTGGGTTCGAGTCCCACTCTCATCATCAGTGTTATTTTTTGCTCCTTTTAAGTTTTCGAGTTGGTGCTACTAGTAATCAACCTTTTGAAAGAGCGGGCGGGATCTAATAGACGCGGGACAGTTTATAAAACAGCCATACTGCTGTTAATATAAACAGTCTTTTATACTTTGTAAAACGTTTTTCTCTTGCATGTAATCCGAAAAGTTGGCAACTCTGTTTCTTAAAGACAGGCTTACATTTTAGCAGATGTATCTATCCTCTAGGCACTCTGTGTGTCTGTATGGTAGGTTACTCTTTAGATATAAGTAATATCTTGATTCATAGATTTGTATTAATGATGTACTTTGTCCATTTGTCTTGCACGATGTGTCAGCGATGATGATGGCGAAACCTGCATGAGAGCAGCAGCTGGCAGCAGCTGATATCTTGGCCGAAGCTCTATCCCTGCCACCAGTGACTTGGCAACTCCTACATGCACCTACCGCCAGCACTAGGTATCCAGAGGTATGCTGTCCAAAGAAAGCTATCTGGCTCATGGAAAACTAAATATAAATATTTAGATCGCGATAGCCCACCACAACTTCTTCAGGGGACGAGCCGGGTCTCTCTCACACCCAGAATGGCGACACCCGACACTTCGACGCTGACGAGTTCAGCCCAAGTCTTCACAACATACACGCTGCCGCAGATTCGTGCCATCCACAAGACGCTGCACACCCAGATCGACGAGAAGTCCGCCCGATTGCGCACCCAAGTCGGCAGCAGCTATCGCCAACTCCTCGGCACCGCCGACACCATTGTGCAGATGCAGGGAGATATGCTGTCGACGCAAGAAGTTCTGGGCCACATGGGCAGCCAATGCGGGCGCACAGTCGTCGAGAAGAAGATTATGGGTCTGGGCCGTTTCCGCGGCAATGAGGATGCCGAGGCGGCATTGGGTCAGGCTGCACGCGTCAAGCTTCTCAGAGCATGTGGGCTTGCTGTCAGCCGGTTGCTAAAGACGGGCACAAGCAAAGATGCTGAGGGAGGTAGAGGGGACCGCCTCGTGCTGGCTGCGAAAGTCTTCGTGCTCAGTCGACTGCTTGTGTCAAGCTTTGGGAATCTGAAAGTGGCCGATGAAGAAATCAGGAGCGCGGTTGAGAGTGCGAAGAAGAGCTTGGATGGGTTGAGGAGAAAGCTAGTTCGTGCGGTCGAGAAGGTACTGCAAAAAGTTGGGGAGAAAACCGACATAACCGATATCGTCAAAGCCTTGTCAGCGTATAGTCTGTCGTCAAGCTCGGGGACAAGAGATGTTCTGCGGCGCTTTTTGAGTATCAGGGCCGAGGCGATTACATATGAATTCGACTACGAGGAACATGAGAAGGACAGGGGCACAGATAACGTCCTCAGAGGCCTCGAGTTATACACCAAGACGTTGGTCGAGGTACAAGCACTGGTACCTAATAGACTACCGGAGGCGTTGCTGGCACTTAAGAAGAAGCCTCTCCTCGCCGATGAGACGCTACGGTCTTTAGAAGGCCTCAGGTTGGATATTTTCGAGACGTGGTGTGGTGATGAAATCCGGTACTTCACGCCTTTCATACGACACGACGACCTAGATGGGAAGCAAGCTAAGGATATGCTTATGGGATGGGCAAAGAAGGGCGGAGAAACTATCCTAGGTGGCCTAAGTAAGACGCTCGAGCACATCTCAGAATTCAAGGCCATCGTGGAACTACGGACAAGCACACTTCAACAATGGATTAGAGATGGTGGGAAGGCTAGGGGATTTGACCCATCTATTATGCTCGACGGCCTGCGAAAGGCTATCAACGATCATCTTCTGCATCTCATCGAGACGAAAGTTGTGAAGCTCAAGCTTGTGGGGTCCGAGGTCGCTTCCACGCTAGAGGCGTGGCAATCCGGGATAACTGATCGGCAACGAGGTCTCTGGGATGACGAGATGCTCAGTATCGACTTTTCCATCGGCGCTGCTCAGATCACACATGAAGTTATATCTCGCGTCTACGGAAGAAATGATGCTGTGGCACGAGCCGTTACCGGGTTTGAATCGTGGCATCACATCATTGATAATGTCGGAGACCTGGTAGAGCAACTAAAACGACAGAGATGGGATAACGATGTAGACGAGATCGAGGACGAGGAGACCATTGAGGCAAGGCAGGACCTCTTGAGCAAGGATGACCCGCAATTGCTTCATACGAGACTAAATGAGACGCTAATAAAAGCATTCAAAGACTTGGATGAGCAGCTGACAACGCTGTGGCAAGGTCGCAAAGACGGGTTGGATAATGGACAAATTGCCGCGTATATCCTCCGGATCTTGAGGGATATCCGGAGACGCCTGCCTAAGCTTGAAGGAGTCCAGTCGTTCGGCCTGGATAATGTCTCCTCATTGCATGAAAAACTTGCAATGCATGTGTCTGTAGCACCATTAGAGGAGTTTACCGCAACAACTCTAACGCAGAAGCGTGTGGCCGGCCGAGCGTTATGGGAAGGAGAGCCACCATTACCTATTCAGCCTTCCCCCAGCACTTTCAAACTTCTACGGAATGTCACAACATCAATGGGTGATTCCGGGGTTGATCTGTGGACCCCAGCTTCTGTCAAGACTCTGAAGCGCGTATTTAGTCAACAACTTGCCGAAATCTGGCACAAAGAGCTGGTAGCGCCCGTTCCTATCTTAGACGAGGCGGAGTCTGCGACCAAGGTGGATGACGATGACAACAAGGATGAGGCACCAACAGAAGAAGATAAAACCGCGAAGGAGACCAGCCAGGAATCATCAGAGCGCAGCAAGAACGTGTTCATTCAGTGGCTATATGATGTGAACCTCCTACGTCTCTATCTCGACAATGGGGGTAGTGACTCCAAGAAAGTGTTGAAAGATCTTGCTGCGGAAGTTCTAGAAAAGACAGGTCTAGATAGCCCGGCAGAACGGCGCATTGAGAAAGCGTCACAGGAGTACTGGAAGAGGACGAGTTTGTTATTTAGCTTGCTCGCGTGATGATATATATCCATAGATAATGATTAAGGATGGTGTAGTATATAGAAATAGCCTGCGAAGCCTTCGAATAGCTCTAAATATATCCAACATCGGCGAAAGTCCTTTCGCATAGTCTTTTACCCGCTCCATGCCCGCTCCGTATCATTACTTCCGTCCATATCTCTTTCCCTTCAAATCCGTACTTTGTTTCGTAAAAGATTATAGCTTATGCCTCTTCTGCCCCGATGCGAGCTTCTGAAACTCCCCCTGGGGCACGCCCGTGGTGAACCGATTCAGCCCAGCAAAGACCTCGGCGACAGTCTGTCTATCAAGGATCTCGCGCTCGGGCTTCCTGATCAGCGCCTTGATGCCCGTCAACGACTCCCCGACCAAATGCTCGCCCAGCCGATCATCCACCTCGTGCAGAACCTGGCGCATGAACCCTTCGTCGTCGCCCTTCTCGCACTCAAAGACCTTGTTCACGTATCCCGTCGCCACGAGCTCTTCCACGCTGATCCGCTTGCTCATGATGAGCGCCTCGTTGGCCTTGCTGATGCCGAGGCGCTGCACGAAGGCCTGCGACGCGCCGCCCTCGGCCACGAGACCCAGGGACGAGAACGGCGTCAGCAGGAACGTGTGCGGCGCCGCGTAGACGAAGTCTGCGAACCCCGTTAGTGCCGCCGAGAGCCCGACCGCGGGCCCGTTGAGCGCGACGATGAGGACCTTCGGGTGGCTGTAGAAGGCCTGTGTTATGTTCAGGTTGTTGGACACGAAGCTCCGTAGCCATTCTTTGTAGAGGTCTGTGCCGGGCGGGTGAGACCGGCCTACGGAGACGTCGGCGCCGCTGTGCGTGCGTTAGCTGAGTTGTAGTCTTTCTTTCTAGTGTCTTGTATGTAATTCCAAGCTCATTGTACATATATGTTCGTATATGAAATGAACATTATTGGGGATGACGATGCTGTCTCAAGACGAGTAAGACAACTTACGCAGAGAAGTACCGGCCTTTGCCGGTCAGGATGGTGATATAGATGTCGTGGCGCGCAGCCACTTCCCGCATGGCTTTGGCCAGGGCGTAGTATCCCTCCAAGTCCAGGGCGCCGAGCTTCTTCTCGTTGTCGATGGTGATGGTAGCTATACGCCCCGAGTACGAGACCTTGATTTTCTCCGCCATTATGTATAAGTGAATGACTATGTGCGATGTATGAATATCTGGTATATGTCTCTGCTTCTTTCTCACTGCATTGGTATGGAGCAATTGACTCCTATATTGTTCTGTAAGTTCGGATAGGATTTTATCTATCACTGGACCACAGCAACGGGTCTTGAGAAAAAGAGAACTATCCCGATGGAAGTAGAGCTGAAAGCCAGCGGTGTTCATCTCGGTACTACTACTAGTAGGAATGGTATAGGACTATTGTCCCTCGGCCCCGCCGAAGAATATAGCTGGGGTAGCTCTACATAGTATCTCGCCTTACCCCAACCGAGACAACGACCAAAAGATGCCTCGGCGGTTCCTCTCTCTCTCTCAATAGCCGACCATTCAGCTCTAATAACCCCACGTTTTCCCTTGTTCCCCCCGCGACCCTCTTTTCTATCAAGCTTTCCCTACACTTTGTCACTGCATTAGACCGGTGGGCTCGGTTGCAGCAATGGGACCGCTCCGTGGACATGGGTTGCCTTAAGTAGGCGAGTAGGTATGCAAAATGAACAGTAGGTACTAGGGAAGTAGATCTAGATGTAAGTACCTAAGCCTTCTAGAACGATCATAACCACCATGTAAAAATGTGTATGCAACTACATAATAAAATAAGTTTTGAGTTACATTGGGGGTTATAATGCGTCAACGTCACCGTCAACAACAAGTGTTTTTTTTTCAGCTGGCTGCATGGATGGCAGGATTGAGGATTCGGCTACCGACACGATACAGTCAGTACCCATCCACTGATACCTGGTAGATCCTCTACATACTACATTTGCCGACACCAGTTATATTGTTCCCATCTTCCGAGAATGTATAACACTAAAGTAGATGTAATGGTATAGAAGTGCAGATGCCTTTGTGGTGCGTACTTGGTACCGGTACCCTGTAACCCATACTGCACTGAATCTGCAGATGCTGTGGGTCGGATCACATCGGTGGTCTGAGCTCAGAAACTCTCAGAAACTCAGCGTGTGAATCTGTCTCCTGGTCACGGCTCATCACACCCCGACAATATCTCATCTGAAGACTAAGTAGCCGACCTCTCCTACAATCAAGGTCCTTATTCTCACCAGGCTATCGTCATTGGCATTAGGACGAGTAATAACGGGGGAAGGAAAACTCGGTTTACTGAATCGTTTCGGCCCAGGTACAGAGAGAGTACCAAGCCAGTCAGTCATTCACTCACCGACCCACGGCACTCGCTGCTCATACCTCTCACATCTCATCTTCAAGTTCCACGGCCCGCGCTCCATGCTTTAAGCGGTCCTCAAATTCCTAAAATAGGTAGCATTGTCCTTGAAACATACATTAGCCAACATGCTTTCTCAGAGATTGATCAGGCAGAGTCCGCGTCTTGTGACCGCTACACACCTCCGCTACCAGCCGCTACCTAGACCACGGTTCTCCAGCACCGAAAGCAGCAAGACAAGCTCGTCATCTGCTATGTACGCCGGTGTAGTTTCGTTTGCTGCCGGACTAGGTACCGGGTGGGCGCTCTATCGCAACGGAAATAACGAGAAGCCCATAACATCATCCTCATCACCGGCTACAACCCAGACACCTCTCGTACCTCGCATAAGCACCATACAAACACCAGATCTCAATGAACTCGGTATAAAGGACGAGATAGCATATACTGCTCCGCCAACTCGAGACGATGTCACAAAGCAGCTCAACGAGCACAAATTTACGGTCCGCGGTGCACCGGGCGGGGTTGACCGCTACGACGGAGCACAACTCGCCTCCAACAGCCCATGTGAAGACGCCTTCATGCACGGCAGCTTCTCCAGCCCCTTTGGGGGCAGTGGCGATGACAGATGGATGGCGTGGGCCGTATTTGACGGCCACTGCGGCTGGCAGCTATCTAATCTGCTGAAGACGCAGCTCATGCCGTTTGTGCGGCGGTCTCTTGCGGACGCCAACCCCGCTGACAAGAGTGAGGTTACAGAAGACGCCGTGCACCAGGCCTTGAAAAACTCGTTCACGGCGCTCGACGACGCTTTAGTGAAATCCGCTACGGCCATAATAGAGAGCGATCTGCCCTTCGCCGAAAAAGCTAGACGCCTCGAGCCCGCGTACGCCGGCGCCTGCGCTCTTCTCACCCTCTTTGACCCGCAAAGCCGGAAGCTACATGTCGCGTCGACGGGAGACTGCCGCGCCGTTCTGGGCCAGAAGGCAGAGGACGGCAAGTGGGTCGCCACAGCACTGTCAACAGACTGCACGGGCGCGACGCCGTCGGAAATAGAACGTATAAAAGCGCAGTTCCCCGACGAGCCAAATGTTGTTCAAGGAGGAAGGGTCTGGGGCTTACAGCCGTCGCGGACCCTGGGCGACGGGATGTGGAAGTGGACAGCTACGCTCAAGCAGAAACTACGTCACCACTATAACGGCCTGGCGTTGCCATCAGCGACGCGGTACAAGGACTACAAGGAGGGGCCGTATGTCACAGCCGAGCCCCTCGTCACGACGACGCAGATCCCCAGCTCCAAAGAAGGACGGCCTAGTTTCCTCATCTTAGCTACGGATGGACTGTGGGATACGATGTCGAGCGCGCAGGCCGTGGATCTCGTAGGGAGATGGTGCGACCGCCAACAGAAAGGCGCACAGGCCGCAGAGCCAGAGAAACCCGCGGAGGACTTTGGCCCGGTTATACTGGGCTGGAAACAGCAGTGCAAATACGAGGAGCGCAAAGCGACGTTCCGCGACGACAATGCCGCCGTCCACCTCATGCGCAACGGCCTCGGCGGCGCCGACGAAGAGATGGTTCGCGGCGCGCTGGCGTTTCGCTACCCGAATTCGAGAGATATCCGGGACGATATCACCATCCAGGTCGTCTTTTTCGGACCTGTATAGACAGACGATCGCGCATTGCATATGAGAATGACTAATGCCTACGTGCCACTCGGACAAAGGCTCGTATAAGCGAACTTGATTTAGGTATATCAATTTGAGCGAATAGCAACGTTGAATTCTATATGTCGGTAGAGATGAGAGCAAAAGTGGTGGGACATAAGGGACTATAAAGACAAGAAAGCATCAATAGAGATATGTCGACATGAGCCTGTAGGATGACATGCGATGTTCTTGATGCTAGTAAATATACTTACCTATTTATGTATCATCAGTGACCAAATCTACCTATACTATAGAAGTGAAAAACACCGCTTAGATCAACCCCATCCTCTTCGCCTCGGCCTTCAAAGTCCCGGGTATGTCCTCTTCCAGGGTAGGATACTTCGATGTCCAGCCCAGGGTTTCCTTCAGTCTCCGGGCATTGCACACATTATTAAGACCCCAGCTAAGGCCGTCCCACCCCGCGACCTTGCACGCCTCTTCCTTATCCATCTGGTAATCTTGGATCTCCCCGTCTCCTTTGATCAGGCCTAGATCCCGCGCTTTCGCCGTCATCGAGCGTGCCAGCGGTCCCCATGCGTGCTTCTCGGTCCCTACCACGTGGTATCCCCGCGCGCCCCAGATTTCGGATGAGTGGTTTCCTGATACGGCGGCCTCCACTAGGAGGATGAAGGCTTCGGACACGTCCCCGATGTGCACTGTGGCGAGGGATGTGAGTTAAGTCGGGGTTCATGTTATGAATGTTATCGAGCTTGAACATACCATTGTTCGATGAAGCTTGGCCGGTGCCGATGATGGGCGCTTGTCCCTTGGTCAGGATCACATTGGCCAGCGCGGGACACTGTTTGCTCCGGGTATTGACGGGGCCTCGGCCAGCACCTAGCGCGAAGTATCGTCAGTGTGAACTCTGATGAACCGTCTATATATCGTTGCGATATTTCCCTTGAAACTTGACGTAGACAACGGTGAAAGATAGCTCATAGCACCAGCAGTTACGCCCAGTCTCCCCTCAAGCAGAACCAACTTCAGAGATAAAATGAAAACGTACCATAAATAGTAGGCGGGCAAACAATCGCGGTTTTAACAACCTGGGCATATTTGGCGCCGCATTCCAGCACAATCCTGTCAGTGACTCGATGGAACGCCTCGTCAGGGAAGCTAGTGATTTCGTCGAGGCGATCAACATCATCGAATTCCCGATCAGGCGGCTGACCGAACCGGTCCTGCGCCGTGTCCGAGTACGTCATGATCCCGGTTCCGCTCGTGTGCAGCCAGAACCCAGGCCGTGTGGCCGAATGACCCTCCACTAAGCCGGCGACGATAGCATTCATGGCGACGACATGATCTGCGTCGGCGCCGTCTGTGAGATTTCTTCGTTAGCTTAGATCAATAGTATCACTGACCCCTTAATTATCGTGAGAAGAAAGAGGCGTCGTCATGTGATCATAGTGTTTTAAATCAACCAGCGCCCCAATAAGGTCGTCATCACATCAACACAACATGCTTCGAAAACACTCGGATGCGAGTTTTCACCCTCTGCTCTCATCACAGCAGTGAAACACCAAAATCAATACAACCCCAACGAAATCGTAACCGCGAGTCAATAGACAATTGAGAAAAGACAACCCCCGCCCTCGACTCCCAAGATCACTTCCTAAAATCCAAAGAAGAAGGCCCAAAAGGAGGAAACCTGAACCCAAAGCAAAGCAACAAAGTAAATCGAGAAATAATCAAGCAAGCAAACTCACCCAGCACGAGATCAGCCCACGCAGCCTCCTTCCTGATGCTCTCCACATCGTCCAACGACCCAAGCACGACGCGAACGCCAGGATACGCCTCGCGGACGCGCGCGGCGCTGGCCTCGGAGCGCACGAGCGCAGCGTATTCGTAGCCCGGGTACTTCCGCGTGAGCGCGTCCAATGCGTCGCCGGCGATGTATCCCGTGACGCCGATTCTGCAGAAACACCTATATCAACAAAGGCGTGTTCACACAAATACTCAACATCAATATCAAATGTCAAACCAGACACTCTTTTTTTTCTCTCTTCTCCTTTTTTTCTTCCCTCTTCTGCATCATACCCCTCGACACGCAGAAGACTGTGTAGAATAGGGATAGGGGGAGGTAAGATAGAGAGAGAGAGAATGGATTGACCAATAACAAAACTTACACGAAGATCTTAAAAGCCATCTCGTTTTCGTTTGACCGTTTCTTTACTTTATCTTTACTCTATAACATCGAAGAAGAAGAAGATAAAAGTGAAAAGGAAATAAATCTAGAAAAGAAAGAAAGAAAGAAAAAATATATCTTATTGAAAAAGGAAAAACCAGAAATCTATATTTAGAGTTATAATCCTCCTTCTTCCCCCCCTCAACTCACGGTGAGGCTGATAAAAAACCATCAAATAGTTTAAGTAAGCTTCACACGATATACCTGATGTTGAGGGTTAAAGAATGCCCGCTGTCAGACGAAGGTGCTGTACAATGCTATGGTACTTACTAAATGTACCTACTGTAAGTACAATGAGGGGGGAGAGGGGGGAAAATCTGGAGACTTTCCGAGATCTTGTCTATCTGCTTACCCCGGTCCCGATCTCACTAGCTTACCAACTCTAGCCTCTGCCAGATACCTATGTATCTCAGATGGTACTTACTATTACATCCACAGGTATATATGTACCTACCTACCAAGTACTAATGTACACATGTGGTGCCTCAGGCAACATGACAACAGACAGTTATAAGCATGTTATTGCATATGGTAAGCTTATCTTTACTATATAGCTAAACCCTCAAATCTGAGATTAAGTTACCTTTAAATTCTTACATAGAGGTAGTTCAAGTATTTACAAACAGTATCTGCCTAAGTATTCAACTTGAACATTGGAAAGGGTAGATACTTAAGTAACTAACTAGCATCGCATTTGAACGCCTTAAGTAAGTCCAGACAATCCCATCTTGCACGAGCATTAAGAACTGAAACATTGGTCCATGCAGGCATGGTTCGCCATGGCTACGTTATGTACACGAGACTTTGAATTATATTTTCATGGCCACATATTCTTTCACAGATACATACTTCTTATTATGTGTGCCGTCCTACGTGGACCCCAAATTCTGCGCAACCTAACCCGTCCACACCTAAGCTAGGTACCTAAAATCGGTTTTGTCAAGCTGTCTAGGTATATGTCTTTCCCAACACGACAAGACAGTTTCTGTTGAGTCGCACTGTCTAGATCGCTTTTTGTCTCTCTAGTCATAAAACGCCGCGGTCTTGAAAATGCAAACGCTCTCTTGACACCCTGAACACGGACAGGCTTCATTTCCATCCCTTTTGCCCTGCGCTGACTGGATAAATCGTTTTTGTGCCCAAGATGATGAAGAAAAAACAAGGAGATAAGAAACAACAATAGACAGGAAAGGAAAGCAAAAAAAAAAAAACAAGGCAATGCTGCTGGTTTCTGAGCTCCGAAAGCGAAAGCCGCTCTGTTGCCGTTCCCTCTGTGATGGACCTATCCGTTTCCTTATGTAGTCCGCTCTACACCAAATAAATGCCGCCATCATACAGGATAAAGCGCCAACGCCATATCCAGCCATAAGCCATGAAAGTGTTGTGAATATTGGGAAACCGTCCCCTTCCACCGAGGAGAAATGAAAGAATTACAACCTTACGAAATCTCGATCGGTGCGCTGACAACGTCAGTCAGAAGGCAGAATGTCACTGCAAGTGCGACACTGCGCCATCTCCCACCGCCGAGTTGGTCATTATTTATAGCCAGCTTGAGATTAGATATAGTGCATAGTAGTCAAGAGTCGACATTGATTTGGGAATATGCCACCTGACTTGATCGCAAAGTATTGGTGTACAAGAATGAGCCAAATGTATAGACGAATCGAATGGGAACAAACAGCCAACGGTTGGTGAGTTTAATTGTCACCCAAACGTACCACAGGTGGTGCTTTATTCAGTCGAGAGACGGGCGCTGTCTCCGAGTCCTCGCCAGCCTCATCTGTGGTGCTAATACTAGTGCTCGGTGGGCTGCTGCTCTGGGGGCTGTTTTGCTCCGTAGTCAGTGGAGGCGTGAGGACCGCAGGTGTCGAAGGGCTAGTCACTGCCGCAGCAGAGTTTCCGTTGGTGTCGGGCTTTGGAGGAATGATCTGATCGACAAGGATGTAAAGTTTTTCAAGCCCCGTGTTCGCGCGGGCCGCGTTTTGTCTCTTCAGCTGAGGAACATGCGAGCTGACTTCTTGTGCGAAAGCTTGTTGTTCTGCGCCCTCCAGGTGTTTTATCATCATTTCTATTGGAAGAGTTAGTCCTTATTTTCAGGCGACATGATTTAAAGATGACGAGCGACTTACGAATGACATAGTTGCCGTATTGGTCTTTCATCACGCCCTGGAGTGGGTTTAGTCCGTCGTTGTTTGCAGTCATAGTAGCAGTTGGAGTTGTGAGCTTGGTCCGAATAGCACTTCTCTGCTCCGATGATCCAAACTCGATACACTTCTCAACGACATTGGAGGCGAACTTATGCTTGGAAAGAACCAGTGCCCTTTCGATAACCTGTTCAATCATAATACGGCGGTCCTCCAGCTGTCCATGCATAATGACATGCTGGATGACATAGTTGCCATACTGATCCGTCAAGAGCTTCGTGGTACACTTGTGAATGTCGTCCATCAATTTCTTCTTTTCATCCGGTGTCCCCGATTCTAAAATGCGTTGGATAACACGGCAGGCATAGTTGTGTGTGGCCAGTTGCGGAATTTGGCCTTGAAATGCCTCCATGACAAACGGAATACATTGCTTCGGGAACGATTCAATAATTTTTTGAATCACATGGTTGCCGTTTTGATCTTTTGCCACACGCACTACATCAGGTCTGAGCTCATTGATAATAACTTTTTGCTGATCGTCTAGTACATGCTCAAGAGCCTGATAGATAGTCAGTTATCACTTCACTAACCTAGAGACAAGAGTGGGATATACCTTTTGCACTACGCGGCATGAGTACATCTGAACAGATAGATCGGCGACTTTTCCTAGCATCTGCTGACCAAGAAACTTTTTCTGGCTTTGAGTGCCATGCTCGAAGAATTTTTGGATCACATAGTTGCCGAATACATCTTTCATCAGTTGAAGTGCGTTTGGCTCGACTTCACTGAATACGCGATCTTTCTCCTCGCTGTTCACAACCGAAAGCTTGTCCTGGATGAAACGAGACCCATGCTGGTCCCCACTGAACTCAACAACGTGGCCGTAGATGTCCTGGGGTCAAATGTTAGTACTGCAAAACAATAATCGGGTTTACACAACTTGCCTTCAACTCCCATCGTTTACTCGTTTTCAGTGATGCGCGGAATTCTTCTAGTCGCTGGCTTCTTGCGTTCTGGGCTGGGTCTTTGTTTCGACTCGTTTGAAGTCCAAAGTTTGGGTGATAGTTCATCGGCAACCCATATCCACCGGCCGCTGCTGGCTGGCGATAAGTTGAAGCTTGTTGTGCAAAATGATCAAACGGCGATGTATATGGCGCTAGGTACGGATCCATAAAGTACTGCTGGTACCCAGACGGCTGATGGGGATACTGAGAACCTTGCAGTTGCCTTTCGATGTCTTGGGGCAAGTTGGGATTTCGTGGGACAGATTGGTTCCAAGAATTATTTCGTGAGCTAGGAGTCCCTGATAGGTTTCTGGAACTGTTAATGTTGGGTCGATGTGAGCTACCAGCTGGAGAAGCCCTCTCCACAGAACCTGGTTTCCTCTCTAGGTAAGTCGGATCCGCCCAAACCTCAGGGGTTGTCCGATGCCTTAGTCCTGGGTAGTGCCTCCATGCTGCGGCTGCATCTCCATTCCAACCATCTTGATAAGGTCTAAGGTCTGAGTTTGTCGAGCCATTGGTCGTATCATGTTGCCAAGTCTGTGCGTTGTGGTTGGACGGGAATTGATAATCACCATTCCTCTGGAAGTTGTTGAGAGACTCCGAAGCATCCTCTATCTTGAGGCCCCTGCTAAAAGCGTCGTTTAATTCAGCATGCACTGGATCATTAGAGAAGTTGAGGGTCTGACTACGGGAGGTCTCGGAACTTAAAGAAGGGGGTGCAAGAGTCGTCTGAGGAAATGATGGACGCCTATGTTCTGAGTTGCTTTGCAGGGCCTTAGACAATGAGTAAGATGTTGGATCACCAAATTGACTACCAAGTGTCAACGGATTGGCCTCATGTTGCCGGCCACTTAACGTTCCAGTCCGGTTGTAGCCAACACCGAGGGAGCCGGGGTCTGCTGATTTACGCCTGCCTAGTGACGCGTCTGAAAAGTGAGCCGTTGGCCCAAAAAACATTTCGCTGGGTCTCTCCTCACTAGGTAGTGTGTTACCGGATGCCTTGAATCGTGAGGAGGGAGGGCTTTCTACAGGCCCCGGAGGCATAAAGCTTCTACTCGGGATAGAGGTACCCTGACTGATGGAGTGGCGAGCGGGATATAGATCATGATTATTGTTGCCATCGTTAAAAGTATTTGACAAGTTATTTCTTGTGCTTGTGGGGGTCATGTTGTTAGTAACCTGCCATGGCTTTGAGCCCCATGTTGTTTTCTCAGAAATGGGTTGTATCAACGGTACAGAGCCCGAGGCAGCAGTTGGAGAGACTTCGTCAGAGCCTGCCGCATGTCAGCTTAGATTCTAGCGCTATGTGACTCGTCGCATCGATACTATCATACCTCTAGAATTGGCCGTGTCACGAGCTGAATTGATCGACGGGCTGAAGGCCCAGATTCTGTTAGGGTTACGCCAATCCGCATTACCAATAAAGTCTGAATTTTGCGTGTCGTCTTTGTGAGGAGGCGCCATGCTGAGAATCGGGAAGCCGTTAGGCCGAGTCTAATATCAAGATATATCAGTGAGATTTTACGAACTAGGGGTGAACCAAAGAACAATATTCTCCTAGAGGAATTCAAGATTGAAACACAGCGCTGCAAAACTTCATGATCTTCGGTAGCGAACTCATTATGTGCAGCATCATGTTATGATTGTGACATGAGCGAATGAGAACTCACTGCGGTAGTCATAGCTTCGGGTTATTCGGCTTACACAGTTGTTTCAAAGACGCCCTATCGGGGGATCGCCAGACGGTAGAGTCGTTCGACCCTATTTTAGGAATATCGGAGTTGTATGTCTTTCCCTACGATCGGCACTCACGTCGATATACAGATTCTTCAGTTCGTGTCCACGTGGAATTTGCGTTGCGGCGAGTGTATGGAAGAGTAATGCTTTATCTATGTGAGAAGGAAGGTGTTAGCTGACATTCATATCACGTACAGTTGTTGCGCCAAACTGCTCAAGTAGAACTTCATGCCCGGTCTGAAATGCAACAGGACGGTGCCCGACGTTTAATGATTGGTGACTTGGTCGTGTCAGACGGACCGACATGTCCTTGGTGCCAGACGGCCCAGCGTGGAGTTTCACTTCTTGGTGTAGGGACCCGAGGATACAGCACAGTCCGTGACCTGCAGTAATGATGCCGTACTTACTAGTATTATAGATGCGACCGGTTGCAAGTATCACGGAGAAGCAGATGGTGAAAATGAACTTTCGTTTAGGTCGCTATCCGCTAGAAGTGACGAGAGCGAGCGGAAGATTGAATACCGTTACGGCGTAAGTGAAGGGAGACGAATCAGCTAGCGCAGGAGCGGTTCGGCAAGTTCAGGAGCGCGACGACGACGGGCAGGATTCTGGCAGCGTAGATATGAACGTAGATGAATAGCGAAGTCGGTTGGTATGTATAGATACGGCACGGGGTCGACGAATGTGTGGTGGGGATATACAGAAGTGCCTCCGCTTCGATCGCAACGGGTGGTATGTATCGTGCACCTGCGTCCCGACCAGAACACAATCACGGTCTCGCAAAGGAATCTAGATGTCAGGCAGGTTAGCGAATGCGACAAGAAGGCTAGAGAGAGGCGCCGAACCGTGAATAGCACCAGTCCTGATACACTGAGGTGGATTCGATGTGAACGGGTCCAGCCTGATTACGGGAATAGAGCTCAATCTCAGCACACGCCAAAATAGGCACAGTTGGGGAAAAAAAGATGAATGGCCAGGGCGGCCAAGGCAGCACGCCAACTCGAGGGCGATTCCCTACCCAGCAGGGCTAGTACCCAGTATTTCGGGGGGGTCTTGGGCCACCGAATTAGGCACTAGGGGGCGCCTTGGGGGGATGGGGCTAGGGGCAGATGGCAGGGAGAAGACTTGGGGACCCATGCGGTAGCAGGGATGGGGCCCAACCCTGACAAACCTGTGCCTGGATGATGGACACTGGCCCAGAGACGAGATAGTATGGGTTGATACCGACCGACGATGTTTCGGGGGTTACGAGATAAATAGGAAAAGCGCATACATACCTGTAGCGTGCTACCGTGGGGAATGTTTCCGCCCTTATGCTACCGTTGACGCTGAGGAGGGTGGTGAGATAGTAGGCAAGATGTAGTAGGCACACCTGCTTTGATGATATCTAAAAGAAGGGCTGTAGTAGCGGGTAGGGATCCCGGCTACGGTACGTGCGTAAGGGTGCGGCAGAAGGTAGTAAGAGGTGGCAGGAGGTGGTACTGGGAGCGAAGAGTAGTGGTAATATGGTGGTATTACAGTAGGTCTTCTGGGATGGCCGTGTTGCGATGTCGTCTGAATGTTGTAATCCTGCCTAGCCCAGCATGGAGCCAAGCCTGTCGGACGCGAGACCAGATATCGGGACTGAATCTTGGCTGCTGCACCGCCTGGGCTGCTTTTGACCCTTTCGAGACAAGCGCGTGGAGTTTAGATATACTGCGTTGGTAGGTATATAGCTCCTACTCGGGTCATAGACAGTCTGAAAAGAGTGGTCAAGGGGAATAGCACATGAACTGAGCGCCTGAGGATCGATGCTGAACAAGTTAGTCTCCTGGTGAGTCTTGGGAGTAATCTACAACTTGACTGACGATCAAGTGTTTTAGAGAAGACGTAAGAAGAGAGGGTGGAGGTGCTGAAATGATTTGAGACCTGCGTACCTTCGTGTGCCTAAGGAAGTACCTGGGAGGTACTGAAGCACTCAGGCAGCGTGCCAAAGTACTTAGGTACCTACCTACCTGTAGGTAGTGGGCAGCTGGCGGGCCGTAGCGATGCTGTAAGGCGAGAGGCTATTAGAAGGTTTCCAGAAGGAATTCAGCATCCCTGGGAGAGCTTACTGGAAATTCAACCCGCAAAACTAGGTGCTGCTACCTGGTCTCTACGTGGACAAACTCAGAAGCCAAAGAGGAGGCTCATTAAGCTCATCACTAAGAGACAGGTCCAGAGTAAGAAGATATTGGGATTGGGGTCGACGCAGCTGAAGTCAATTCTGAATTGAAGGCCAGGCCGCGGCGGGGGGCTTAGCAAGGGCAAGGAGAGGGGCCCACCAGGAGTCTACTGTAGGTATCTAGCTGACAAGTACCTGGAATGTACCGGTGTGCAGATGGAAGTGGGATGGGTCCTGGGGCTCCCGTTTTTAGCGGCGCGCTTCACTTCTACGCGCCGTACTCGAACCTTGAATGTGCTGCAAGGTACAACCTTAACAGAAGAGAGAGTAGGTAAATAAATGGAATATAAAAAATTGTGTACAAATTCAAGATAGAATCAGAATTACCTTTTTTCCTTTTGCCTCACACTTCTCCCTTCTTCTGCTGTTTGCTGCGTGGAATTCTGCCGTCCCTTGTTCATGTACCTAGGCCAAAGAGGTACTACGTAGATACCTGCACATGCACTGTAGGTGTTGATGTGAAGCCTAAGACTGCCGGCACACTAGAATGCCTACCTAGGTAGGTAGCGCTCTACTAGTGTGTACGAGGTATGCCGGGCTCAGTATCTTTGGGCGTTCGATGTTCAACGTTCGATTTGGCACCCAGCTGCCGACAATGTTGTTGTTGACAGATGCCGATGCCGGTGTAGCTAGGTATCGTGTGGTCTAGTAGGTATTGTAACACAGTGCTGTCTGGGTGCCCCAATGGACTACTGTAGGCCTTTAGGCCCAGGTGCCTTAGACGTCTTAAAGCAGTCCTCCAGGTAGTGATTGTTCAGGACTTGTGCGCACGCGGGCAGCTCGGGACCGGGCAAAGAAGGCGTCTTACGCAGTAGGTGAGCGAGAGGGAGGAGGATAGCAGCGACGCCGAGCAATGCCGGAACAGTGCTGCCGACGGCGAATGAATGCGCCGGGAATTGCTGCAGGCTATTGATTTATGAGGGTCAACTAGTGTAGCGTGCCCTCGACCATGCACTTGCTTTTTGGCTCTTTTTTTGGTGTGTGTAAGCAAGCGCGCCTTCACGATGCAAACAGCGGCTGATGGACTGCATAGGCACTTACATAGCAGGGTAGCAATGGAGAGTAGCTCCTGTGATGTACAGGCCGAGTATTTTTAGGACACCGCGGGATGCTGTTGGTGCCAACGTTCCAAACGTGGACAGCGATCCTCGACCACGTCCAGGATCTTTGGTCGGAAAAGGCAATATGCGGTGCACGTTATGTATGTGCGAGTAATCGCTGCGCCCGGCACTCGCTTGCTTGCTGGCAGCTGGTTGGCTCCGCTAGCTAACTATGGTACCTGGAAGATATGTATCTTGGGCAAACATCATGCAGTTAGTACACCCGTCATACTATATATACTACGTGTGCTGCGCTGCGTCGTGTGTCGAAGCGTGTACTTCGTAGGCTAGAGGGGGTCACATACTAACCTTGCATGCGAGCAGATCCTGGGGTGTGATCGATGCTACGGAGCAGAGCAGCTAGCTGACTAGATGGGTAGGTAGCTATACAGAAGGCTGGATGAGTTCTGTATGGACTCTGTATGGACTCTGTATGGACGGCAGGACTGGGCAGCCCGGGGCACGTAAATGTACGAGAATATACGAAAGATGTTTGGACCAGTTGGACAAAGTATGAACAAGTGAACTTTGTACGAAAGTAAGTTACTATTCTTCCATCGAGCTGAGCTATGGCAAGCACCGCTCCTTTGGTTGCGAGTTGGCTTCCCTTTGGACAGAAATGACTGGGCGGGTAGACAAGCAGAGGAGGAGGGCAGTGAAGGGGAAGCGTGTAGAGAAGTAGGGAGCAGGCAAGTCAAATATTCACAGTCAATCTTGCTAGGCATGTACTCATACTCTTAGTATGTACACAATATAATGGCCTCGTAGCACAGGGGCGGGCACTTGTATAGGCGATACTTTGCAGATCACTCATCTTGTGGACCTTACTACAGTCTCCCTGAGTCTCCCTTATCGTCGCGCGTTCGCCGAACCGGCACCATCAGGCGACTCCCAAAGCTACACTTCGCCATGCGAGGACGCATTATTTGAATAGGCCCGGATGTGAGCAGGCGCTTCTTTTCGACAGAAACTAGCGAGTTCCCAACAGCTCTGCCTGGTGCCATTTGGTACTAGTTTCGGCCGGCAGTCTTGTACGCCCGAGTCGAGTCGTCCAAACCCACGGGACGGCAGTGGGAAGGGAGAGAGGCAAGCGAGCGGCCAATGAGAGGGCAACTCGCTAAGTTTGCTGAGTGAACAACTTGCGCAATTTTTCACATGCGTTATCGACGGCTACCTATGATGACTGGCTATGCGCTGGCCGGTGCGATGCTATCACAAGTTCGTCGTCCTGGCAGGCGGTGTGAGAGGAGTGCCGACTTTCAAGCAGACAATGAGTCCAGAGCATCTAGCGCGCCCTTCTGGGCTGGTCAAGCATCTTCTGCGCAATCTCAGGCGAGAATGGAATGTAAATGTGTGAATGTAGCCTAAGATTTGCGTTTACGGTCTATCGCCCGTGCATTCTCAAGGGTTATTGTCTACTGACTGCGTTGGTCTCATCCCAAACTCTACTTTCGTTTCGTTGACCACGAGTTGTACAATAATGCTTGCTCAAGCTTACCTACCGATGTGAAGTTCAAGCTGTTTTTTGCTTGCTTTTCATAGATCAATAGCGTCGTACAGTAGTGAAGCTTACCTCGACAAGGGAACTGTGGATTCCTGGCCTAACGAAGCCGACGAGCGCCTCAAATTGTTATAGATGGCGACAAGCTTTTTTAAGTTAGTTCAGCCGTCCACTGGACAGAGAATGGAAGCCAAAAGTCCTGAGAAACAGTACCCCTCACATGTGCTCGAGGAAATGAATGACTCACCAGGTGAAACAGATCGTCACATTCTAGTATCTCTTGCAGTACGTTAGACGTTGGGTGCCTACTTGTATACAGGCCGATGGCTCATGAGCCAGCAGAGACGGTAAGCATAAACTGTGATTTGCCTCGCGCAACCTTTCTATTGGGCAAATGGGTGGCACAGGTGAACAGACACGCTCCATCACCAGACAGCAAGATAAAAGGCCTGTCAATCATGGTAATCTCTGCATCAGGCCACCTCCCCTCGGCTTGATGCAGACCTTGCTACCAGTGAGAAAGAAGCCAGTTGTGGAATGTGACACTCGCAGGCAAGGGAGCCCGTTTCTGTAGCCCCAAAATCGCCGATGATGGGTACGAATGCACATAATGCCTTGTCTACGACGGACAGGAAGGCATTATATCGATATTCGGCTCAATGTTCGGCTCCACGGCAACGCCATGTCTCGGTTGGTGCCTTGCGAGGTCAGCGTTAGCATGGAGGACTTTCAACGAGATTGAAAGGGCCGGGGCTCGGAGACGGAGCGCTCGTAAAGTGTAAAGTGCAGTACCGGTATTGGAACGAGTTTGAAAGAAGGAACGCCCCCGAACCAATCAAAGCTATATCAGTACTGTATTGTTGAGCTCGGTTGGCCGGAACCGTTGACAGCTATTGTGACACGGAAGACTGCAGAAGCCTGTGAAACTAAGGGAGCACAGAACGTCACAGTCGTCGTGCCTCGCTTAGTCTACCTACACCGGGGGTCATTAGTATAGATGTCGAGCAACAGAGAGGTGACACCGGAGACGCGTACCTAGTAAGAACGGCACTATTTCGGCAATGATGAGCTCGACGAAAGAGCTCGACATTAATATCCTATTCCATCCTCCTATTAACTTGGAAATCATGAAAGAATTCGGGGTAAGGGTTCCTATAAGTAGCGCAGTCCAGATCGTCGACAAGACTCAAGGGCATCTACGCATTTACATATCTACTAGGAATGATGGAATACACCTTGGGTAGTGCCGACTGGTAGGTCAGTATGACCAATCGGTTCAACTTCTAAAAGCTCGATTTTCCATTCCGGGATATACCCAAGTGACGAGTGCCTGTTTAGGAAACCACCTGGACTACTACGTATCGTTACGCCTAACCTACAGCGCTTGACATGACATCTGCACGGCTATAGCCATTCGTACTATTGTAAGTCTGGCATTGAGAACTACATATTTATCTTGATCTAGGGTCAACTATAAATACCTAGGTTCCCTATGTACGGTTTGTTCGTAGATCAACCATTCAGTAGACGTGGGAGGGTGACTCCGTGACAGATTCTCGCATCGGAATTCAGTAGTAAAGAGAGGTAAGCGCTCAATTAGCGTCTGTCACGCATCCCAATACAAGTATTAAAAATTGTCACCTTCAAAGGTTACAAGACAAGTTGCCAAAAGGAGGAAGATATCACAAGGCAAAGTTACAATTTAATTCTCAAGAAACTTATGAGTCTCATTCGTCCAGTTCATACATGCTGATTCCGACCTTCCGTATATGGATTCAATACGCCACCTAAATCAATGTTTTCAACGCCGCAGCCCTGTTCCATCATGATATCATACCAGTCAAGGAAAAACTGAAATAACAAATCTGAATACAGATACATATAGTGAAATCATGCAAGAAAACGAGAGCGTATGTCAACGAAGGAAAATAGATTATTCGCTATCGTCCATGGCGAAGTCATCCTCTCCATCCGGTTCGTCGACTTGCATCTTATCCTCGTCCTCATCAGAGTCGACATTAAAGACATAGACAGGCTTGGCCTTTGCAGCAGCCGCACGCCCAGGTCTACCGCGCGCGGCAGGTCGAGGTGGTGGGGAGTCAAGCTCCTCTATATCTTCGTTCTCATCAGACATGTCAAAATCATCCTTCTTGGGTTTGGCCTTCTGTCCACCCTTCTTGGTAGCGTAGGCTTTAGCGGCAGGTGACAAGGCCGTCTTCTTGGGAGCTGCTTTCTTTGCCTCATTCTTTGACCCCGCGGGGCGGCCAGCTGCTTTCTTGGCAAGGGGGCCGGAAGAAGCAGCAGCCGATGGCTTTGGCTTCGGTTCCTCCAAAGTCGAACGAGCCGCAGTCTTGGTCTTGCTCGTGATTTTGGTGGCCACAGGCAGGTCGTCATCGGAGAGGAAGCTATCGAGTTCATCGGCTTTTGCTGTCTTGTGAGGCGACTTGGCAAGCATTTCGTAATTAGTCTCATCATGATCGTCGGAGTCAAAAGAAGTCTTAGACGGCTTGCCCTTAGCTTTCAAAGTAGTGTTACCGTCGCTGCTCTTCGGCCGTGCCATGGCAAACAAACTAAGTCGGCCAGTTTTATCACCAGAAGAGTCAGCGGCATTAGTGTTACTCGCCATCCCCTTGACCAGATCGCCGACATCTCCTAGCATCTTGTCGTCATCATCGCTTTCTGAGTCCTCAAACACGGTCCAAGCCTTGCTTTTGGCGGCTGCGGTAGCCGCAGCTCGCTTGCCTCGCGATTGAGTGGGAGGAGCATCGTCATCATCGTCAGATTCTTCTTTAAGGGCAGGCGCCTTTTTCTTGGCAGGTTTGCTCTTGAGGGCGGCATAGTCATCGTCGTCGAATGGATCTGAATCATTTTCTTTATCTTCAATTTTCGACTTAGTCCATGGATTCTGAGCGAGCTTCGAGGAAGCCGATGGAGCAGATTTTTCGATGGCCTTCTCTGCCGCCGCCTTCTTCGCTCCAGGTTTGGGGCCTCTCTTGGCAGCAGTTGGGGCATAATCGTTATCAGCATCTTTATCTTTAGGCTTACGGCCTCGACCAGCACCGATTTTCTTTGACGTACGTCGGCCCATTCTCCGGATGCCGGTGCTAATTTCTTGATCAAGGCGCAGCTGATTCTCCCATTCGGCTTCAAAGTCATCAAGGTCTTTGCACCAAAGATCTTTCTCACTTAGAGCCGCTAGGTCATCGTGCTCAGCCTTCTTCTTCACAATTTGCTCCTTAAGACGATCCAGACGCTCTTGCGTAAAAGACCAAATAGGCATCTACTAAACGTTAATGATAAACCGATAGGATTGGTGGACAGATTACTACATACCGAGAGCAGGTAATCGTAACCATGAGCATTATCGTTAGCGTCGTCATCCTCATTCTCATCATCCTCCTCTTTGGTTTTCTTCGCAGTTGTAACCTTGCTAAATGCCTCGTAGTTGCGCTCACGAAGCTCTTCTACAATGACCTGCCTCTTCTTGCGTGATACTACGAGCTCGCCATCCATGATCTCTCGGACGAACCGGGCCTGGTTCTTCAACTTTCGGTAGTCCGTATGGTAGACGCCCAGCCAGTGAGTCTTTCGTTTGGTGTACATCTCCATTCGGTAGACGAAGAATTCTTCCAAAATATCCTCAACCTTTTCATACTTGCGAATCATTCCACGTGTATCGAATGCAACCAGATTGGAGGTGGCCACCTGCTTGACCAGCTTGAACTTCTCAAGGAGACCTTCTTCGAGGGCTGCCTTCATATGCTTTTCGTCCAGCTGAACCTCAAAATGAACGTTCTGGTGATCATTGAATTCCTTGTAATCCTTGATAAACGATGGCACCTTCTCAGCACGAATGATATCCTCTAACTTTGCCTTGAAATCATCAGTCCATATGCGCACAGGCAACTCAGTGATGAGGACTTCATTGGGCCTCTTCTCATCATGAGTAGCGATACCATTGCATTGGTAGCGATTGTTCCCGGCTGGCGTGATGGTTCCTTTCCAGCCTCTAAACCAAGGAACCATTTCTACGAAAGGTTTTTCTTCAGGATCGCCGTCCAAACGACCCATGCGCCGCCTTAGGTTCTTGACAATGTCCATAGGATGATAATTGGGAATTGAAGTACTCCAGCCAGTACCGATACCATCTGCACCGTTCACCAATACCATGGGAATAACAGGTGCATAGACCTTGGGCTCAATCTTCTTACCGTCATCCTCATGATGCTCTAGATTTGGCTCATCTAGTTGAGAGAAGACGCGCCGGGCGAATGGCGACAGGCGAGTGTGAATGTATCGAGCGCTAGCAGCATCTGAGCCACCTGCAAGTCGAGAACCGAAGTTGCCGCTAGGCTCCAGACAGTTTATGTTGTTAGAGCCAACGAAGTTTTGGGCTAGGCCGATAATGGTTTGTTGTAGCGATATATCGCCGTGGTGATAGCCCGTCTCTCCAGAGATGTAACCAGCCAATTCAATGACCTTTTGATCCTTGGTGACATTCCGCTTTAGACAGGCATATATGACTTTTCGTTGACCAGGTTTCAGACCATCGAGAACAGAGGGAATCGAGCGCATGTTATCAGCCATACTAAACAGAATCAATTCTTTGTTGACGAAATCATCATAAGTGACCTGCCTAATTGTGTGGTCAAGATAAGTTCCAGGCACGAATCTGCCTAACCATTCCTTGCGAGCATCTGCTTTCTTCTTGGAGAAAGCAAGTTCGAGCAATTCGGCTTCGTTTGGTCGCATAATATCAAATTGTTTCAAATGATTATCGAGATCATTGAAATAGACCTGGGCATCTTCATTCGAGCTTGTACCCAACCCCTTGAAGTATTTGGATTGCCATCGTTTAATCTCAGATTTGTGTTCCTCCCTCCATTCGTCATATTGGGGTTGAGTAAAGAAAGACTTTAACCTCAATGGCTTCTTGGGGTTGGGTCCCTGCCAAACCTTGACAATAGGCGTGATAAACTCTTGGAAAAAGCCCGGTATTTTGAGGAGAGACGGGTATTGAACTTCAAGGAAATTGATAAGAAGACCCTTAATATGACTACCGTCATGATCTTGATCTGCCATGATCATGAGATGTCCATAGCGAAGGCCCTTGGTATCGGTGTACACCTGTTTGTGCTTCAAACCAAGAAACTGCTTGATGTTTTGAATTTCTTGGTTCTTAGAGATTTGATCAATAGGCGCATCACGAACGTTGAGCATCTTTCCTCGCAGGGGAAAGACTCCGATACGATCTGGGTCCAGAATAGCACGACCAGCGACTGCCAAACTCTTGGCAGAATCACCTTCTGTCAAGATTAAAGTGCACTCAGGACCGTGCTTGGTGCCAGCCAAGTTAGCATCAACAAGCTTAGCATTGCTGATTCTTGACCGTTTATTGCCATCACTTTTGGCGAGCATCTTGTCGGCTTTTTGCTCGGCAAAATGTAAGATGTTAGCGACAGCCTCAGTTTCCGAAACCTTTTTGAGGAATTTGTCGGTTAATTCGCATTTGCTCCCGAATTGACTGGCTTTAGTCGTCAGTTGTTCCTTAGTCTGAGAGCTGAACGCTGGATTCTTGACTAGACAGTTGACAAAGATAAAGATGTGATTCCGAATGTGGCTGGTCTTCAGCGAATGGCCTTTTTTCTTCTTCGTGACATGTTTCAACAGAGACTGGCAAATGATTTCCGCGATATAATTGACGTGGGTGCCGCCCTGGGTAGTAGCAATCGAGTTCACGAATGAGACTTGATGAAACGTGCCATCAGAGACGGCAAAGGCGATCTCCCACCTTGGATGTCCCTTGGAATCCTCGAGGATAACTTTTTGGTTGCTTATGTCCTCGGCCTCCCGTTCCAGTGCGATGGCTTTGGCGTACATCCCGCAATACTTCTCAAAGTTCAAGTTCACGTGCGAGCCGTTGAGGTAGACCTTGATGCCCCGTACAGTACCGGCCATATCATAGACACGACGGTTGAGCAACGCCTCGAGATCGTCATCAATTCCATTGGGCATTCCAAATCGTTGATAGTCGGGTTTGAAAATAACCCGTACGAAGTCGGATGTCTTGTTGGAAGTAATTTTAGCCTTCTCCATCTTGCTCATATTATCTCGCCATGTTTGCTTATACCGTTTGCCATTTTTTGAGTCTTGGCATTCTAGCGTGAACTCTGTGCTGAATACGTTACAAAGCTTTGCTCCGTAACCGTTTCGGCCGCCAACAGTGCGCTCCTCTTCATCATCAAAGTTAGACCCAGCAAGGAGATGGCCGAATACGAGCTCTGGGACATAAACCTTCTCTTTCTCATGCATTTCTATAGGAATACCTTTGCCGTTGTTCTCGACGGAGATTTCGCCGAGCTCGCGGTTGATGTTAACCTTGATATACGACATTTTCGGGTCATTTTGTTTGTTGTCGGCGGCATTGACAAGAATCTCGTCAAATATCTTATACAAGCCAGGCACAAAGGTAACCTTACGATGCTCCATCAACTCGGTCTCCTTGTTGAAGACCCACATGGACTGCTCGGTAGGTTCGACGGATCCAATGTATGTGTCAGGTCGTTTGATGATGTGTTCTAATTGTGTCAACTTTTGGTACTTCTCTGTGGCTGTCTTTTTCTTCGTGGGCTTGGATGCCACTGGGCTGTCCAACGCATTGTCGTCATCGTCTGTTATCTTTTGCTTCTTTGAGTTTGGTATTGTGAGTGATGGTTCGGCGTCTTCATCGTCACTGATGGGCTTGGTACGCTTCTTTGGAGCAGCCTTGGCTGTGGTTTTCTTCACGGCCGGCTTAGCTTTAGGTTTCTGTAGAGTGAGGTCGTCAGCATGGGTAAGGGAGCGGGATCAAGTAGTCTACACTAAGACATGTAGTCAAGACTGGCATACCGGCGCGGGCGAGTAGCTTCCAGAGTCACCATCGTCAAATATCGAATCATCCATGCTGTCATCCATGGTGGGTGATTCGAGTCAACGGTGTATGCTATTGTATTTGGCTGTTTGATGCTCAGACTCGAAAAGTTTTTTCAAAAGCCAACTTGGAGGCAGAGAGCAGGGCAGACGGATGGACTCAAGGCCTAAACCTGAATCACGATCAAAGCTGTTGCGGTTGCTGGAGTGCAGATAAGGGTCGGCCAATTTGTTTACCTATGTTGTTTTACCGTCGCGTTCACAGGTCGCGTTTAGTCTGAGGTTAGATGACCCATGCAAATCCTCTAACAAACTGAGTGGGGGAAACCACGTGTTGGGGAAAGCGCATTCATTAGCTGGGTAAGTACCTTTGTACCGAGGGGCTCTCGAGGATATGCAGATGTCGCAAATATCCTTTTACACTGAATAGGGACATACTAAGCATGTAGGTATGTATGTATGTATGTATGTAGTATGTACTCCTGATCTTGGTATTAGGTCTTAGCGCTCTCTGCAATCTTACCTGCATATGATATGTACCTAGGCAAGTACCTATGTAACTACTCCCGCCCACTCACCATGTGCTAAGTTTGAGCCTACCTCTCCACTGGCATGGCCACGAGGCTCTAGTCTACGCAACGTAATGTTGCTACTACTCAGTCATTAATATGAGTTCGTACACAAGTTACCGGTGTTGTCAGTACTAGTACACATTAGCAGTAGAGTTGGAAGTTCATGAAGATCTATCAAATGAGCCAAAAGTGAATTCTACGGTAGGTTCTGACTACCTACAGTAGGTATAATACTTAGCGCTCAGAGAAATAGCATCCTAACCCTATCTGTAAATAATACCTTGGAACTGAATTAGAACAGTACCTAGGTACTTCTAGGTAGCTAGAAAGGTCGGTATAGAGAAACTCACGATCAGTAGTAGAAGAGACTTACATGTGCATACATGTATGCTTATGTTCATCTAGGATTTGGCATCTGTAGGAAAATATGAAAGCCTTTTAGGAACTTATGCATGACTTCGAAGTTGAAGAAAGAAGCCATTCTCGAATCTCGGCTATAAAGGAGTCGAGGTTAGACGCTCTCATTTCTCCACGCTTAGTACCCACGGACTAAGCCCCAAAAAAGAGCACTAACACCTGGCGCTAATGTAGGTACACAATTTCGAAAGAGCTATCTTACCCAATTCGTGACTACAAGATACAGAGGTCACATCGACGCCAACACAAGGTCTTAAATGATTCGCTGGCTGCTCTGTACCGCCCTGGCTACCCCTCCACGTTATCCGCATTGGGGGCCTGTTCCAGCCAATCATAGCCAATCATGGCGAGAAACGCGCATGGGCAGTGACCACTTGTGCCTACTGTAGCTTTGTTATCTCAGGGCACGCTCAGGGCGCTACCTGCACTAGCGTGAAGACTGGACAGGGGCCGTGCCAGGCGAGCCGGCCGGGGTCAGTAGGCCAACACACGATCTCCATATCATCTCCCTTCCCTCTCCTTTCTCTCTTCTCTTTTTCACGATCTTCATCGTCGCTGTCGTTGTCGCCGTCTTTTGCGAGGTTCACTCCTTTGGCTTTCTAGCCGTCCTCTCTCTATCACTATCACTCCTCCCTTATTTGGGCTGTCATTCATTTAACCCCCCTGGTTTCAACTTCACTCTTTGAGTTGACTCCGTCCAGTCTTTCTTTGGAATTACACTTCAATATCTGGAGCTTGCTCCCTTACGTATGTCTCGCCACTCCTTTCCATGTCTCAGTATCCGGCTCACTTGAGTCTCGAGAAATCCGGAGCAAATAGTGCTGTCTCGGTCGGTTGATTTACACGGTTTAAGGGGTATTAACATGCTTTTTAATAGTGCTGCGATAAATACCTAGGTATTGATTTGTATTCAAACGGAAGATCATTTCGCATAACCCACCCATCTATATCATTACATCACTCAGACAATAATCAATATGGAGTCGATCAACATGTTGATTACCCGTGGCAAATCTGTTCTTGCAGCTCGCGATTTCTCCGAGGATTCCGATTCCTGGGATTCGGCCATGAACGCGACCCTCGCTCTACTGGGCCTCGCTTTATTCGGCTTGGCTCTAGTCGGCGGTCTATTGATGCTACAGCGCCTCCGCCGACGACAGCAGCTTCATGACCAGACACTGCCTAAATACAATGACATTGAGCACGAGGCTGGTAGAAACACGCGCCGATTGACCATTCAAACACCTGAGGGCAAGTCGAGCATTGTCCTGGTCAATGGTCGTCCCATGCTGGCTGACCCTCACTCACCACCTCATTCGCCTAGCAACGTTCCCGCCATTCACATTACCTTTCCGGATGAGCAAGATGAGCAGGGTCGCCGCAAGAATGGCCGCGTACTTCTCGTCCGTGTGGGCGAGACCACAGTTGGCCTCGAACCCCTCCAAGAGGAGCAACTGCCCGCTTATGAAAAAGAAGGCAAGGATGCCTTCATCTCAATTGATATGGACCGTATTGGTGGTTTGAAAGAAAAGAATAGTTCAAGTTTCGCATGAGCTATACCCAACGCCACCGGTCGCCTTTCCCCCTTCTAAACCATTATTTTTACACCCAATGATCCGACCATCAGACACTACCTTATATCCTGTGCCCGGGTCTAAGGGACACATTTACATACACGCTTCACGATCAATGCTTTACATTTTACTCCCTCCAAACCTTCAGCGCCAGGGAAGGAGCGGTGCTGTCAAGTGCTGACAGACCGCATAGATGATTCAAGGATGCGATTTTTTCCAACATCTACTTCAATGACAATGGCGTTGGGTATATATCAGCCTCGTATATAACGATACCACCATTCCGCTACATATCATGTGATGGCTGAATATAGCGAGGGCTCGAGGTTTTGCTTTAGCAAACTATATATTCGTAACTGTATAATTGATATTACTCTTGGCGGAACCTGGACAGTTGCGCCCCCATTTATTACCACTCTCCTTGAAACTCAATTCGTGTCCCTTGTATGTGATTTATCTATATAAAATTGGAAGCGACAAAATAAATGATACCCTTGTCACAATGCCATTGTCGGTATGACCTTCCATACCATGATCATCCACATGTAGCAGCTCAGCTGATTGTAGATCCCCGCATGTGACACGCCTGCCAGTTCACATGGACAAGGGTAGTTGTAGTTCAGATCAGTTTGAAGAAACCATGCATCCCGTGTGAAACACGGGAAAATCTGGAGAAATCCCGAATACACAGGGTCACACAGACATTGTGGAAGGCACCTTATGCAAATTTAACGCGGTATCATTTATGCAATACCGTATGTCCGAGCGAGCGACTGGAAGTGAATATATACAGAATGAACAACAACAAATCCAACCATCCAGTAGCCGATTCAGGGGATACAGAGTAGCCGAATGAGATCCAAAAAGCACCGCGAATTCCAACCACTGGACGGGACGGCCCATCTACCCATTTTAATTCACACTGGTACCACCCGCCCCCATCTCCTCTTGATTCCTCTTATCCATAGCGTTTAGATCCCTCCTGATAATTCGGAATGTTCCGAGGGAGGGATTTAGAGCCAGTTCCAGGTCATCTGGACGCGGCCGGCGTTGGGGTCGGCGAGCTGCGAGAAGACGCCGACGGGGACGTCGAGGTCGTTGTACTGGCAGCCGGCGCAGCGGTCCTCGACGGTGACGACGGTCGACTTGCCGCCGAGGTTGATCTGGATCTGGCGGCCGCAGAGGGAGTTGAGGTTGGGGTTGCCGTTGGGCGTGTACTGGTCGAATAGTTGCCAAGAGACGGCAACGATAGCGTCGCCCTCGCCGTTGGTCACGCCGCAGGCGCCGAGGCCGGGAGCGTAGTACGTCAGGTCGCCGTTCATGGACTGGCGGTTCTCGAGCTGGGTCGCCGGGGCAGCGGAGACGAGGCCGGCTGCGGCGGCGACGGCGATGACGATCTTGGTGAAGGACTGCATTTTGGCTTTTTTTGTTTTTTAGGGGATTGGTTCTCGTGTTGCTTAAGGTGTTTCTCGTAAGGAGTGACGAAGAAAGAGAGCGAATTGAACAAGTGTTCAGGAGCCGGTCCGGTGAGAGATGAATGAGAAAAGAGAAGTAGTCGATGCTGGTGAGGAGGGACTGAATGTTGATGAACGGGGGTGACGGGTACGGTATTTATGTTCAACGCCCATCGTGAGGTCCTAGGCTCATCTCACGCCCAATTTTCAGGAGTTAAAATACGCCGTATGTACCGCCATGGCACTGGTAATCCGTCATCAAAACACCTACCTCGTGTGTGATGAAAGGATTGTGGCCGTCTGCTTGAGTATGTGGAAATAGGTATCACCTGCCGAAATTGGCCGGCGAGGTTCCTTGTGTAGCCTCTCCTACCGCCCGGGTACTCCTCTTCATCTTCCTCACCTTGCCGAAGGTTTCAGGTTCCCTCGCTCAGAGACAGAGTAACGTTCCACGCCTTAGGAGTTCAAGACTACGGGAATCCCGAGCGATACTCTACCCGTTCAAGATCGGCCCGACGTATGTAGTGAATAGGCGCAATCTGTTTGTCCGCCTGCATCCGGAAATTCCTGTTGTGATTTTGTTAGAGATTAGGTATATTGCGACTACCGGATCCCAGGCTCACGGGCCAATTTCTGCCTCAGCATTCCTCTATGCAGTTGGAGGTAGTCATTAGGTATGCACCAATGATTGCTGTTGCTGCCATTGCAACGTGGCGGATCGAACTTGCGTGCAGTATGCAGGTACCAATCACTCGAGTTCGGCATTGCCCGCATGCCTGGGAATAACGTGACGTTTTCAAATCATCGTTTCATTTCCCTCAGTAAATAGAGCCGCGAGGCTTGAAGAGGCAGCCTAGCATCAGTACCATAACGTGAGACCGACGGCACAGAGCGCCGAAAAGGGCAAGAGAAAATGCGATCCTGCAGGATTTCCAACGGCAACACTTTCGACCTACTAAATCAGAACCCTCACTAATTGCGTGCTGAGAGGTGACGTGCGGCACTGGAATCCATAGGGCTTAATGTCGCTATATATAGAGCCATCTGTGGGAACGAGATCATATGTGCATTTCGTGTGCTTGTGGACGCGTGTAAGAGCATCACGAATAGCAAGGCCGATGGCGAGCTTCCGGGCTTCAAGATGTTCTACAGAGTAGGTAAGTCAATCTCGAGGAATTGGGAGCAAGTGGTGAGGAATCATGGTTGTTGCGGGCTGCGCGGCAAAGCCGTTCGTCCTCTGTGAAGCATCACCTACCTAGGTAGCTACGTTACCCCCTTTGAATCCATACAGCCGAGCAGACCTTCGCTAGCCCGCTAGCCACGCCTTCGCTGGCTACCTAGGTACAGTCCTTCGTTTCTGACTAGGTAGCCAGCCATACCAGGTTCGCGCCTTCGACCTTCAACCCATTCTGCAAGACCAGTACACTTCGTACTACTGTTACTACGGACTAGGGCTCGTACTGATCCAGTATAACAGGCAGACCTGGGGCGTACTAGTACGAAATCTTGCTACATACTGGTCCAAACCCGTATTGGTCTGGACTGTACCAGTCCGAGGCATACTGGCACGAAACCTGCACCTCTTCCCATTTATTAGTACTCTACCTGGCATGCTCTTATAAGGCTGGTATAACAGGGCCACAACTACCATTGTAGGCCATTGGCATTGTCACAGGAAGTTATAGATAAAAACAAGCTTGCGTCCATTTCGTGGACGGCTGTTGGTCTAGGGGTAAGGATGACCCGTTACATATAATTGGCAACCCCACTTAGAGGACCATCAGTTCGATCCCATGAGAAGATTGTTTTTTTATTTAGTTTTAATAAACCAATAGAGCGATAAAGCCCACTGTAACATAAAGATAATTATAGTGAACGGATCTACTTTTACGATACGGCTAGCACTATGGAATTGGTTGAGTAAATATCGGGGGGTAGGGTATAAGCTTCCGCTCGAGACCTAGCGGTGCGCTGAGTTGCGTTGCAGTAGCTTGGCACCTAGGTATACTCCATTCCAATTATTACAGGGGGAGGCGGTGCAAAGGAATCTGAAAGTAGGATCAATGTCTTACAGGTCAATTTTCAACTCGCCAACATCTACATAACCCGAGCATCCGGTCGAGAACTCCCACATCACGCTCATCTTTAAATTGATTCCACGCATTTTGATATGAAGATCCGGTTCATAGGGCGGAGCGTAGGGCTTAGAGTTTCGACAAAGCCCACACCACGCGGAGTAGATCTGGGCAGCAAACACCACATTCTCGTCCTGTCGATCCCAATGATTGGCACCTAGATATATCGTGGTTTCTGATGGCGCCACACCATGAATCGACTATTCATATCTGCTGGTCTCGTAGACAGGACTCTAGAGCTCTGTCTAGGCCAACATGCCCATTGCCTGCCTAGTAGCCTTTCTGTTTGGGAAGTGTAGTGGGTCTCTCAGATCACAGTACCATTACAAGCAGCGGGCATCAGTCTACATCCAGTGTTTGCTGTTTGTTGCGACTTGCTTCTCGAAATCATTATGTGTGTGCCGATAGGTTCACAGTTGGGTATGTAGACGACCCTTTCAATCTCTATAGAGATTACATGGACCAAGACTGAGACGATAAGCTGTTTAAGAGGGCCGCCCACAGCAAGCGCCAAGTTCCGCTAGGTGAAGTTATTCGCTCGATAACAGCGTACCCCGTCAAACCGACACGGGACGCAAGTTTCGTTAAACATTCTACTTCCTTACGACATTCACAGATGCTTAAAGCCGGTAGATGCTCCGATAGGCAAGCTTTAACCCCGACAAAACCGATGATATGATCTACCACGCTAGGCGTTATCATCAAGAACATTGCTGGGAGATCAAAATTCAGGCTGCTCTGGTCTCTCATGGCCCGGGCATTCATGCACGTAAGTGGGAATCTAAACCACCAAAAGAAGTCAAGCAAGTTAATTGCCCTGGTGACTCGTATATATAGTGCTTGTCATTCCCTAACCTGGTTACTAGGCGGAGGTTCATACTGCAGAGTGGCTGCATGTGGAATAGATCTGGAGTTAAGAATCGGAGGTCTGCCTCTAAAGCCGTGAGAACAAGGAAGTCAGTAGTTACCCCGACGATGAGTATTGCTTTGGATCTTCTAAACCTGGGTACCATGGGTAAATGAAGATTGCTGAGTGGCTACCCAGACCTGGAGTTAAAAGTCGGAGGTCTACCCCTAAAGCCGTGAGAACAAGATAGTCAATATCGTCTTGACGATAGGCAATGATTTGGATCTTCCTAATTATGCCCATATCGCTAGCTAGCTACTTTGGGATCATAAGTCATTTATACTATGGTGGAAGGGTATGAGGTTTTCCTAGCTATGTATTTGCGAACCTATGTAGGGGTATGGGCAGTTTGCCGCGGTATCTGGTTATGCTCGAACCACCCAAGACTGCGATTTTATGCAAGTACCTCGACTTCATTGCAGTGGGGCAAGGCGTTAACACGCAGAAAAGACCTAACAAGGCACTCTTTACTCAACACAAGGGAGTATACATATATAAACAGCTCAAATTGCCATCACCTAGTAGTTAGTGCAACTCCTGAAAGTGACTGACATCGACACCATCATTCATTCTCTATTGTTCGCGCCTAGAGACTACCAACAACACATTTCAACGCATTGAGATTGAGATATAATCTACAGATCCCAAGATGCCTGCCAGTACCGCTATGGAAAACTACAAGGCTATGGACAGGTTCACCAGAACGCACAAAGATACTTACCCCTTCATCTCGCCCCAGACGGCAAACCTATCTGGCAAATCGGTCTTCGTCGCTGGTGCTTCGAAGGGAATTGGCAAGGAAACAGCTCTGGCCTTGGCAGAGGCTGGATGCAGCAAGATCGGTATCGGGGCACGCTCAGACCTCTCCAGCCTGGAAGACGAGATTGTCAAGCGAGCAGTCAACGCAGGCAAAACCGTTCCGCAGGTCGTCTCGATCCACCTTGACGTGACATCAGAAGATAGCGTCCGAGCAGCGGCCGATAAGATCGGACAAGAGTTCGGCGGCGCCCTGGACGTCCTGATTTGCAATTCGGGCAGACTGGAGCGGTGGATGCCTGTCGCCGAAACAGACCCAATGGAATGGTGGCGGACATACGAGACCAACGTCAAGGGAACGTATCTCCTTAACCGCTTCTTCATACCTCTGCTCTTAAAGAGCGAGATCAGAACGAGCATCCTGGTGTCGAGTTATGGAGCTATCGGTATGAGTCCTGGTGGCTCCGGATACCAAAGCAGCAAATTCACCCTTTGCCGTCTGGCTGAGTTCATCGCGATGGAGTACGACGAGCAGGGGCTCGTATGCTTCGCGCTACACCCCGGCGCTGTCAAGACGGAGCTCGCGCTCGGATTACCGGAAGCACATTGGAGTATCCTTAACGACAATCCCGCGCTGCCCGCACATACACTCGTCTGGTTGAGCAAGGAGCATCGGATGTGGCTGAGCGGCAGGTTCGTGAGTGTATCGTGGGACATGGAGGAGCTAGAGAGCAAGAAGAGTCAAGTTATTGAGGGTAATCTCTTCAAGTTTCGGATGGTATATGAATGAGTTGGCGTTATCAAGGATGTCTGTGTATGGCATCAAGGAAACTAGGTTTATATAGTCAGAAAGAGTCTGAATATCCTCTCTTCTGGTCTTCTGGGAATCGCGCAGCAATAAAATCTTGGCCTTGAAGTGAGTTCGGTTGATGTTTGCAATGATCCAAGTCCGACTTCACATATGAATAGGTATTGAAGTACCTAGGTACCTACTGTACCTTGGCGGTACTCCCGGCAGAGACCCTGCAGTGCCTAGGAGTAGTGGGGCCGTTCGGCCCCGCCGCCGTACACAATGCGGTAGCTACAAGCTCCTCCATGTTCTCTTGACGATAGAAAAAAAGATCCCCTTCTTGAGCCTTTTTCCCCAAAGCCAACTATCCATCTCTACGACCCGTGGCGTCTCTCCTGCAAAGCTCTTGCAATGGTATTTCCTTAACGTCAACCCTCTTTCCTACCCTTGTTCTAACTTCTTCTTCCATTCTTTAGCGGCCAATGGCTGGCTGTACATGAGCTTTAATTTCGCGTACCATTAATTCATCCTTCTGAACCAGTCACCTACAATGCCTCCTTCTCCTAGCCCCCGCAATGCCAGGTCAAAACCGCCTACTACCGAAGCCCAAAAGATCGCGGCTGAATGGGCTAAGGCGAAACGGATAAAAGACGCCGAGGATGCGGTAAAGAGTGCTGCGAAACCTTCCGACGCCGACGAAGCGCGACGTGCCTTGCTCGAGCGCCGTCGCAAATCAGCCTTCGAAAGTCGCTGTTCTTGGACTGTTGGTTTCTGGATATGGCTCCTCTTTATGCACGTGGTTGGAATCGTTCTCTTCACCAGCGGTTTTCTTTTGACGCGACTTGTCCTAGACGAGCGTTCCGAATGCGCGGTCCCACCAACCGAGCCGTTGATACAATGGGAGGGGAGTGGCACGATTGATGGTGGTTGCTGGCATCCTAAAACATTCAATAAAGCCGTGGTTGTCATCATTGATGCTCTGCGATATGACTTCACAGTACCTACCGAGGATAGCGAAGCCGAAGTCTATCACAATGCGTTTCCTTTCCTTCATCAGTCGGCCGTTGAATCGCCTAATAACGCCTTCTTACTACCTTTTATTGCCGATCCGCCGACAAGCACTCTACAGCGATTAAAAGGGTTAACGACCGGAACGTTGCCCACATTCATTGATCTCGGTTCGAACTTCGCTGGAACAGCCATTGAAGAAGACAATATTCTGATGCAACTTCGGGAACATGGCAAACGCATCGTTCATTTGGGCGATGACACGTGGACCGCTTTATTTCCCGACTATTTTCAGCCCAATCTAAGCAAGGCTTACGACAGTTTCAATGTATGGGACTTGCACACAGTTGATAACGGGGTTTTGGATCACATATTTCCACTCATGGAGCCCGAGTTCAGAGGCGACTGGGATATCGCTATAGGCCATCTCCTTGGCGTGGACCATGCTGGCCATCGATATGGCCCAAATCATCCTGCAATGACCGCTAAGCTTCAACAGATGAACACCTTCATTAGTCAACTTACCCAGAGCATTGACGAGGATACTCTACTGGTAGTGATGGGTGACCATGGAATGGATGGAAAGGGTGACCACGGCGGTGAAAGCGATGATGAAGTAGAAGCCGCCCTATGGATGTACTCGAAACGGCCTGTCTTTGGTCGAACTCAACCCGATTTCGCCACACCACCAGCAACAGCCAAAATTCGGCCTGTGAATCAGATTGATTTGGTACCGACCTTGGCTCTTCTTCTAGGAATTCCGATTCCGTTTAATAATCTTGGCCGACCAATTGAAGAAGCCTTCGCAGGTCCTAAAGGCAATGCCTGGGATCATCTTGCTGCAGCCTCTAGCGTAACATCAGCTGGGATCAAACGATATCAGGCATCATACTTCACAGCTCGTGGACTGCAGCAAAGTTCTACTCCAGGCTCACCGGCATCACTCTGGACAGATGCAGAAGATCTTATTAATGAATCTACAAAATCAAAGAACTGGGCCGCTCTTTATGCCGCCTATACCGCCTACCAACGGGAAACACTAAAAATTTGCAAGGATCTCTGGGCTCGTTTCAATGTGCCAAACATGATCTTAGGAATCGTAGTGATGACTTTCAGCGTGGTAGTCTTGCTACTATATGTGTCGCGAGATGAGGATGAAGACTTTGCCGTTCTCGATGACGTCGAGTTGGATCTTGCAGAAAAGACCTTAGAGTTACAAGGTGTCTCAGTCGACGCAGACGCTGCATCTTACAAGACATTGACTAAAGCTCTAGTAAAATCGGGGGGGTTGAGTGGGATAGTTGTCGGGCTTGTGAGTTCAGCTGCTGTCGTTGTCACTGGCTCAGAAGAATGGCTCCGGGCCGGTGCTGCCACTGCTATCGGAAGTATGGCCTCAGTGGCGATCACCTTACTCTCTTCTGGTGGCAAGAATGTTTTCAGCTTGCTCCCAGACAACTTCTGGGGTTGGCTGTCGATCATTTTCACAGCAAGTCAGTCTATTGGATTTGCCTCTAATTCATACACTATCTGGGAAGACTCCATTTCCTTATTTTTCCTCGCAACATTTGGGGTTGCTAGTGCTATGGCTGCACTCCGGCGACCAACCCTACGAGAACAGAGTCTAGGGGTCTACCATTCATTATTGTTTGTCGTCCTGAGTCGAGTAGCATCCTTCTCCAAGCTTTGCAGAGAGGAGCAAATGCCTTATTGCAAGTCAACCTATTACGCCTCTGCAAACTCCTCTACATCGGCGCCCTGGCAATTAGTAGTCCCTTTCGCCGTGTTTCTCCTCCTTCCCTCTATTATCCAGTCGTATTTACAAACATCCAAGTCTTATGAAGGGCTTGCGCCCGTGTGGATTGGATATGTGTTCCGCGGTACCCTACTGCTCTCCGCTGGCTATTGGACTCTGGATGCTGCTAGCAATAGTAACTGGCTTACATCCATCTCGGAAACGGCCTTTAAAACGATCCACGTGTCGATCGCACAAGTTGTGCTGGCGCTGGCGCTGGTAGCTGGCTCAACAGCCTTTATATGGGCTCCACCCTGTGTTTCTATTATCACAACTTCTGCCAACAAACGTACAGCTCAGGTCACGGTGCTCGGATATGGCAATGCAAACGGTGCTCGATATCTCTTCCTACCAATCAACATCGCATGCGCTTGTATACTCCTCACAAAACCCATGGGAAGCGGCGCTATCGCCATTATGCTGTGGCAAGTACTTGCTCTTGCCGAGATATTGGATATCAACGGCATCGCAGCCGAGACCATCGGCCCAGTGACTCTGGCTCTTCTCGGCAATTACCATTACTTCAAGACGGGTCACCAGGCAGTCCTCTCCTCCATTCAATGGGACGCCGCCTTCATTCCCGTTCTCACCGTTCGCTACCCTTGGAGTGCCATGGCCGTCGCGCTCAACCACTTCGCCGGTCAGATACTAGCATGCGTCGCAGTTCCACTATTAGTGATATGGAAAACGTCTCCGAAGCGGAAGGGGGTTCTCGAGAGCGTCAGCCGCGCCCTCGGCATCTTCGTCGCATACTATGCCGTGGAAAGTCTGGCCACGATGGCTTGGGCCGGACACCTCCGGCGTCACCTCATGCTGTACCGCGTCTTCAGCCCGCGATTCATGATGGCTGCTGCTGTCCTCTTGATTGTGGACCTTGTGGGTGTTGCGGTTACGCTGTTAGGTGTTCGGACGAACGTGCTCGCTATAAGCGATGTTTTTGGGTTTGCGGATTAGACGCAAGGATAGATTTTACGTGGTGTATATAGGATGGCTATTACATCCTCTCCATTTTGGGAAGCTGGAATTAGACAATAGGTGTGGTCGAGAGTGGCTCCGTACGTCAACATCTGTACTGTCTTGACATTGGCCAGTTTTTTAGGATCACTAGGAAGGCAGAGCTTGACGAAGATGCTATACTCGCCAGATATAACACTGGGTATAACAAGGGCAGGACTACTAGGCTTGGAATCTAGGCAATTCAGATTATAATAAACAACTAGGGCTGCATAAGTCCTTGACCAACCAACTCCTTCTTGACTGTTGGTGGCTTGACTCGACTCTATATACAACTGGTCTGCCAGCCTAAACCGCCTAGGTCTCTGGGGTCTGTTTCAAGAAGCGAAGTCTGTATAACCTCACTTTCCAATATTGCCCAATATTGCCTGCATGTCTTGGAAGGTCATGAACAGCCTGCAGTGGCCGTTCGTACGGCCGAAGTGCAAGGCGAACTGCATATTCAGCTTAGCACAGAGGTTGCACGTGTAACACTGTGTTTCAGCAAATGGGCCGCGGAAACTTGAGAGAAAGAGAGAAAAACAGAAAACAATGTAGATCCAGTCTCTCTTAAATTAATAACCCTGGTGGTGGTCAGTGACACTGATTGTTCGTCGTCATTGCTATAAAAGTCTTCTGGAATTTTAGCTGCTTACCCTCATTCCAGTGGAGGTGTTGAGCTGTTCGACATCAGGATCGAAAAGGGGGTGGCCCTTATCAGCTTTTCCGGATGATTGTATTTTGGATACCGTCAACGGTAATCTTTGATCGTATCATTGTTGAGTTCAAGTTTCACAAGCCTACATGTCCAGGAACATGTCGTCGCATATGACTCGCGGGCTAGGTGGAAGACCATAGCCTGATGCGGCGTATGAAAGGCATGTTGACTCTCGCTCTCTTCACACCACAACGCTTATTGTGTTCGTGATTAAATCTGTAGCAGGCCCCAAGGTACGTCCAGCAAAACTCGGGCCCCCATTTTTCGCATGCTTGGGTCGGCAAAAGTTCGTCGTCGTCTATATGTTACGCCAACCACCAATGTTTGTGCTGTCCATGTTCATTTGTCGCCGCACATAAAATTTTCTGTAGCTTCTTAAGTATGGCATCTTGAGAAGTAGTGAAAGAGAATAAAAGAGGAGATGGAAAACGTATCGTGGGGAGAAGGTGGTATAGATGTGTGCGCGTGTTGGTAATAATTAAAATTCTGCTAGGCTTATAGACTTTATTGCGAAGGCGGAGTATAGATACCGCATGGGTGGACGATATTTAGTTAAGAATAAGAGCGTCCTTCCGCGAAGTGCTCAACTCGTTGGCACTGACTCGTCAGAATCAGATCCCTGCGGGGTGAGGGCCTTCACATCTAAAGTGATGAGTTCGTCCTGGAAAATGAGCTCATGAGGGGAATAGAGAATCGCGAGTTCTCGGTAAACCAGCAATATGATAGTCCTCTTTCTTTTGAGGTCATCACCCATGTTTATGTACCATGTGTTCTGCGATCAGTAAGTTAGATCTGATTTGCTGATGATAGTTAGGTGGGGGCAAGATATCTGACCGTTTGAACGCGGTTGATACCGTCAAGGTCCTAGAGTTCCTGAGGTTGCCCTTCGATACCTGATTTACAGCTCTGCAGCTATGATGCGAGAATTGGGTAGGGGTTGGTTGCTTTAGTTGCGCTGCAGGAGATATACCAGAACGGCTCTGGAGGGGCGACGTGAAGCAAATGTAGAACATAATCGATGATTTCATCATCATACCACTTATCGTCAAAAGATAAGTGGCTTTTAGCATGTACAAATCTGATCGTTATATTGATCTGTCCTAATTCACGTTAGCCAAATCTCTAATAACAAGCATTCTTATAGGGACAGGTGATTAATCAGACTTACTTTAGATCAGATGATGTCTCTTCTATACTCATGTTGATGAGCTTTGATACTTTCACTCAACCTCGTATCTGGTCCCATAATCCAGAGGTCTCCGACCTTCACTGCGGACAATGTCCTTTTCCCTGAAGAAGCTGAGATGATCCCGGAGAGTCCGACTCTTAGCTCTCAGTGCTGCAACTTGTCCTCGGGAGTAAGGAGAATCTCACCCTCGTCCGTAGATGGGGAGATGGAATTTAGTCGATCAGTATGTACATGTAGATAGTCATCCGCATGAAGGGTAGACGGAGTGGGTGGCTAGTTTCCACCAGGCTGGGTTCATCCGAGCATTTAGTGTCAATCGAGTATTCAGTCTCATCTGAGGCGTCCACCTCTCCAACGATTGCTCCGGGGTCCAATATGAGGGCTGGATCATCTTGGGACAGAGAGAGACGATGCCTGGTAGATGAGTGGAGGTTGATGTGAATCTTTCAAGTGTCCACCAGGGACAAGTGGTTGCCGGAGGTTAGACACGATGGTCAACGAGAACGGTTGTTGATCGGGATATTCCGCTACGTGGTGATCTAAGGCCCGTCCGGTGAGGCAGTAAAGGTAATATCTGTTCCCTCAGACAACTTGTCCGTCCGGCAGACAGAGGCTCTGCCGCTAAATATACCGATACTATCGGAACTTAAGTTGTAATCATCGAAAGACGGGATTAGCGAGTCGACGCACGATATTTATCAGTAGACGGATAGGTAGATGAACTCTACCAGGTAAGCTCTTCATTCATCATCAAATTTTTGATGCTTGATTTTGGCATATTTTCTCCAGCTCCCCTCACAATGAATTCTCAACTGCATCTTGTAAGGAGGGTGATTGCTGCCGTACATGGGTAGCTAGTATTCTGTAACGACTTGTCACAATCACGGCGCGTAGGATACCTAGGCTGTGCCGAGCGGTATTGAACTTGGCTCTGCGAGTCGCATTGAGTTAGCACTACTGCGATCAGTCAAGCGAGTGAGAGAGAGACTATTTATGTAATTTCAGTGAAAACTCACTGTGCCTAGTTATCGTCGATGATCATCGCTATGTCTCTTAGAGCACGACACAAAATGGCAAGAATATATGCCATTTATGTGACACCCTTGCCACCAGTTACTATCGCACAAGATAACAGGGAATGTTGAAGATGGAAGCGTCTGAGTCCCCATTGACTGAGTAACGGTTGGCCCCCTTTTCTAGGACGCTCAGCGGTTTCCAGTTGCCGTAATCATCAGTCACTATGACTCTCTAGGCCACCCCATATCTTCCCAGCTCGAGATCTCAAGCAGAAATTGTCGACGCCGAGGAAGTCGATGGAAAGGAAGCGAGGTCAAAGTGAGCTGCCATCACGAGGTTTGAGCCAGTGTAAAGCACGAGAAGGCACACTGATCCGCCCGTCTGAATTGCAATACAAATTTGGGTAGGCAATTTATAATTCAAGAAGCGATTGGTGGATGAAAGTGCTTGCTAACTGACAAAAGCCTCAAAGGTAAGCATTTAAGCGGCCGCCGTTGTTTGACTATATCTCTTACAGGCTTGCTGCAGCTCTGTGAACCCTAGAATTGCATTCTTCGAACAGGCAGCGGCGAGTCCTGGTTTTAGTCTGCCGTACGAAAATACATAGCCGACCGGCTATATGTGCCTCGAGGACATTGGCCGACTCTACAAGCATGCTGCCTCCCGCCGGGTTTCCCCTGGAAAGCTCACAAAGGCGTTGAGCTGTCTGGGACTATTTTAACATTCTTGCTGGATATTAGACTGTTGTCGAATAGCCAAGTACAGTTGGGTCAGTTTGAACGTACCTAATAAATGTTATAAGGACGTGAAGCCTTTTTATTTTTCTTTCTTTTTTGTTTCTCATGTCTGTCCGAGACGGTTATGGTCCTGGTGGGACTGAAGATGATATCGCGGTTATAAAGCTGAAGGGGTATAAAATCCAATTTTCTTCAACCATGACTGAACTCAATTAGCATATATCGATAGGAACAAAAGAAACAGATGTTTGCATACAGGATATCAGTGTACCCCTGAGCCTAACCCACAACAGATAATTCGGTCTGGTACTCTCTCTCTCTCGGCCCCTCCACTTGAACGCCGAGTTTGTGATCCAGTCGCAGCCTTCTCGGGGCGCTATCATGGATAATTGCGGGTAGTCTGCTGAGTACGACAAGGCCGGGCACATCGTCTCCCGCTACAAGTCCATCCGAAATGATCCATAGGCCCTTCAGTGCAGATAGTCGACTCAGTGATTCATAGATGCACCTGAAGTCAGACGTACCATTATCTAAAACGGCTCCATTTAGAGCTTGCTGTTCTCTGCACAAATTTGCTTGAGGTCGAAGGACTGATAAACGTTTCTCGAGGTCTCGTAAACCAGCGTTTAGGACGGATCTAAATACCCTTTACCATCTTCATTGGTATATATATCGTCGATACCAGACCCAGGGACTGAAGTCTCAGGGCTCGGGCTCAATTATATGTCTATAATTCATGTTGACGCCCTAAGTAGATCTCGAATAATGTTCAAAGCCCGCCGTCGTCATATAACCAGGGCAGTTATCAGCAACGAGATATCTAGTCAGAACAATAAACTTAAGTCCACAGGTCTTTAGTATCTAGTATGAATACTAACAGTTATATGGGCCGAGTTCATGGCTCGATATGCAGTATAGCTGGGCATCCATATGTCAAGCGGGTCGCTTGACATTACCCCGTCACACTGATCAGATCTGCTGAGAGCTAGAAAGAGAGCTTGGCGCTCAATCTTGAGAATGATGTTGCAGCTCTCGTCTAAGAGAACCAGTGAGCCAATAAGATTTGTTTCGGGCCCTTGAAATAAATTAGCAGACAGGTCGATGAACAGGTTGAGAAAGCTGTTGTTCAAGATGCTGTGGAAACTGTCTGAGTGGGAGATGAAGTGCAATTGCTCCCTTGGAGTTCTTGGAAATCCACGGTGGGTGATTCTTCTAGCTTATAGATAACGAAAGGGATATCTACTGACCTTTCTGTGAGAGCGCCCAGTGACGAGTTATCAATGCTTGCTTAATGCAAGCAGAGAATAATTTTCAGTTTCCTTCTGTTGTTGCTTCTCTTATTGCTGTAGCAGTCCCGGTTCTGGGAAAGCGTGAAATATCTTGTTCTAAACACGACGAACTATCCGAAGCTGTCATGCTGATGGAACAATTACGAGTAATTAGAATGGATATCCTCAATAATATGAACAAGTGATGTATATTAAGAATATCAACCCCTTCAAGCAGAAGGGTGATGAAGATAGATGGGTATACTGAAGCTGTTTGCATGAAGATGGGAACAGATGAAAAGAAACAGAAAGAATATGGTCCGGGAGTAAACAAACAAACAAACACTAGGCACCGTCTGTTCTGTTTACCTCCAACAAAGTTAAACACGTCCGCAACCACGACCATACAAAGTCCAAGACGCAGACAGAAGCGGCCTCCCAGACTTACCTACCAAATGAGTCCCCAGCCCAGAGCTAGAACCCACCTACTCCATAGCCTCAGTATCAGCCGCTCATTCTCAACTGCCGTGAATGTACGCAGCAAAAACTCAAGTTACGAGCTTTCCGTACGTACATATGAGCAAGTTCCTACCAAAAGGGAAACGAAGCAAGACAAGTAGTCTCTAACGCTGCAGCTTCAGCTTCTGAATACGTAAAGCAAACAATAAGCCAGGCGCAAAGGGTCTAGCTTTAAACCCGTCAGAACTAGGAGAAACATAGGTACCATCTTCGCAATCGTTGACGCTTTCTCCGTCCCGAAAAGGGGGACGACTGTTATGCGTAAGACATGCGAGACCTACTTTACGCAAATATGTGGCGTTATGTCACCCAATATTACATACTCGAGTAACTATTTATAGTTTATGCGTACATATTCAAAAAATCTATCTACGACTTTGTAGATAACACCTGAATTCTTAAGCCCGTATAATTATGGGTGCACTAACTACCCATTATGATTACATCCAACCTCAAAAGACAAAGGCGCACCTAGAGTAACTTTTAAACAATTTTTATTAAGGCGTCCTATCACCGAATACCAGCACAACAGCAACATCAGTCGACAGAGCAATCGTGTAGTCACAGGGCCAAGAACTATGTACAAGAAAGCGATTAAGAATCCCATAGCGCATTTCCAGGTTTCCACATATTCTAGTTATCAGAGTTCTTTTTCTTCCCAGAGAAGATCTATCATGTATCGCTTCCAGACACCCGCCAAGACAAACCAAAGAAGAAAAAAAGTATGGGGGAGACTCGATATATACATCGACGGAGCTTGGATAGCTAGTAAATAACAGAAGGTGCGAAGACCTCATTGATGGATGATATAAATTATGATGAGCGTGTGTGACAGGTATAAACTGTGCGCTATTGGAAATATGTAAGAGAATAGGGGGTATCGCATCAAAGGGACATAACCTTTGATATTGTTATGTCGTCAAAAAAGGGGCCAAGGTCTCGTCATCACTGAGACCGTCGTCCAAAAGTAAGAGAACATACTGCCGTTGTTTACTCGGAGCGTGCTTCGTAAGAATAGTAGAAAAAGAGTCCAAAAGTCAATGTCAAATAAAATCCGTTGCCAAGTTATGTCGAAAAAAAATCCCAGTGCCGCCCGCTTCCTGAGACGCCGTGCTTTGTAATCGCTTTTTTGAGTTTGGGACGATAAAGTCGCTTTCGTAAGGACCTGGTAGGCTTTCCGACACAAATGAAAAATAAAAAGGGGGAGAAGTAAAGGTTATAATATCCAGTGGGATACGGCCATGATGAAGAAAGATATCAGAATCGCTAAAGACGACGATATTGGGTTCAAGGATGCCATCGTGCCTGAATCAACGGCGGTCGCCAACGTCGTATTAACGAAGTTGTTCCCGCAATTCGAATTTATCTGTTCGGCCGCACTCAAGTATGTGTTGGAGATGTCGGCTTTGCGATTCGAGGTCGCGGCCTGGTAGATTGCCATGGTCTGCTGCGTGCATGAGCCGCAGGCTGGGGCCGCCGTGCTAGGCAGTGTCGAGTTGAATGGCAGGTAGTAGAGATACGCATTCGACGGGGTGGTGCTGTTCGTGATAGCGTTGGCGAAGCAATATTCGGAAGATTTGGAATCCTCATTGGCGAGACACGTGGCCTTGTAGACGGTATTATACGTCTTCATACCCTGGTAGGCTTGCACGACGAGGGCGTTCTCGCGATCGTACTCCTTGCCGCAGTTGCCGGTGGCGATGAGGCTCTTGGCGAGGTCGTTGAAATAGTCGGTGCACATGTCGACATCGGCCTTGCAGGCGGCGTCGAGCACCTGCGTTATGCTAAAGAAGGACTTCTCGGCTTCGAAGAATGACTGCGATCCCTGAGTAGCGTGACATGGTTAGCGTTTTTGTTTTATGCACTACATGTTTGAGGTTGCCGTGTTGCAGATCGGTACATAGAGATGCCTCTCTAGCCTGAACTAGGGCCAAACTTACCTGCAGTAGCAGCGATATTGGGTAGCATGCTCTGAAAGTGGCGTTCGATAGGAAATCATTGATGAATGTTGGACACACATTGTCGCCCGAGAAGTTGGCCGCCAAGGCACCGTCGAAGGGGCTTGGTAAGGGGCTCGCTGCGGCGGTCGTGGTTGAGACGGGATTCGCGGAATCGGTGACGGTCGCGGCGTTGATTATGATCTCGGTCGTCTTGGTGGCCTTTGGCTTTTCTGTCTTTGTTCCTGTTCCTGTTCCTGCTCCTGTCTGTGTTTCTGTATCCGTTTCTTCCTCTTCTTCTGTTTCTTTGTGGGCGTCGGCGCGGCGACGGAGCTCGCGATGCTCTTCGTCGGACATGATTTGCCAATGGCCGTCGACGAAGACGGGGATTCGTGGATCGATCAGCAGTGCCTCGTCTGTAGTGTCGACTCCAGCTCCAGCTCCAGCTCCTGCGGGCACGATCGGGCGTGGGGACTCGTCCACTGAAATAGAAGCCGCGGCGGCGCCTAGACAGAGCCAGCAGGAGATGAGAAGGAAGATCACTGCCCTGCTGAGCTTGAGGGCGGATGCGGGCCCTGTAACACGAGCACCCCAGTGGTCCCAGTGGGCGCGACGCCAACGCCCACAGCGGCCTAGCGGTGTCACTGCTGTCTCTCCAGCATTTCCAGCATCTCCAGCATCCGCCGCCGATGGCCACCCACGACGCAACGGCCGGGAAGGCATCATTGTTTCAGCACGGCCACGAGTTGTCTCGTCTCGGTGAAACCTCAGCTAACATTACCGTGGTGCGACCTATCTCTACGACGCAGCCGGTTGCCTGGATGTGCCTGGATGGAGGATTCGGCTATCGGGGGGCAGGGCGTGTGTAAGTGGGAACGAGTGAATACTCTCTCTCTCTCTGTTAGATAGTAAAAATAGCAATTACTAGAACATCCAATACCTCCGAACACGTCCTTCCACCAGCTTGTTATAATAATATCTGTATCGCAAGCAAGCAAGCCGCTTCGTACGATTACTGCGGAGTAGGACCCAACCGTCTGCTCCTCCTTGGCGGATTGGGGAATGGAATCAGATGTCAGGAACAACGGTGGCCTCGTATGGGCTGCGGAGACCCGACCAATGATGTATCGGTAGACAGACGGATAAAATGGCGTTGATGCCGCAAACCAAATCGATTTTCCACGCCGTTTCTACAAATCATGCATCCCGCTCGCACAGCATGATCAACTGCCAACCAACAAGGGCAACCGACGGAGCCTGAGGACCGAGTGGGGAGTGCGGAGAGTCGGAGGGAACGGGCTGGATGGAGGCAGACGGGCTACGTATGGCTATGAATGCGGAGATAATTAGGACGAAGAAGAGAGCGATCGACAGTCCATGTATATAGTCAGTCAGTCGAACGTCTTTGAAGGTGAAATAGTATAACTGTAGTATAACTGATGGGAGAGCAGTTTGACTAAACCCTTTCCCCCCTTCTCCACAGAGCCTCCTCCTCGGGGACGGTGCTCTTTTGAATGATGAGCCAAGTTTTAATGTATACTAATCTACACCTAGACCAATAACCTACAGTATACCGCTTTTGCTGCCGACTGTTCTGGCGTGATAATGCTAAACTTGGCAAGGAGGATACACGTACTTACTTACCCACGCCAGGGAGACAGACAGATACCTAGACCCAAGGCCCAAGGCCCAAGGGTTGGTTGGTTGGTTGCATGAGAGACCGGTATTGGTCTGCCACCCGCGGGCCATGGCCAACAGAACAAGAGTCTCCATCCAACATCCCAAGTGCCTACCCGTTCAGAACAGAACTGGTTACGGCCCCCAGTCGCGAGCCTGATTCTGTCAGTCCTGAGCTATCTCTGGACGGCCTTGAGCCTCCAAATACGGCATACTGCGCACGCTACGGGCACTTGGGGAAGTTCTAGGCCTGTCGCTCCCCAGCGACTCGTCAGCTAGTCTCCAGTTAGCGTGGGAGTGGGAATGGAACCGAGATCCAATACATGCAGTTTTCGGCCAAGGGTTGACTGCGGGTCGACCTAACGAGCAGGTTACCATGCTGGTACATACCAGGTATGTAATAGTAAGTAAGTAAGTAAGTAGGGGGTGGCAGTTCAGTCAAGTCTACCTACCTATGCGAACCCGTGCGCTCGTAAACGCGGCACTTACAGATTGCATCGTCGTAGTATTGTTGTTGTTGTAGTGTGATGAACTCCTCGGGGCATTATTCTGCTCACCACTACCTACGCTCATGAAGTAAGTGCCTACTCGGAAAATATTACATCCAAGTAAGTATAGACGAAGGCGTCCAAGCCTCGGATATGTAGGAGTTCGTCTGGCGTTTCACTACACATACAACGGTATTCTGTGGTTCACTTTTGCTACGAAAGTAAAGGCGCCTTGATGCACAAGCAAGGCATGTTAACGAGGCTTGCATGCTGGCGAAGCGCCACGCATGCCCTCTCCACTCGATTTGGCCGGCTATCTGTACGCACTGCACTGCATGTTTACTGCTTACTTTATACTATATCAATACCCTGGTAAATATGTGAGCAGTATAATACCCAATGCTGGCGTATATGCAAGAAGTCAGGACAGCCGATAGAGTGACTAAAGTTAACCGACTACCGTTATTCTCTCCTTGCAACTGTGACTACCGTACGGCAGATGACGAATGAGTCTTCAAGAAACCTCCTCTTTACGAAAATAGACGCCACTATCCTTGATTTAAATGAAAAAGAGCGCGCCTAAAAAAATGGGTAGTAGAAGCTACGGTGGTATGTTCACCCAGAGTGTAAGTATGTACATTTAAGTCCTCAGGAAATACCAGCCGGTTCGTAAGGCTAGTAGCGTTAAGTAGCGTAATTACACCATTTCCCATTTCCGAATCCTTGTCACGGTCGATCGGCAAGCCGGCGGACTCGACCAATCAATCGTGAACGCCGGGCGGTTTTCTTTGGTCTACCTGAAGCGACTATTTTATTCATCTTACGTGAGTGAACGTGGGGGAGACGATGCAGTTGGTTGTTCTGAGCATACTATGAAGCAAGTAGGTATGGTTGGCATTTTGTTAGTATACCAACAACACTACCGGTACTGTAAGTACATGGAAATGTAGTAGATGGAGTAGCATTGGCTGCACTACGACTTTGCTAACGGCTTAACCAAACAGATCAAAAGCTTGGAGGTTGAGGCAGTTATAATTAATTTGTCATGTGAGGGAGGCTACTACGTAGTACTCTCTGTCCAGCGCCTACATAGGTAGTAACCTAAGGTAGTGTGTATTGGCAAAACGGTGAAGATATCGCTGAATGGCTACTAACCTGACTGTTCATTAGAATATGTCTCACTACTCATGTACCGTGCTTGGAATTGATCATATCACCGAATTTGCCATCAGATCACGATTGGTAGTGTTCCCTGACATATATGATACCTGTTATCATATAGCTAAACCCCCTAAGCAATCAAAAAAACACCGCAAGCCCAATCTCAATCTCCCTTGCCGACCACACGTCCATCGAATCAGAGGAGGTAGAAGCCCAGTCCAGGCAAGAAACTTTTCACCTGATGATCCCATCACCTTATCTCACATCTACCTAATTCACCGACGGCCGGATCGTGGACCTGCATCCGCGCCGCTTCATCTTTCTGCAAGGTACCCGCAACCCAACTCTGACCGCCATCAAACAACCTTAAAGTAAGACGTACACTCCCTACACTACTGTAAGCATGAATTACTTGGTGTACACGACAGAAGCCTATCATCCTCCTTCCAAGTATTCTTGATATCTCGGTTAAACGGTTGATTCGTAAAACACTTGATTCTGTGCGATATAACAAGGAACGACGTATAGGTAAGCCGTATGTAGGTTCATTTTACCCGTAAGATACCATCATGCACCACTCGGCATTCATCTCATCTCACCTGCAACGTGTCGTCGCACAAGACTTGAAAAAAAAAATATCGCCTGCTTACCTACCTACCTACCTTACCACTTTACCAACGCCGAGGAATAATGAGAAAAATGAAACAACGGCCTCCTGCATCGCACTAGGTACAGCACATCAAATCAAACACAGGGAAACAGGTATTCATTTACCTGAGACAAACAGTCAAGAATCTAGAACTCGTACTTTTCTCACCGATCTTTAGATCATGCCCACTGTTTACACTACTATGTACACTACACTACAGCACGCTTGGATACCTACTAAAGGTCTACAGTAGTCCGGAGTTACTTACCTTCATAGTAAGTAGGTAAGTAAATAAGTAAGTAAATATGCGCAAAGACAAACAAGTCCCTATTCTCTTCTCTCTCGCATTTCCTTTCGCCATCTCTCTCTCTCTCTCTCTCACAGTCCCAAATAGCCACATACCTAACCAAGCGGCTCAAAAACAACCCCAAAACAAAATAGATCTGCACCCCTCCGCACGTGGTTTGTGTATATACGCTACGCTATCTAGGTTTATTTAGTACATATAGTTCAGATCTCACAAGACAGCGGGATCTAAACCTCAGGGCGGCAGGGATCAACGCGATCGTCGCCCCTGCGCCGCCGCTCTAGAATTTTAAAGTTTTGTCTTGTCTTGTCTTACTTCCACGCGCATTACACTACGGCTTTGGACGGACGGGATAGGCAAGTATGTAAGTAGATCGATCTGTCGAGACTGGTCTATATATACATTATTTCGGAAGAAAGAATATTACTTATATAACTATAGTTCGTTGAAATACTGTTTTTCGCTCTTATAATTCTCTTTTTATCTCTCCTATTTAATTAAGATATATATGTGTAACTGCTTTATCAAGTGAAGCTCTCGGCAAGATGATATCTAGTATATTGATATATGAATTGAATAGGAGCTAACTTGGAAGAGATTAAAGAAATAATAAAATCCTAAAAGGAGGGAAGGATGTATAAAAGTGTTAAGGTACTAAATAGTTTTATATTCTGCAAGTTGCAAACCAATTCATGCACGCAATGCCTCCTTTGCGGAGGCGAGGTAGTATATAATATGCAAGTATAGTAAGTAGGGTATGTTAGGCCGCGGTCGTGCCAACAGCCCAGTCCAACGCCGTTATAATGCCATGTGGTATGTGGTGTAAAGCCTCCCCCTTTATCTCGCTCGCTCGCTCAGCGGGCTCTATTGAGATATGTAATAGTCTATTTGATATCAATTCCCTTTAAAACGCAACTTTAATCCGCCTACGCCTTTCGACACGCCTCCCAGAGTAGATTACTGATGCTTCTCTAGACTTTGCAGGTTGACGAGCTCTGCATACCGGCCGTTGAGATGCATCAGCTCAGCATGTGTACCCTGCTCCACGACGCGACCCTGATCAAACACGTAGATAATATCGGCTCTCTGGATGGTGCTGAGACGATGGGCGACTGCGATAGTGGTGCGTCCCTTGGCTGCCTTATCTAGAGCAGCCTGGACGACATGCTCGGACTCGGAGTCCAGGGCACTCGTTGCCTCGTCAAGAAGAAGAATCTTCGGGTCACGGATCAACGCACGCGCGATGGCGACACGCTGTTTCTGACCACCAGATAGCAGAGCTCCCTTTGTGCCTACTACGGTATTGAAGCCATCGGGTAGCGACATGATGAAATCGTAGATGTTAGCTTCACGGCAGGCATGCTCGATAGCCTTATCTGAGACGTCCTCCTTCGATGAGCCGAGGAGGATATTCTCCTTAATAGTTCCTTGGTATAGGGTAGGTTCCTGGGACACGAGAGCAATGAATGAGCGGTATTGGTTGATGTTCAACGTGCTGATCTCCTTGCCATCAATGAAGACACCACCGGATAACGGATCATAGAATCGCTCCAAGAGAGCAATGGTGGTACTCTTTCCGCAGCCTGACGCTCCCACTAGTGCGATGTATTGACCAGGACGCACAGTCAGGTTGAGGCCTCGAAGCACTGGTTGCTCGGGTCGAGTTGGATATCGGAAGTGAACATCGCGGAATTCAAGAGTGCCTTCAACAGACTCAAGGCGGTCGCCTTCGTCAGACCATGTATCGATAGCTGGTTTGCGGTCGAACAAGGTCTTAAGTTCAGTGGCGGCGTGATGAGCTTTGCCCATGTCTGGGGCAAAGGAGAAGATAGAGCCTGCCGACTGGGCACTGTACACGACTGCCATGAAGCAGATGAAAAACTGGAACAAATCATATTCCATGCTCGCGATGAGTGTACCACCGTACCAGAAACCCAGTGCAAACGCCAAGAATAGGGTAGCTTGTGCCGCGGCGTAAAGTAGAGATGATTTCAAGACGGAGATCAAGCTCGACTTTTGCTGCGCGACTAGAGAGTCTCGGTACTGAGCCAAAACATCCTGTTCACGAGTGAGGGAAGCAACAGTGCGGATAGCTGAGATGGCCTCAGAGGCGTAAGACGCACTCTTTTCATACGCCGTTTTCGAACGTCGCTGGAAATGTGCTAGCATGTAATAACGGAAATAGCCAGCTGCGATAATGACTGGCACGGCAGAGAAACAGACGAGTGCCAATTTCCACCCAAAGACCAGAGCCACGACGTTGGACGAAATTAAGGTTGTTGCGATTGTAAGGAGAGTACCGAGAGTGACACCACTGAGACCTGCCAAGTGGGTTGTCTCTGTAGATAAGAACGAAGTCAAAGCACCGGGGGTGTTTTCTTCTTTGTCGAAAAAGGCCACATCCTGACGAAGCATAGTTCTGAAAGCTCGGTCTCGGACCCGGTGGATGAGTAGTTCTGAACATTTCGCAAACGCTACACCCTGGAAAATCTGGGCAATGAGGATGACAAAAGCCAGAACGAGGTACATAAGACTCCAAAAGTCACTGTCGCGCTTAACCTGATTTTTATTCGCGTCGGTGATGGGCACGCCAAGTGTCTGAGGCAAGGTTAGCAATAGACTAAAGAAAAGATGAGACACAAACTTACAAGAATTTGTTTAGCGAAGAATAATGCCTGTACTGGGTTACCGCCACCACAGATGATGGCCCAGAACAAGCCCCAAAGCATGAGCTTCCACTCCGTGCGATTGAACGAAGCCGTCATTTTCACCAAAGTCCACACGCTGTATTCGGGTCCTTCTTCAGCCTTGCGGTTTTTGAGAACTCGGCTAGACACAGAATGTTGGGTAGATGATCGTTTCAGCTTAGCCGCAATGTTATCGTTAGGATCATCCGAGTAGGCGGCGCCACTCCGGTTGGTAGACATTCTTCGAATCAGTTGTTCATCTTCATCTTCTTGATCGTCATCTTCTTCACTTTCCTTTTTCTGTACAGCAGCAATGTTCTGAGCGGTCACGAGGTTGTAGTAAGCGCCTTTCTTCTGCAACAGGTCATCGTGAGTTCCCGATTCAATGATGGCACCCTTTGACATGACAACAATGTTGTGGGCATCTTTGATAGTGGATAGACGATGAGCGATTGTGATCGTTGTTCGGCCTTCGGCAGCAGCTTCCAAAGCAGCTTGAACTACACCCTCGGATTTGGTATCGAGGGCACTTGTGGCTTCATCAAGCAAGAGGACTAAAATGGAGGTTAGTGGTTGTAGTGAGTGGATAAACAGGTTGCATAACTTACTCTTAGGATCAGAGACAACAGCGCGAGCGATTGCAATTCGTTGTTTCTGTCCACCAGAAAGCAGGAATCCACGCTCACCAACGTGAGTCTCATATCCTTCAGGCAAGGACGAGATGAAGTCGTGGGCGTTGGCCTTCTTAGCTGCCTCGATTACCAATTCCTTTTGCTTCTCAGGAGATTCATTTTCATACTTCGTACCGAATAGACCATAGCGAATATTGTGGAAAATTGTAGTACCAAATAGCGTTGGTTCTTGGCTGACCAGAGAGATTTGTTGCCGTAGCCAGCGAAGGTTCAAAGTGCTGACGTCGTGACCATCGAGCAGGACTTGGCCACCAACAGGGTCATAGAATCGCTCTACTAGTCCAACGATCGTACTCTTTCCAGACCCAGAGGCTCCTACAAGTGCAGTCGTTTTACCCGCTGGAATATCGAGTGTGACATCGTTCATAACAACAACTTCAGGTCGGGATGGGTAGATGTGCTTAACGTTCTGGAGACGAATTGAACCCTCAACCTTTTCAAGTTTCTCACCTTCGTCCACGGTGGGATCTAAGGGGGAAACTCGGTCAATAGTGTTGAAGATCTTCGCAGCGGCAGCCAAGCCTGTGCCAAAAGCTTGCAGGTTAGGTGCAATATTTCCCAAATTGAAGGCGCCGATCACGATGGCCAGCATAATGGTCAGCACGGTGGACAAGGGAATAATTCCATCAACAAGATACATGCTGCCAACCCAGAAGCTGAGACCGTAATTCAGATAGATGATCAAAAATATGCCACCAACCAGGAAGGCAACAGCAGCAGACTTGCGGAAACCCCAGTAGTAACCAACCTTCAGATGTTCATCATACTTCCCAGCCAGACGAGCTTCTGTGCCAAAAGCAACAGTGTTTCGAATCGAGCTGAGAACTTCTTCGGCAACGGTACCTCCAGCGGCATGAGCCTGGATATTCATTTTCGTATATTTAACAATGAAGAATGACGAGGTGCCCATGACCAGAAGAAGCGCGAAGACGACGGAGGTAAGAATCAGGGTCAGTTTCCAGTAGAAGACGAAACCGATGACAAAGGCTGACAGGAAGGTGGCGACGGCGGTAAGCGTCAAGCTGACCTTCTCTGAAATGCCTTCTTGAACCAGGTTCGTGTCAGCTGTGATTCGTGTGGTGACCTCACCAGCGCCTATCTTGTCAAAAAAACCGATGTTCTGACGCATGCAACTCTCAAGATAATGCTCTCGGATTTTGGCACTGATATGCTCGCCAGTGTAAATAAAGCCAACGGTGGAGATATACACGCCGACAAATTCACCTATGGCGAGGTAGACGAAGTTCAAGACTAGGGAATTCAGCTGGCTAGTAAAGGCTGATCTTTCGACTTGGCCTAAGAAGTAACCTTGAAAGGTGCCCTGAAGCCTGCCAAAAATAACCGTCATAATAGGTAAGGCGGCACCAGCACCAATGGCCGCTATGGAAGATATGAAAATGAAGATCAGATCATTTCGCGTGGCATATCGATATAGAGTAGCGAAACCAGCTTTAACTTCGGGAATAGTGACCTCTATAAATCTGTTAGACCTCTGGCTTTAAGACCATCATTTACAAGCATGATTGGGGATATTATGTGCAAAGGCGCATAGCATTTGATGAGCTTGGACATGTATAATCCAATCCTCACGCCTGGCACAGATAAAAGAAGTGTGATCAGCACTTACGCCTCCTCAGGATTTCGGCTTCATGCGAAGGTAGGTGCCCATAGGGATCGTTTTCTTCCTTCTGAGCCACTACTACCTTTGAATCCAGGCGAGACAAATCGGCGCCGGATTGCACATCGGCTTGTGGAGTCGACTTTTCGCCTCCCGATGGTGGTGAGACAGTGCTCGCACTCGATTCATCTTGCGTGGATGGCCGGCGGTCATTGTTGTTCTCGGAAGCCAATTCAGGCTTCTCTGATAAGTCGGCGCCCATGGTGAGAGAGAGTGTGTGTGCGTGTGTTGCGGATGGTGGTAGGCCCGAGGCTATCCGAGAATGTGACAGTAAAAGGCAGCGCAAGGCGCGCAAGCCAATGGAGTGGGAGGCGAGTGTCGAACGGTCAGTCGTGTTTGAGCCCACTGGAGGTAACCTTGATCTATGTCTCGAGTGTAATTCAGCCGAGTTGCAACGAGAGGCGCCAAGTCTACGTCAACAGGCTATACTTCGTATGCGGAATCTGGGTGCTGCGTATCGTTCCCACAACGACATGTGTGTTGGATTGTATCGCGTCTGGATATCGACACGATGCGGCCTCGAGTGCGACCTACCTACCAAACCTAGCAGCGTACCGATTAGACATCAAACGGCAAAAAGTCGAAAGACGAGGACGAGGGGGCAGTCCGGGGCGGAACATGGTTAGTTATATGTAAGTGAATTTACGATTGGAGAGGATTAAGGAATAACCTGGAGCAATCGGGTAAGGCAAGACTAGTGGCGTACCGAGCTGAGATAAGACGCCTGTAAGACGCCATCTAGGGACTAATTAGGCAGTCGATGCGCTATGTACACTACTACACTGCAGGATTGATGGGTGGATTAGAACTTACTTAGACGGATGCGAGAGATACACTGTAGCGCTCACTAACCCAGATCGTTGGTTACATGGTTACATACTTACTTAACTTACCCTAGGCAGTTAGTAAGTAAGTACTACCTAGGTAAGTAGTACGCATCATAACGCAAGCGGCAGCGGAATGGACGCCTTCCGGGAGCACACTGCACAAACACCCTCCACTTGTCCACATGGCGGGTTCTGGCGGGCATCAAAGAGCATCAAAGGGCACTGGTGAATGTCCGCTACCCGCTATTTTGGCCCGCGCCCGAAACCCGTAATAGTAATACAGACATAAGTAGTACCGGAGTAGAGCTGAATTTTGTTAGGGCGGGGCCTAATCTCAAGGTAATTTCTACCAACTTTACTATGTAAGTCTTCAAGCTTCTCCTTTATGATAGGAGACAGTTGTATACCTATAGTCTTGGTGTATATAGACACGCGAGGATGTGGCACAGGGGATAGATCTGGCGGCCAGAAATCGTTTCCTGATCCGGGAAACTGGATCCAAGTTTTCTGAGAACTGGTGTTGGTGTCATATACTCATGCTTACATATTACTGTTATACATACCAACACGTGCACTGCAAGTAGGTACCTCAAGACTCGAAGGATGTTACGCGCACCCTTTATTAGCCCAAGTAGTATACCTACTGCAACCCGAAATTTGTCAGTTATATTATACTTGAGTAAGTGAGGGTGTTGTGGTAAGACACTCCCTCGCTACAAGAGATCCGAGGTTGGGTCGGTTGTTTCGATCTGAGATCAAGGTGAGTCAAAGCTTCGGTCTTACATCAGTGTCTAATAATAACATCAGCACGGTAAACCCAGCCGATGACAACGGACTCTCTCTGAAGAAAGTATAAACTCGCGTATACCTATGGTGGGTCTTACTGTATACGAGCAGTAACGAGCATCTAATATACATAGTTATAGGACTTACCTAGGCTATATTACAATACCTGATTATATGGCCAGATAAATATGGCTAAGGATATGTAGAGATGAACTGTATCTGAATATGCAACGTACTTGACACATGTTTCTAACCGGCCATGAAGTCTGGTTATACCTAGCGCTGTATCACCAACTTGAGAAGTTTAGCGTGCATAAGTCGAGTTGTGCAGCCAAAGCCCGACATTAGCACTGATCTCGGATTCCCCTTATCCCGTTTCCCCTGATTTGATTGGTGCGGGACGGAAATTCGGACTGCTCATGACAGTATGGCTCTACTGTATTATCGATATCTATACACTGTATCAGCATTACCTTGGCGAGTTGGACCCTTTGTAGGTACTGCCTTTGGTCTTTTCAGACTCTTTTCCACAGAACTTTTGCAACCATTCCCCCGGAATTCCAGAAAACGAAGGTGGATCAACGACGCCGTCGTTTATCAACATCCAACCAAACTGCACCAGCGGATTCGGGTTTCTCTAACTTCCCGCTCAGGGATTACCCACATGTGCCTACTAACTTAGTACATACAGTAGTTAGTTAGGAGGTCCTGAATCCCTCCTTTGGGTAAACGAAAGCGAGTAGGACTTGGAAAGAAAACGTGCTCGTGTCTCGGTTGTGTCCAAGTGAGATGCATCATCACGGCACGCACACTTCCAAGACCTACCTCATACTCTGCGAACCTGGACCAACTGAGTTATACGGCGTAACTGCTGATAAGTCTTTAAGTCTTCTACCTAGTCATATACATCGTACATATACGTGTACCCGTAGGTATGTAGGTAAGCATGTTGCGATCGCTTAGCGGGAACATCCTGCGGCGCGGCCGAAGCGTCACATTCTGGAGACCGACTAGATCGTTCAACCGAACCAACAAATAAATCTGCGTGCTTTTTCTGTGTCTCTCGACACCATACAAGGACTGTGCATGAAATACCTACAAGCAACCTATAACAATATCGCGATAGGTATATGAAGATCGATCAACTGCACTAACTGCATAGGGTCAACATCTTCGATACAGATTATGTCATGCCCATTCCGTTCCATGCACAGCAGCTAGGTATCAGCATCGCAAGTTGAGATACATATAAAGCACCGATTCTGCCTTCAAGAACGCCCGCCCGAGCTGTCTGCCCGGCATTGCGGTGACCGAGTAGGCAATACATGAATTCCGGCCTATCAACTGCCCAGGCATCTAAAAAGCTTAAGTCCGACTTGCAGTGCCCAGACGCGTGCTAAGTATGGCGCTGTGGCTTGGACGGATCTGGGAAATTCTAGAACAAAAGAAACTGGGACCAAGGCCGTCGTCCTACGCAACGCAACTCGTAGGCAGCCAGCCCAGCCTTGTTTCATTTGCCTTCCACGAAAATCACCAATGGCAAACGTTAGGCCGACAACCACTCTAGCTCCGACAAGTGTCCTGTCTTTGCCACCGCGACTAATTCATCTCTGGATGCGATTTAGATTTTTGGCCCTATCCTTGCTCAAGAATGTGATTGATTGATTGATAACTCCGCAGTTGTTTGCTATATCGCAACACAGCTACCTAGCTCAATTGTGACCTGTCATCATAAGGCTACCTTACCTACGCCAGGCGTTCGTCTACATGACTGACCAACTGTAACATCATCATCATCTACTTATTGTGTCTACCTAACAGCACTAAACCAAGCAAACAAGAGGGTCACCTCACGACCACAGATTTCTCTCGGCCAGCCGAGCAATCAAACAAAAACGATGCGTACAAGCATCCTCCCCGCGCTCCTCCCCCTCCTCCTCTTCCCCGCCACCGCGACCGCCAAAGCCAAGCCCAAAGACGCCATCCTCCTCTCCGCGGTCCAATCCCTCACGCTCCGCGCCAACAAACAGACCAGCCACCGCCGCGTCTCCTCGATCCCGCAGCTCAGATGCGTCTCGTCCCCCAAGGTCTGCGCCCTGCACCCCGTGGACGTGATGCGGTGCACGAACGAGGGGAGCTCGTACGGCGCCGAGGACGTCGAGTGGTCGTGCGCGGCCTCGCTGCCGCCGGAGCTCAAGCTGGGTTCCACGGACGTCATCTGCGAGGGGTACGCCGGCCCCGACGACCCTTACGTCCTCCGCGGCAGCTGCGGCGTCGAGTACCGCCTGGTCCTCACCGACCTCGGCGAGGAGAAGTTCCCCGAGATCGCCAACGCCGGGAGCGGGGGTTGGTTTTCGGGCTGGGGGCCAGGAGGGAGTCGGAACCGCGAACCATTGCATAACTTCGACGACAAGAGAGAACAGGGCTCGACGATAGGCGCCTGGCTGTTCGCCTTCATCTTCTTCGGCGTCCTTCTCTGGATCGTCTTGTCGGCCTGGAGACAGGCTACCGCGCCCGACGGCGCGGCGCGGCGAAGGCCGCGGAACGGATGGTTTGGTGGCGGAGGAGGCGGTTTCGATCCAGGCTGGGGGCCAGGCGGCGGTGGTGGTTACGGCGACTACGACCCGCCGCCACCGTACGACAAGTATGGGAGCAGTAGTCAGGGAGGTTGGCGCCCTGGCTTCTGGTCTGGCCTAGCATCGGGTGCTGCGGCGGGCTACATGGCTGGAAATCGTGGGAACCGGCAACAGGAATATCGTGATTTCTACGGAAGGGGTAGTAGTGGTAGAGGCGGCTGGGGTTCGAGTGCAGCAGGGCCAAGTTCAAGCAGCTGGGGTTCAGGCTCTGATTCGACGTCAACCTCATCTTCGAGATACACAAGCACAGGTTTTGGGTCTACGAACAGGAGATGAAGAGCAAATTTAATAATAGAAAGCATCATCTTTCGAGTCACCCAGGAAGAAGTAGTCATGAATACAAAATTTGAAAGGTACTTGTGTTCGTACAGTTTATTATGGGAGCCGCCTAATCGCCTTCATGCTTTCTCATGCTCTTTCGTCTTATCCTGTATCAACGGTGACTGCCTCCCGACTGCGAGCTCGCTCGAGGCAATACTTTATATCCTCTTGCCATGAAAAAAAAAAAAAAGCGGGCAACGAAAGATATGGCCGGGTATCAGTTATCAACTCGAACATCGTAGCCGATAGCAAAGCATGTGCCTGCACTGCGAAATTCCGGTTGAAGCCACCGCAAAGAATTTATGTACATCAGTAATACAGAGGTCATTCATCGCCCCTTCGAATTATAATTTACAAGTGAAGTAAGAAGAAATGGGCCCTTGTCTACCTAGAGATGAATCGTCATAATGTCGTTCTTGTCGAAAGCTTTGTTACAGTTGGGACATTTCCGCATACGATTAGCAAGTCTATCGTCAACGCAGCCCCTGCAGAAGATATGCCCACAGCCACGTATAATGGTGTTTTTGAAGTCCTTTTTGCAAATTGAACATGTGGCCATATTCTATACATCACGTTAGCTTGTCCCGTGGAACCTAGGATCCGAACGTCACTTACACGTAGCATTTCTTCTTCCTCAGAAGAGTTGCTGAGGCTCTTGGTCTTCCACTTATCTCGGTCCTTTGTCGTTGATTCAAGACGGACCTTAAGCTTCTCTACTTCCGTCTCCAGGTGAATATTTCGCTCCTTCGTCGTAGAAGCAGTCGAGTCCTTAGTCTTTGCGAGGTTGGTTAGCTCAGAGACCTGCTGTTTAAGAGAGTCATATCGCCGAGACGTATCCTGATTCGTGGTCTCGAGCTTCTTGTTCTCGGCCATGACCGAGGTATTCGTTTGCTTCATGTCCGCCAGTTGCTTGTCCAAGTTCGCCACCAGCGTCCGGTTCTGGGCTTCCACTTCTTTCAGCTGAGAAATAATTTCCGAGCTCTTCATATTTTGCGATCGAAGCCGCTTGACCTCATCAGCCTTCGTATCACTCTCCTTGCGTGCATTGAAGTACTTCTGATCGGCTTTGCTTTTTTCTGCAATTGACAGTGCCACACGTTCTTCTTGAGCTGCAAAATCCATAACCTTCTTGTTTGCGAGCGCTTGGTATTTCTTAAGAGCGCTTGTCATTCCAGGTAGCTCGCTGTCGATAGACTCGTAGTCCCTTCTTAATTTCTTGTATTTTTCTCGGAGTTCGTCAAGGGACAGTTCGTCAATTTCCGAAGGAGCCGTCATTTCCACGTCCTCGCCGGGCTGCAGTCTCTTAACTTCGTTCTCTAGGACAGAAATCCGATCCTCCTTGGCACTAATCAAATCCCTCATATGGTCGAGAGCCGTACGCTCTTGTTCTTTATTCGCTTTCAGCGTCATTACATCGGCGTGCAACTCGTCTCTCGCAGCTCTCACCCGGGCAAGGTTGGTGTCTGCTTGCTGAAGTTGTTCTTCTAAATCTGAGATCAGATTTTGAGCTTCAGATTCAAATCGTTGACGGTTGGCTTCTCTCTCTTTCTCCAATTTGGCATTTTCTTGCCTGAGTGTATGACACTCCGCTTCCAAATTGTTTGTTTTCTTAATGAGGTCCTCGTTTTGAGCCTTAAATAGCTTGAAGATCTCTGTACGAGAGTAGTCTTCATCCGTGAGATTGGTTAGGCGCGTTTGGAGTGAAGTCAGATCTGTTTGTAGAGACTTGTTTTGTACCACTGCAGCTTCAAGCTGCTCTTTCTGCTTCTCCCCTACAGCTTTAAGTTCCTGCAGAGCGAGTTGTTGTGATGCATAGTTTCCATTACTTTCGTCGGGATTAGTGCCGTTAGTTTGGTCAGCTCCAGCACTGGATCTTGTGGTTGAATTGGCAAGGGCTTGTTGCTCCAATTTTTGAACCTGTGCACTCTTGACTCGATCTAATCTCCGTTCTGCTTTCATGTATCTTAATGTGGCATTATTCAACTGTTCCGAAAGGCTGTCTTTATCCGAGGTAAGTCGATCCACTTTAAGAATAAGATCCTTTTGAGAAGCAAGTAAATTATTGACTTGTGACTCCAAGTTTGTGACATTGGGCGTGATCTTTCCACGATTGCTAGATAGCTGTGAGAATAATGTTCCCAATATTGACTTGATTTTCGTTGCCTTCTCATCCAGGTGTAATTCGAATTCTTCATTATCCTTAAACTGGGTCCGAGTTGGAAACGGTTGTTCTGGTCTAGTGTTAGTAGCTGAACATTCGAACATAAAGAAAATGCTTTCTACCTTCAGATTCGCCTGAGAAATCGATGGTGCCGTTGACTAGAAGTGATATCTCTTGCAATAACTTTTCGACCTATCAGTACTGCCCATTAAATGCGTGCAGGGCGCTTAGTTTCTGCTCACCTGTGTCCACCAACCATCCATTACACGGATATGATCATCGTGGAACGTAGATCGCTTGTCGAGTTCCTCTAACCTGGCTTCCAATGTTGTCTTCTCACGTTTATACTCCAGCATTTGGCGGTATATGGCATCCTTTTGATATTCCTATAAACCCCAATTCTTACATTAGCGACGCGTTTATTTCGTGACAAAGAAGCCCGCCATGGGGTCTGAGAAACTGAGGCGAGTGCCTACTCGAGAATATGTAGAGGAGGGTGGGACGAAAGGCAGGTATCAATGTAGATGATAATAGACCAAGTCGCGCATCAATTCTGAGAGCGTGAGTACACAGACATGACTATTGGCATGTAGACAGGGTCTCTGGAGTACTCTGTGCTTCAAAAAGACAGCCTGCGACAATCACCCAAGGAGTGGAGGTGGGGCCAGGGAGCGAGGGGGGGACAGAGCAAAATCAGGCTGATGTGAGTGAATGATGGTGGTCAAATAGAACTAACCTCAACCCAAACTTCATCTTTGGTATCGGGATCATCTTTTGTCTTGCTGCTACCATTGACAGCCTGACGTTTGCTTGGGGGGGCAATATCATCAGTGCTGTTCACGGCGGGTCTCTTACGATCTTCCATCTTGACCCGAGTGGAGAGAGGCGCTACGGTCGGCGAAGTGGATGAAGGCATCAGAAATGAGGGCGATGACGGTATATTACAGGCTCGAAATGCATAGGCCGGACTGTATCGTACAGACGCAAGGAATGCAGTGGATAAAGAAACAAAGAGACAAGCGCAAGAGTCGGCAGAGATGGGGATGCAGAGGCACGCGTGTCTCCGACAGACAAACACAATCAATCTAGGAAGGTGATCCCCAAAGGAATCCCTTGTCGAGGAGAAGAACACCGATGGTTAGAGAGTCGATGGTCTGATGGTGAGCAGCAGAGACAGGATGTGGACGAACGGGAGGGCGGGCGAATTGAACAAAGTAAAGGCGCGAAGAGATGATGGTGGCAGTGGATGAATGGAAAAGTGATGAGCACGGCTCGCAGAGGAAACACTGGCACGAAAAATCCAGGTTGCAGATTCACTGACTGCAGTGACTGCCAGACTGCCAGCATGGTCGAGATGCGCTAAGCTGTTTCTGGACACGATACTTATCAGCCATGATCGGCCAGGCCATATCATTAGCCTAGGTAGGCTAAGTTAGGTACTTACCACTTAGTATCTACATACAGTACCTAGTGCTTGGGTTAGGTACAAGCAGGCGCGTCCAGACTGCCCTCCAGTAAAGACACAACTTGGAACCTCAAGCACTTACCTACGTATTTACATATATACTGGCTCTGCAGGGTTCGTTATCTGACCTGTAAGATACCTGAGGGGATTACAGGTGGTGTACCTAATCAGTGAAGCCCTTACCTGAAGGCTGGGCTCACACAGAACTCCTTAGCCCCTTATCACATGGATGGATGTACATGTACATGTACATGTACATGAACATTGAAGACCCCGGGGTAGACCCATTCAGCCCCAGCCCCTCTTGCCGGGAAAAGTGGGATGTGGCTGTGCTGGAAGAGTCTTGGCGTCGTGTCCCTCCCATGTCCCAGAAGAAAGACCCCTCCAATCGCTGCTCAAAAAAGAGCTTCATACAAACTTCATTACCTAACTACCTACCTACCTTCTAGGTATCTTCATACATGTGTACCTCTCCATTAGTTGATTTGTTCTCAATTCCAATCTGGCCAGCCTCTTGCCTCCCCCACTAGGTTCAACAACTGTCAATAATCCATGAATCTCTCCCTTCAATCTCAAGACCTCGCCAATTTTCAGTCGTTGTAGCATTAACTGCACGTGTTTGCGCCGACTTGAGAACAGCTACCACGCCGCCAGGTCTCTTTCTGAGGCCATGTCAACCACACATCCGCATCCGTGTCTAATATAGCTGCGAATTTGGGGCAAGAACCCGAAGCGCGGCCATGAGTTCCATGTTGAAAAAGACGGGAGGCTTGTCCTTCAAGCCGAAGGCAGGTCGTCGGCCAGGAACCGGCGCGTCCAAACCACCTACGAGCTCAGCCTCAACAGCTACAACACGTGTGCCAACCTCCGAACCCCAGTCTCAAGTTTCGACACCCGCTGCTTCTAATCCTGCAACGCCTTCCGTCGTTGGCTCAATTGAGACTGTCGTTGACGAGGCAAGCATACCACCAACAACTACCGAACCACTTCCAACGCCCGCGAACACACAGCCCCTTTCCACTTCCACGCCAACCGTTGAAGTTCCCGCTGTTGATCCTACTCCAGCACCAGCAGTATCTCCTCAACAGCAAGCGCCGCCTACTCCACCAGTTACCCAAAATCCGACCCCTCAGCCAAATGACGAGGCCACCCACGATGCTGCCTCGACCTCAGGATCAGGTAGACGAGCCACAGATTCATCTAGTAACGAGACCTCTTCGGAGAACCGGACAGAAACAAGAGTCAACCTTCCCGGTACGGCAAAATCGCCGCCATTACCCTCCATTAATGCTCCCCGAATACGGCCAGAACAACCGAACGCTGAATCAGAGGGGGCAACAGGACCGCGTAGGGCACTTCCGCCTCCAGTCTCTGACCCTACTTCTTCGGTGTCTAGATCAGGGGAAACCGCTGCATCTCAACGTACGACATCAAGAAAGTCAGCACCACGGAAACGCAAGTCAGCCGTAGCCAACGGTGAGACTAATGCAGAGGATTCTGCGCCTAAAAAAAAGCGACAGCGCAGAAAGTCAAACACCAGCGCAACGGCCGAAAACGACACTAATTCCGAGGCTGTGAAGCCCACAAGGCGCCGGAAACGTGAATCAACTCCAGAGAATGCAGAGGAGCTCACAGTAGACCACACTACCATGACGGTTGGAGAACTAACTAAGGATCTTGGAATTGGCAAACGGTTCAGGCATGCAGAAGAGATCGAGCAGCGAGCGCGAGAAGCCCGTGCAAAAAATCGGCTCAGAAGATTAGAGCGCGAAAAAAGGAAACTTGGCCTTCTCGGTCCTGAAGATGAAGATTCACTATCACAGCCCGATACCCCTAATGAGAGCGGCGAAAACCGTGGGGCTGCAATGGCGCAGCTAGGTGCCTCTATGGAAGCAGGTGCAGCACAAGGCGTCGGCTACGATGTTGTAGATGGGCAAATCGTTGTTCACGCAGCATCTCTTGTCGTCGACAGACACAACCGAGACATGCAGAACTTGGAAGAGGTAGAAGAAAATGACTTCACAAACTGTAAGCTCGATTACCTGAGTTGATTTTCTGCTTCCATACCTGTCAACCATATGTCACACCGAAGAAGTCATATATGTTTCAACATATACTTGCATTCTTTCGACTGAGATCATCAACTAACAATAACTTCTTTTTAGTGGTTAACTCGGCATCTTTCGCTAAGCGTGTTCAAGCGCCGGGTAGCTGGACAGATGAAGAGACAGATAAATTTTATCGACTTCTACGCGCGTTCGGAACAGATTTCGAAACTATCTCTAATATGTTTCCGGGCAAGAACCGGCGCGCTATAAAGCTGAAGTTCAACAAGGAGGTTAGTGGCACTTTTTTGCTATTCAGCACCTAATTCCTTAGCTAGATTAGTAGTTCGCTAAACAACCGTATCTCTAGGAGAGACTTCGACCAAATCGCGTTAACGCCGCTATGATGGTTCGTGGTCAGAAGAAAACCACCATTGATATCGACGAGTATAAGGCATCTCAACGCAAATGGCAAGCCAAAGATAAGATCTTGGCAGAGCACGCTAAATTTGCGGAGGAGAAGGAGGCTGAGGTGTCGCGTCTCCGAGAGGAACGACGGGCCGCCGGTCTCATTGACGATGACAATACCACGACTCCTGGAGACAACGCGAACAAGACAAATGAAAACGGGAATGGACAGGAAAACGGCGAGTACGAAGTCATCGAGGAAGACGCGGATGCCCAAGGACAAGGAGGACAAGGACAAGATGTGGATGTCAACATGGACGCTCAGCCAGAGGGCGTCCAGACATGAAATAAAGTGCATCAATTGCCCAGTTCGACGGATGGTGAAGGCAGACTAAGCAAGTCATTGAATGACTGACTTGCTCCATTACTCATTACTTCTCTTCAATTTTGATACCCCATTGCTTACCCACCTACTTAGACCATTGTCTACCTACCTTAGCCAGATGTCCGACACAACTCGCCTGCACATTAGAAATTCAGGCTATTATCCCCCCCCGCGGGAGAAACAGAATATGGAACTAACGCGAAGTCGTACGCGTGTTTTCTTCTGTATTACACAGACACGACATGACATGCTTGTCACTCACATCAATCACACCAGGCATGTCAGAATACGCGGTTAGAAGTCATATCTACCTACCCAGTAGATTACATGTACGAACAAAAATAAAGCAAGACCATCTGTTCAAACCAGATAAATGTCACGAATAAATGAAATGGAATGAAATGAGATGAGATGTGAATAAAAACAAACGCAATATTTTCAAAGAGGAAAAAGCAGAGTTAGTTCCACGGGCTATGAAATATTTAACTTCTTACGATGCTGAAGTAGTAAAACACAATTCATAAAATAAATGTGCTAACTACCCAGATACCAAACAAATATAGTCCACTATATACCTATCTATATTCATCTCATACGCCCAATTAATATATATACCTTTTATTCCCTCCCCTCCTCTTTCCCCTTTTTCCCCGCGGTCAAACACCTACCTACCTACCTGTCTATCCATCTAAGTGAACAGACGATCCAAGTCCCAAAATGATGCTATCAATATCTATTTTCGTGCATAAGTAAGCAGGTAAGTAAGTAGACAGGTGAGGTGACCTAACCAATCAAACAGAAAACAACAAAATATACAAATATATCCTCTAACTTACACACATATCTACTTACCCATGTCATCATTCAACAAATCACATCACTCAAACCAAGCGCATTACAGGTTAGGTAACGTAACAATTCATCCTTTTATTTCATCGGGCTGTTTTCCCTCTCGTCTTCTAATTAAAACAGCTTGGGTAAAAAACACAAAACGAAACGAGCCCTAGCAAAACTTATGTACCTACTAGTTGATGTAAAGCTAAGACAGCGTAAGTTTTTGTTCGTTTGTTCCATGCGAACTCGTCGCTTCAGGGGGAAAAAAAAGCTTTTCAACCAGCCGTCCAACAGTCGGTGGCATCAAACCCCTTCCCTCATATACATCCCATTACCCCCTACCTTACAGGAACATGTTTCGTGTATATTTTGCGAGTACCCCGTGGAGGGTACAGGTGGAGGAGGATAAGACAAGGTCAGCGCGACTATTCGCTCTAACTCATCATACAGGATATTTGGTCCTCGGGTTGAAGGTAAAAGGTGAAAAAGTAGCAACGCAGAAACAACAGCATAGAGCTAGAACACAGATCGTGACTAGGCCGCTGGCTCGTCGTCATCCGGCTGATCAAAGAGGAAATTGGCAGCCAGCTCCTCATTCTTATCACAAGCAAAGTATGCCTGGATAGCTGCATCGCGGTCGAAGCCAAGTCGACATAACTACCAACTTATTAGCACGAAATCTACACAAGAAGCAAAAGCACACGTCTTACTCTCTCGATGGCATCGCGTTCTTCCTCGGTGACACTAATAGCCTGAGCGCCCGGGGGAAGCGGCGCATCGTCATCTCCATCCTCTCCTAGGAGTTGTAAGAACTGCTCTGGGTTCGAGGATATAAGTTGGGCAAGCTGGGGGTTTCCGGCGCCTAGTTGTTGTAGAATGGGCTCGAGCATTTGTGGCTGCTGCTGAACGACTTGGCGTAGTTGCTGAAATTGAGCATTGTTACGCAAGAAATCGAGGTTCCCCAGGCTTTGAGCCCCGGCAGTCGCTCCAGCAGCAGCAGCAGCCGCCCCAGCGGCTTGCGCTGCGGCGCCACTTGTTCCACGGCTTCCACCTTGACCTTGCTGGGCTGCGAGATCGAATAGGTTGACAAAGTCGCCCGGAGTTCCACTTTCAGCAGGTTGGCCAGCAGGAGCCGCGGCAGAAGGATTCGATGCTGGTGCAGATTGCTGCGCAGGCTGCTGTCGAGCGCTCTCGGGTATTCCCTGCAAAATCAGCGTCTTGGGTTCAAGTTTTTAGTAGTTTCAGGTTCAACTTACATTTAATAAGTACTCAACGGCACGGTCTGGGTTGTAGAACGCAGCACGCAGGGCGGCTTCAATCTGAGCACGTTCAAAGCCCATGGCTTCCATATTTGCGACCACAGCAGCTCGTTCGGCACCCATAGCCATCGAGCTGTCGCCAGATGTTGTGGACTGAGTACCAGCCTGAGGACCGGCCGGAGACGGTGTAGCAGGAGGTGCGGCACCAGCTGTAGTTGAACCGGATGTATGAGACGGCGCAGCTGGAGCAGCAGGTGTTGACGCAGCAGGGCGGGCAGGCGTCTCAGGGACAGAAGTCGACGAGGCAGAGGCAGAGGCAGACGTAGCAGCGGCGGGGGTAGGTTTAGGCTACAACAGAATCAGTAACAGCCCGACGGCACTCGCGTCAACATGAGTCTGATACGAATCGTACCTTATTTGTCATGCAGACGACGAACCCCTTCTCTTCAATCTTGTATGTCCCCATCTTCTCGTCATCTTTGAGAATCTTGCCTATGCCCTGGTCAGTATATCCAGCAAGACACAGGTCACTTTGGTCACGTTTTGGATCGTACCAGAGTAGATGAGCTTGACCGTCTTTGCATCGAAACCCTGATCCGCCTCGATTCTGTCCTTCACGGTAGACACCTATGACGATCTTGTTAAATCCACTTCTATCTTCAAGCCAAACGCTGCCCACAGGTACTCGGATAGGAAAGCCGGTAGGTAGGTAGGTAGATATGTGGTGTATGTGGTGGGATGTTGAAGCAGGTATCAGCGACTAGGCAGGGGAGCAATGACGACATACAAGCTCTTCGGAGTCGACATCGAGGAAGAATTTATTTTGCTTGAGATCCTAAAGCCGAGCAGATATGTTAGCAAGAGAGCAGGCCACATGGGAAAGCGGGCAAGATAAGAAGCAAGAAGCAAGAGGCAAGAAGCAGAGAGGGTAACGGTGGCGGTGGTGGGTTTGGATTGTGGCAGGTCAAGCTCCAGCCAGGTGCGTGCAGTAGCAGCCTGATGTGTGTCTGGTCGGTTGACTCCCCGCAATCCGCGGTGCGTGCAGTGCGTAGGGCAGGCGGGCAGGCGGGCAGGCAGGTCCGTGGTTCGTGGGCATGTGCAGCAGGAGCTTAGCGTAGGTAGTAGCATACCCTGAATGTGATCTTCATGTTGGTGAACAGTGCAGCTTGACGACAGCTGCGGCGAAGACGACGACGAGAGTGGTGAGAAGTGGCTGCGGGCAGCGCGAGAGAGAGAGAAAGAGGGAGAGGGAGAGAGAGGGTGTGTGTGGGTGTGGGTTGGTTGAGGTGACAGTTCGTGAGTAAGTGAGTAAGTGAGTGAGTGAGCGAGCGAGCTGCAGTGGTAGTAATGGGTAATGGTGGTTGTGGTGGTGGCCTTGCTGCTTGGTCTTGCTTGCTTGCTTGCTTGCTGGTTGCTGCTGGTTGTTGCTGCCGCACATAAATACTTACTATATACCTTCGTACCTACTAGTCTACCTCCTACCTACCATATGTACTACCTACTCGCCTATCTACCTTAGGTACCTACAGTAGTAGTACTACAAGGCAGGAAGGTACATGTAGGTATTCACTTGAATGGTTGAAATTTTACCATCCCCCCTCCCTCTGGTAAGTGAATGGGAGCTTAGAGTAATAGTAGTTAATACAGGATATGGACAGATAGATAGCGATATGTACCGAATGGATATTTATTCTTTCTCTCTCTATCTAGTTATCTCTTTTCACTCTATTCAAAAGTTCTCTCTCCATCTCCATCTCCCTGCTCTCTCTCGGAGAGGCAAGTAAAGTAGGTAGGTAGGCAGGGCAGGAGAGTGCCCGCCCATTTTAGGTAACAGCTTCAATGATGTGTTGCGCCGGCAGTGGGGGCGGGGGATCCCCCCCAATTGGCTCAATGACGACCACCTGCAGACACAGAGTCTGCCAGAGACACGTCTCTAGCTTGCCTCTAGCCAACCTGGGTATTCCTGATGTTGCATCCCTTGTCTTCCGCAGGGCTTGGGGGTAACCTCCCCAAGGTTTCTCTTCTTCCTGACTGACTTTGCAGCCTGGTCCCTGCCGAGGTTACTTACTTATACTTCTCAACTGCATATGGGTCAGATGGCAGTTCATGATTTGTATGATACCTACCTATGGGCCGAGAGAGCAAATCCATCCATTGACGACGGCCTCTACATGTGAACTCTCCGTAGGTTGGCAGTCTCAAAACATACTACCTACGCGTCGTTTGCGTATCCATAGTTGGACGAAGGGTGAATGGCAAATAGGTACTTCGAAAGCCACGCCATGCAGTAAGCCGACTTCTGGAAACACTATATATACATCATCAGATTATCAGAGTATATCAAAGTATACATGTACGAAAGGGTTAAGGCACTTTCGTATCATCATAGACTTGATGAATAGCAGACACTTACCGTAGTAGAAAGAGCTTCTGCCATCGAATATAAAAGCTCATTATCTGGTGGTGCAGTTGAGCCAGACTAGAACCCAGAGTTGCACGTCAGAGACATTGTGAGTCACAAAATCCATGTCAACGTAAAGATTGCGCTCCAAGAGAGATTTGATTTTTCTACATTTTTCTATGTCGGTGGTCTTCTAGCTTCTTGTTGCTAGTCCCCTTGCTTTCCCCCATCTTTCTAGATGGAAGGGTGCCTGATGCAAACAACCCCCCGTGAAGGCCACAGAAACTCAACGCCTCGCTATAATGACAGTGGTATCCCCCAAACGCCTTGAAAAAAATACCTCATATATATCGCCTGAGCGAACATATATCTGTGGATTTGTCTATGCCAAGTTGACTGTCGATCTCTCTGAGACCCCATCAAGTCATGCCTCATTATATATCATGCAACGCCATCATCACCTCATATCCCAACTCGGCACTCACCCGGATGCCAAGCCCCCTTGTCCGATTGTCAGAGACCTTCATCACTTAGCTGTTTTGTCTTTTGATCTGGTACTCCGAGAGGCTGGACTTGGACCCGGCATTGAGAACCCAATCCGGAATAGGAGGCGTCATCTTCCGTTCCTCGCCATCAACTTCCTCTGGTTGCAAACGATCACCGTTGATGCCGGCTGTCTTCCGGAAACTTTCGTGGCTCCCGTTTCGGCTGAGAGGGCTTACAGGGTTCGGCAGACTGCCACTTCGCATTCGGTTCACCGACTTCCCCGTTATGAATTGGCCGGCATTAGGGGCTGCAACAACCACAGTTCCCGGTGTAACCGCTGGTGGAGGCCCGGGAGAGTCTGAACGAAAGAGGGGATGGATATGAAGCTGAGATTCCGATGATGTCACACTCCTTTCCCGCTGCGGTCCCGGTCTGGGTACAGGGCTATAGCTTCGACCTCTTCTGCCACGCTTCGGAGGTACAAGGTCCAAGGGACAGCCGGGACTCGGGCTGCGGCTAGTCGTGGGGCTGGCGGGAATCGTCTCCAAGAACCGGGTGCGAATAGGCGACGAGGTCTCTAGAACCATTTGTCTATTATGGGGATCGACGGAAGATGTATCCCAAGAGTCAAAACCATCTTCTACGAGACTGACCCTATCTCGATAGGCAACTGAGTCCAGAGAATCCGGTCGCCGTCCAGTTCTTGAACCATTTGAGAGCAGTCTAGTTCTCGATCCGATCGGACGTACAACACCGGACAAAGACCCAGAAAACGACGTAATGGTTTCGGCAGCTGAGCGCGCAGAGCGCCCACTACTAGTCCCAGGGCGACTTGGGTAATCCAACAAGCCTCGTTCATTAAGCCTAGTTTGTGAAGTGGCCGGCTTGGTTCGTTCATAGGGGATAGTTTTGACGCGCATCGGAAGTTGTGGCGATCCTCGACCTTCTTCGTTGGTGTGAAGAGAAAGAGCTTGTTCGGAGTCGGGCAGACGGCTGATTAAGAAATAAACAACAATAAATAAGAGTTGGCTAATAAATGAGAAACCAAGGGCGACGGAAGATCCCGTTACCACGTTTGCCAACGGAACGTTCGAAATGGTTTTTGGCAGGTTTCGTGCTTTGGCGACTAGGATTAACATTGTGACCGATACAACCGAGGCCAACAGGCTGGCGATGAGATCCAGAGCAAACCATACACCCCACAAGTCTTTGGGGCGATAATTATTCGGTCCACGTAGATACTTAATAATTTTGACCACGAGGAGGCCCAGCACAATTGTTTCGACAATGAATGAGAACAATGCTATTCCCCGTGCTGGTGATGTAGTTGGCCAGATTCCACACGTGATAACTACTTCCAAAACCACTGTAGTTGTTGTTGCTAAGACAGCAACAAGGCCAGTGACAGCCGGAAAAGGAGGAAAGATGCCCATGGTAGGCAAGACGGGTGACACCCGGTGTTATGTCTGCAGACAAGCTAGGGCACTAAGGCAATTCAACATGGGAGGTGGGGAGGGTATAATTTCTGGGCCACCCGTGTTTTCTAGTCCAGAAGAAACCGACCGAACAATATTCCTCTCAACTATGCGGTACCAGAATGCTGCGAGAATGGCGGGTGTCGCTAACAAGGAGCTCGTTGTGTGAGCAGTTATGCCCAGCAGGCCTTCCAGGGACTTCCTGGCACTGGGACAAGTGAAGCACCGAGCACGGAAGTTCTGAAAGTACTGTCCGTGGCTGACAACGTTTGAGACCTGGAGGCTGAATGGGTAATCAGGGTAGAAAACGCCTCTGAACCAGGTACTAGCACCTCCACAAAGTCGGATTTCTGCAATAAGCCCGAGACCCAACGGGGTTTGTCGTTTTAGGAGCGAGAGTGCAAGGTCGAGTCCATATATCGGGCTGCAGGACGGCCAGCTGCGAAGACATCAAACCGGACAATCGGGACAGCGCAGCTAATATCACCGGGTGTTTCGTCATACAAGAACAGAGCTGAGAGTTTATCGACCCAATTTATCCACCGAATGACACATCCAAGCGGGTAGACAGTTCTTTTAAGCGAACGACCACGGGTTCGTCAGACAGTAAGATGGCGAGTTTTAGCGATCGTAGTGAGCCGAATAGCAAATGGATAAACTGAATTACAGAAAGAGCAAACAATGGCCACAATAATAGGCCAGTTCACTTGCTTTTGGATGTTACGAGGGCGGACAGGCGGGCAAACAGAGGCCCAGATTAGATAGGGAGTGGGTTAGACAAGCGAGAGACTGGGGGAATGGGGATTTAATTATAGCGATGGCAGGCAAAACGAATGTGAATGTGAGGGCGAAGATGGGGGCGAAGATGGAGGCGAGGATGGAAGCGAGGATGGAAGCGGATGGAGGTGAGGGTTGGGAAAGGTAAGGACGAGGAGGAGGACGAGGGCGAGCGAGTGTTCTTGTCTCTGATGCACCAGCGGGGTGAGAGCGGGCCAGTCAGGCTAAAAAGAGTGAGGGTCGTTGCGACGCGTTTGCGGGATGGGGGATTCTCACTCTCTCGTTGGCCACTGGCCTCGCTCGCGCTTGGTGAGAGAGCAAGCTGGTTCTGCCATTGGAGCCATTGGAGCCATTGGACCTGGTTGCATCTGACCGGCTACAGGGTCGGTAGAAGATGCCAATATGACAGTAATAGTACACACGCTGCCCAGGAACTAAACACTTAGGTGAAGCACCTACTGTACGCTACCTAGCAGGCGATGCCGTGCAGCGATTCCATCCACCATCCACCACCACCCCACCCCCCTAAACCCTGCCACCACACGCTACTACTGTAGGTAGGTAGGCATGGTAAGCGGGTCCCTCTGTTCCCGTCCGGCTGGGCGCTGCTGACCCCGTCTCGCCTGTCTACGAAGTACATACTGTAGCCCGTCCAGGCTCAGCAAGGATCATGCAGGTACAGACCACAGCCGGCCAGGGAGGACACGGTCTGAGCGCCGTGGTCGACGACGACAAACTGCTGCGTTACCGTTGGATGGGGAGCTGGGAAGTTGGCTGGCTTGGCTACCTCCTGTACTAACAGTAGGTACGATACCTACAGCTCGAGTACAGTAGGTAGCTCTGACGGGATAAATGAAGACCGATTGGTTGTCGCTCGCTCAGCAAGTGTGAAGGTTACTTCATAGGTAGGTAAGCTGCTGCACTTGTTGTTTTGTGCGCATTTGTAGACATTCAAATTACAGTGCGTACTTGATGATGATGATGATGATGATGATGGTGTGTGCAAGGCCATTCTCTGAAGCTTCGGAGAAAAAGGCGATCTACTAACTACCTAACTATCTAAGCAGGTACACTAAGTGGATTAGTACAATGTGTCAACGACTTAGATACTCACTTACCTACACGAACTAAGTACATAGGTAGTAGGTATGTAAGTAGGCTGTGCTGTGATGGGCCTTTGCCCGCCGGCGTCGGTGAGCGGGATAGGTAGTCCTACTCCCGACTGGCAACCAGTTCAAAATAGTTATTCATAGCTCTGGCAGACTCTACCAGGTAGCTAGGTAGGTTAGCTACCTGGAGCTATCCAGCGGCTGTGTGCGTGGCCTCCAAATCGGCCTTTTTAGATCCCGGCTACAGATACGCTATTTGTTCGAGAACGTTTCCGAATCCATCCAACGGCCTTTAGCTCTAGTTTTCAACCTTCCTTCATTTCTCGTTTCGAAACGTTGATTCCCAGCCCACCGGCGTACACTAACTACATGGTGAAAAAAAATCCCCAATAGGGTGACAAGAGAATTGACGTTATCAAGCTTTCCGTATGCCACCTGACACAGGAAAGAGTATCTGCCCATTAGACGACGAACTGAAACAATTGTTTCCTGTAATCGACGTTACTAGCCAGGACTGTACTAAGTATGATTTCTAGTACTCGTGGAACCCCGGAGCAGAGACCCAGGCCCTGTCGGAGAAAATCCAGATCGGGACTTTGTGTTGTGCGTGAGTAGCGGACGGCGTCATCCTGATTGGCCAAGGATGCGGGAAATTTGACCACGAAGAAAACTCGCCGGATTGGCCTGGGAGGTGCGGCGCAGGTCGAAAACAACATGGATGAGCCATGTAAGGAATTATTTATAACAGTTACTTGTATAGGCATTAGATACAGTACTTACACTTCAGCTTTGGCATCTCCTCTACTTACTTACAGTACCTACAAATACTGTGCGAATTGTTCAGCAGAGAGAGAATCGTGCAGAAACAAGATGACGATGATGTTGCAATAAACCACAACTATCTACTTACTTACTTACTTACTTACTTACATAGAGCCATTGCATCATGACGATTATGTCTGTGGCGCAAAAAGAAAAGCAGAAGAGGCGCACGCCTATACCATCGGTGCTTCGCCATCATAAGTTTCTCTCCTCTTGTCTCACAGAGTTTTTTCAATTTGCATCCACAGCCTTACGTGTAAGTCCGTATTGTCGCCATGTGTCCTAACCTGACAAGCTAACTCAAGACGACTATTATAGCCAGGGACGTAAGCAGTCCTTGACAATAACAAGAAAAGAAAGAAGAAAAACTATAAACGTACTATAGCAGACTGGGTTGGTATAATAGAGGTACATAGATCGTGATAGTGCATGTAGTGCACAGGCACTAGGTAGTCTATGTCCTAGCATGTATCGTCATGTTTTATGATGCAGGCCTGGTGTCCAGGTTGAGGAAAAAACCCACCCACAACCCGTTCCTTTAATATTGCTCAGGCATCTCAGGTATTCCAGACAATATTATCGCTTACAGTAGTATACTTAAGTATTGTAGTGTACAGTTACGAGCGCGACCGTACCCGCGGCACTCCTCAATCCTTCAGACCTACACGTGTACTAATGTACGGCAACAAATCCCTTCGGACCGCAAACCCAAGTCATCCGTTACCAATATGACGGGTGGTATTACTGCTATGTAATAACAAAAACAATAACACCGACAGCGTCCCTCCAGTGGACACGGCAAATGGATCTAGTGAGACTTTGTTTTACACATTTTTTACCGCCATGTCTTAGAGGTGAGATAGAGGCTCTTTAGACTCTGGCACTAGGTACTTGTTAGCAAAATAGGTAGAGAGAGGTGTGCGCAATATCGTGGACACACGAGAACTGCACAGTCGAAGCTGTAGCCCATCCTACACTGTACCTGATCACACAGTGGTATCCCTCAGAGCCCTCTCACTTGGTTGGATCTGCCTTGACTGCCGTGGCGCATGCAGGGGAAATCGCACTATGTAACCATACGTGGTGTCGTGATTGTCTCAGCCCTGCGCACCACACACATACGAAGTACACACACTCACACATACGATGCCACTCCCAGGACTGCGTGGAAAATGAGGAAACAACTCCTGATCGTCGTCGATCACTTTAGGGAGAGAACACCATCATGGGCTTAGAGTGTTTAAAAAGCTAATCGATCGTGCGTGGAAACCACCGAGTAAAATTCGAGGAAGTCATCATCCGTGTCTGCTACCTATCAGTAAGGGCTTACGTAGGTAGAGCCTACACCGGTCGCCGCTCAAAAGCAGATGTCCCGCAACGAGCCTTCTGTCCAGTCCTACATTATCAGGATCGTGAACAGGCAGGTTGTGCCGATCTTACTGCCGTTACGGTTCCCAACCGGGTCAGCCGGGCCCGCTTACGGGATGTAGGCATTTGCATCAGATGAAAAACGCTGCCATGCCGCTGTGACAGGAGGCAGATAAATTGCTACACTTCCTTCAGTAAAACGCCCACGATAAACGTGTACCTAGCATCCAGGAAGGACATTGCAGTGATGGACGAGCCGTGCAGACGCCTCAAATTGCAGGGCGGGCGTACCCGGTTGCCGCCAGCGATACTACCGTACTTCGAGCCTCAGTCAGCGAGGGATTCATGATGCGAGAAGCGCGGAACTGTATTGTCAGAAAAGCGGCTTACTGAGAGCTGCCTCGGTAGGTAGTAACAATAAGTAACATCGCGCACTCTCACACAAACAAAATCGATCAGGATGCAAAGAACCTGCTCTTGCACATTACAGTACTATAACCTACAGTAGTAGGCCGTAGGTTTTCTCAAATGCCAGGTGATGAGGTATCATTCTCTCGCAAGTAACGTACGAAAGGAGAATCGTCTCTTGACAGGTAACGGGGGCCTTCAGACGGTGTTGATGTGGAACGACCCAAACCCACTCGCTGCAGCGCTGCTGCAAGCCTCGCTCTGGGCAAGCTTATGCCCTCACCAAAGATACAGACATGAGTCAGATCATATCAGATCATAACCCTACCTCGCCTACCTACTACTGCAAAGCCGAACGTGGCCCCGGCATAGTGGATGTATTCACAACTCAGTTGGCCTCTCAGATACGATCGAGTATCTGTGATAATTCCATTCAATCGGACTGAATCCGACCATTATTCAAACTATTAGTGGAGTTTCTATCACCTTGGTTAAGAGCGAGCCTTCGTTGAAGCCAAACATTGGACAGACTCGCGTAGTATTCCGCAGTCTCTCTCTCTCATCAGCTTCAGGCACGAAGCACCCCACCCCGCAAAAACACTGTAAGAATCTTGCTGAGCGATGTGCGGCAAGTGACACGGGTAGATGAGATGTCAG